AAAGAGTTATCACCAAGGCTGTGAACTGTTTCGGTATCGATAGGTATTGGTTGATTTCGACGTAATGGCATCGGTTCGTTTGTATGAATACTAAAAGCTCTCTGTCGTAGCTGCATGACATGTTCAGAGTTTTTCTGAAACGTATGCAAATCATAGCGATTCGGACGTGCTACTTATGCAAATTGTGTGGTGATACTGGTATGTGTGATTGGCAAATTCTATTGAAACGTTCTCTTTTATTCTGCTGCAGCAATTCCACCTTAGTTCTAAAACAAACCTCAGCTACAGATTTTATTTTATAAATGCATTTCACGGGCGCTTGTGGCGCAGTGGTCGAAGGCGCCTCGCAACACACACCTAAAATCGATCCCTGCGCCTATTGCCTACAAAGCCTTCCATCCCTCCGGGGACGGCAAACTGGGACCAGACTTATCTGGGACAGTAGCAGTGGCTCTATACATCGGTAGGTCACCACGAGTTATTGTGAAGGCTAGATATGCATTCAATCACTTCCAAATGATGCATAATGAAGTCGAATAGCGCATACCTCAGAGATTGGTTAAAGCTGAGAGCTTTTTTGAGTGCGTTTCTCAAGTACTTTTTCTAGGATTATTTGCAGCATTCCTTTTGATCCATTTTTTTCAAATATTTCTAGTTATCTCTTTTTCTGTTGATCAGCAGTGTCGAGAAAGTATTCCATTTTCTGTCAATAGAAGAGGAATCTTTTGCAGATGAAATAAATCTCACGGTAGATCCTTTTTTTTATGTTTTAGAGCTTTTTGGAGTGTCATCATAAATTTTCTATTTCTACATTGAATTTTTGTAATTGACTTCCAAGAAAGAAAAAAGAAAAGAAACGAGCAAGTTAGGAAGTTTCCTTCTTCTTTTTCTACCACTTTCTCAAAGTCCTACAACTTTGGAGGAAGGCTCTTTTCGGAACTGTCATTAGAACCAACGATTATTTCCACTACGAGGTCTCTGCTCTCCTCTACTGTTTGACATGCCCCATGTTAAGTATTCTTTTATTTTCAAGCTTATTTAAAGCGCAATTCTTTTACGATTTTTTATTTCAATTTCTTTTATATTTCACAATTTTTGAAATGCGAGAAGAATGATATGGAGAAAGCTCATTTTATAGACCATGGAGAAACGAAAATTTATTTTAACAGAATGATATAACTTTATTCCTAATGGAAAATATCGGTAGGTGTTAGATGCATCTATTATTTCTGCCACGACAGACTTTCTATTAACCTCGGCATTGATCAAGTGATTTTCTTCGTATTTTTGTTGAGCAAACGCGAGGTGTTACCATTCTTTGTTCACGATTAAGCTGACGTTTCGGCGGATTTCGCCTTCTTCAGAGCCGCTTTCTATGAGGTTTCCACTCATAGAAAGCACCTCGCTGGCTCTCTTTTTCACCGCACTATATACAGTTAAAGTGGTAGGGTTGAGAAAAACCACTCTCTTGACTTGATGATTTACAAAAAGCCATATTTTTTTTTAGAAATGTTAATTGACAGCACTACAAAATACTTCTAAATTTCGACAGCAAAGCCTTTTGTGCATGGAACATAGTAACACAAATTAAATAATAGCATTCATATCATTCATGCTCATAGAACGACAAAGCAAAATTTCCTCTACAATCCTGTCATGTTCAAAATGCCTCAAGTCTTCTAGTTATTGGGAAAGGACTTTTTATTCTCAAGAAGCCAAAAGGTCTGAGTGCAACGAAAAATTACGTGTAGTCCGTTGAGCCAGCGACGCAATGAAGCAGCCGAGTCGAAATGGGCTAAAGTTGAGGATCCAACTCGTTTTCGTGTGCTTATGAGTCACACGTGTTTCATATGGCATCGGTTGTTTTGAAATCGATGTTCACTAAAATATCCGAGTTTGCGGAACTTGCTTTCTTTTGGTGTGCGTTGTGAATGTTCTGACTCAAAGTGTTTTTCAACATCTTTTGAAATACAAACGGATATCAGCAAAATGCGGCATCTTTTTCAAAAACAAGAATCCATTAAATTGACTGGTTTAATATTACTAGTTTCCTCTTTCACGGAAAACTATGCTATAAAGATAATTTATTGGGGTTCCACATTAGAAATGCAGTTATAGAAGAAAAGAAGTAATTCTAGGCATTTGTGGCGATCGTTACCATCGAGTTCTGTTATTCGTCGATGATGGTTAGTGTTACGAGTGGATGATTATAACTCAAAAGACCGACTTCCTATAAACCTCGGCATAGATAGTTGATATATTTATTTATATGATATTATAAAGTGATCATCTTTAGCTAGTGCGAGGTTGGTATAGGTCTTCGTTGTCGTTGTCGTTGCTGTTGTTGTTGTTGTTGTTCTAGTGGGTCGATGGCTGACGTTTCCGCGATTTCGCCTTCCTCAGAGCCTGGACGTATTTTACATCAGAATACTTTAATTATTCAGTGGGAAAAAGCTAAAGTATTAGTGAAGGTCAAACTTTTAAATGGACACCATATTGATCAAAAAGGCTACTCCCCGTGATGTTACGAGTAGGACTGGACCACGGGTTGTTCACGTGGGGTCACGAGCGAGACAAACCCAGGGGTCAATATAAAATAACTAACGACAACGACCACGAAGTCAAATACCAACCTCGCATCAGCTCGTTCCGATACTTACTGTCGTCTTCGGATCCACGAATAGTTTCTATAGTCGTATTCTCAGTCCTACTAATCCATCTGTTGATTTACTCTCGTATTTTCTACTCGCTTTCTACAATTCACTGTTCTTTGTTGCCACTGTTTTTCCAGTTGTGGAATTAAAAATGATGTCGGCGAAAGGACGATTCAAGCACAATTTCTCGTGCATATTCGGCACTTTAGTTCAAGTTACTTAGATGACTGCTGCCGATTTCATACTTATTTCTAGAAATGCGGCAGTGAAAAGAGCAATAGGAAAAAGCGACACAGTTGAAGAAAATTTGAATAGTGGCTACTTCAATCTGCTTGAACTGTCCTTTTCCACCCAGGGCATTGCAAGCAGTCATTAGCGGATTCATTAATTCTTTGACACTATCTTCATCGTCTTGTCCTTGTTCGAAAGATTTACAGAAATTGATGATGCATTAATTGAGACCACATTCTTCCAACATTTCTTCGTTAAATTTGTTCGTTATGACGAATGTTAGACGTCATCAAGAAAATGCCACACACGAGTGCAATTTGCCGTTGGACCGAAACTCAGGCGTCACTTCTGCTACATCGTGTTCGACAGTCTTAAGTAGCACATTTTTAAAAATCTATATAGCCTTTTTATGACTGTCATCCGATAAGGAACTGTTGCTGTTGCTGTTGCCGTTGGTATTAACGCCGTTGTTGTTGTTGTACCTTCTGTTCCTGCTGCTGCTTCTATTGCATCTGCAATCTGTTGTGTAATCAAGAATACGTTAAGCAATTGGGTACAGTAAAAGTAGAAGACATCTTAAAAGATGTCAAAACTCGTTGTTAGGTCTTCGGATGACGATATAGCTTCGGCTCCCATTTAAGGATCTCGCATACTTCATGGATGTCATTGATTAATAGTCGAGCTAATTCTTACTGGAATCCTTTGATAGTTATGCTAGGACGTTCGTTGGTCTGCATCACATATAGTCGCCAGCACAGGGAGCTTTTCACCGAAATGTTTGGACTTACCTGCCGAATTCGGAACGATACGCAACTCCGTTACCCTTCTCCGGGATCAAACCAACGGCCATGTGTGAATGGCGCAAATTACAATAAGTGCACAATAGGTTTTGTAAACACTTGTGCACAAAGAGGAAAATAATAACGTAATAAGCCTATGCTGATCGCACTGATAATCACAAAGGATTCAACCACTTCCTTATCCTATAGAGTATTTGTTCAAATACGAAAAAGAAACAAGGCAAAAAAGGTGGTGAAACTAATTGAGAAAAGAAAGTGGTGAATGGTTGCTATATCGATTTGCAATCATACGACTAATTTACTCTAAAAAACGTAGTGAATCTTTCTAAAAGTTTTTTTTTAAAAAATATTTCCTGTTCCCCGTAACCACGTGATTGTTAGAAATCAGTACATGGTCTTTGAGGATTTTCTCTTACTCAGAGTAATCATGTCAACTCAGAAAATTCCAGGTCTCCTGGCATGTTTTATAGAAGTGTTAAATCTTTCGTTAAAAACAGTACTACTTAACAGCAAATTTAACGATAGCACATCTAGTGGCAATTCACTTTGCCCGAAATGAACTCCCGAACTCAACCATAAATTCGCTGACTTCCTGTTATTCCACTAGAGTTTTATCCTATTCAGTTAAATACGTCTGCTCTAAAAATTGTCGGCAGAAAAGTTGCACCGGTTGCCTGTTCTTGTTCGAGCTTTTCTTGATTAATTAAGAAACTAAATACATGCGTTGGAGAGTAAACTATTCTATGCTGTAAGTAGCACGAAATCCTGTTTCCATGTATGCGATAACCCTTTTTATAAATTCAGTACAGTTCTTTTAAAACAACGACAACAACAGCGACAACAACAACAGTAATAATAATAGTATTAATAATAATAATAATAATAATAATAATAGCAATATCAGCAACAACAACAGAAGCAACACCAACAACAGCAAAAATATCAGCAACAAAACATAATTTGGCAAACATAACAAATGCTCTGAGGTAAAAAGGAAAATCTTTGCCATAAATTTTTTGTAGCCTTCTTCTTTTTCCCACTATTACGAAACTGTCAGTATCAATTAACGTTTTGTACTCGGAAGTTTGTTTATGTTTTACGATTTGCGCTAAGAATAGGTCCTTCGGAACAAGTCTTTATGACTTTTGGTCGTTTCTTAATTTCCCCATTTTATTATGAAGGAGACATATAGGGGCGTTGTTCTACGGTATTCAACTTGCAGCGTCCTATTCATTTGCGATGTCCATCTTCTCTTTCTTTGTTGTTTTCGTTCTTCCTTCTTCTAGTTTTCTACTAATGCTCACGTCGTTGAGAAATGGATGAGCTACGAGATCGAATTAGCAACACGCTTCGAATTGAAGACAATAAACTCGTTCGCGAGTTACTGGCCGAGTGTATAGGAACATTTTTTCTACTGGTAATTTTCGTTTTTAATTCTAATTATGTTCATTTTCAGTTTTGCAGTGATATAGGAGTTTTCCGCGGTGTTGAACAGCCGTTTTACAAACTTGTAAGCTCCTTATATTTAGTTTATCGGCATCGCAGCTAATATACAAGCCGCTGCTTCTGTCGGTGGTAATATGACATCGTGTTATATCGCCTGGGGTCTTGGATTCATGTTTGCCGTATATCTTGCTGCTAGTGTATCAGGTTAGTACGGTAAATTATGGTCACAGTTTTTCGGCTTGCGTGGAAGTTAATCACGTTTATTTCACCTTTGCTATTATTGAACTCCGCGGACTTCATTGATCACCCTTTGTTTACTTTGAATTACTCGTGACGATATTTTTAGGTGCTCACCTGAATCCTGCCATTTCTACTGCTCAATGTGTGCTGGGTAACATTCCTATGTGGAAAGTCTTCCTGTATGCGATAGCTCAACTCATTGGGGCTTACTTGGGAGCAGCAGTCAGTTATTTTGGTCACCACGGTGGGTGAATTTAATCTTACATCTCTTCATCCAGTCAATCTCTGGTAAACTCAATATTTTCAAAAAGAAGAAAACGCTTTTCAGATGATCTTTGGAAGTTAGATGGTGGAAATCGACATGTGACTGGAGCTCGAGCAACAGCCGGTCTCTTCACCACTTTCCCATCGGCACACATGAGCACTTGGGGTAGCCTTCTAGATCAGGTCTCCACTACTAACTCCTATGAAAATATACATATTTATACAGTACTTGCATACAAATGAATGTTGTAATTTCCTAATATTACTCGATAGTTCCATGCGATTTTCTTCCACCTACTTTTCTTCTAACTCGAAAATCTCACATTATTATTGCAAGTTTCTTCAGATCCTTGGCACTGCAATTCTTGCTGGCCTTATCTGCCTTATCACCGACAAACGACACAAGATCCCAACTGGATTTGTACCTCCAGCAGCCGGAGCGATTATGTGCATGGTATAGTAAAGTGTCATACCGTTAGCACTTTTCAAAAACTAACCTCTCAACTTTTTGGTATAACTGGAATCTTTAGAAGACGTGTACTCTATAGCTCATTGTGGGAATTTGGACAGCAACTGATTAAATTAGATGAATTATTTAAACAAATGAGAGAGATTGTAAGGTAGCTTACCTACCAAATAAATTAAGTTTTTCCAAGAACAAAGCAGAACTTAGAAAAAGGAATAAAATTCTTCAAGAACAAATAAGAACATAAATTCTTCTCGGCACATAGATTGCTATGACATATGGTGCGAACGGAGGATTTGCGATCAATCCTGCTCGAGATCTTGGACCACGACTGTTCACGCTTTGTGCCGGTTACGGTTGGGAGGTGTTCAGGTGTGCTGGTCATGTTGTTGCTTTGGAATGCTCATTCTTTCTAAGTTATAGATATGCAGATACTGGAAATTAAGACGTTTCTTACTCAGATGTAGATCAGCTTTGCTATAATTTCATTATTGTGTTCATAAATGAAGGAATAAGTTACTCAAATACAGTGAGCTGCACTTACGCTGTTCTCTCTGGAAGTGAAACACAGTGACAATAATGCCTTGGTTATCATTTTCGTCTTTAGCGCCTACGGATACTACTTTTGGATTCCAATCGTCGGTCCTATGATTGGTGCCTTAATTGGAGCATGGTTATATAAATTGTTTATCGGATTACACGGTCTTAATGAAGATTTTGAGATTTGCTCAAAAGGATACAGTGTAAGTTTACCAATAAATCGAAATATCGATCAGAATGCTGAGACAGTTATCAGATCATAAGAAGTTGATGATCAATCCTTCGTTTTATTTACTCAAGTACTAACGCATTTTTCGTTGTTGTCTGTTGATTGCATGTAATGAGAAATTCTCTATGCTTGTGTATTAACTACGTTAAACTCATACGACATAAAACTCGTCTTCGCATTCTTGAACTCTGAAATGCTGAATATGGTAGAGGATTTCGTTTATCCTATATGTCATACGATTGATTTGTTCACATCGTTCTCGTACGCATGAATAAAAATAAGTTCGTTTGAATTTTTGCATGAAAGCTTTACTTTTGCGTTATCATCATATTTTGTACTCGATATATATTACAATTAGGGCGCGTGCGGTGCAGTGGTCGGAGGCGCCCTGCAACACACGTGGTATCGATCCCTACGCCCATAGTCCGCCAAGCCTTCCATCCCTCCGGGGTTGACAAATTGGTACCAGACCTGTTTGGGAAGATAGCAGCACTGGCTCGACACATCGGTAGGCCACCGCGAGTCATCGTAAAGGTCAGATATGCATTCGATCACCTCCAAACGATGCTTAAATGAAGTTGAATGCATTGCGCATCCCTCAGGGATTGATCAACGCCGAGAGCTTTATCCTTTATTTTATACATTCAATTAATAATTCTGGTTTTGTGAGATTCATTAATAACGGTAGAAAAAAAATCGTAAATAAAAACGTCTTCATTAGAAATGTTGACAGACTGTCAATTCGACCTTTCAAATCATTTCACTTCTTGTTAGAATAATTATTAAAGTTTATGAGATTCCTAGGAAAAGAAAGAGATCTAGTGTCTTTTCAGATTTTAGCAACCGAAAAGTTGATAATGACGAAGTCGGATAGCTTATTGATTGCTATCAGTATATTAGGGCGCGTGTGGTGCAGTGGTCGGAGGTACCCTGTAACGCACACGTGGAATTGATCAAGAGGCCCATGGCCCATCAAGCCTTCCATCCCTCCGGGGTCGAGAAATTTGTGCCAGACTTGTTTGGAAGGATAGCAGCACTGGCTCGATACATCGGTAGGTCACCACGAGTCAATGTAAAGGCAGGCCAGAGATGCATCCAATCACCTCTAAACGAGACTTACTAAAGTCGAATGCATGGCGCATCGCCCAGGGATTCATTAACGCCGAGAGCCTTTTAGCTCTAATCACTATAACAACCCTAAATTTACCTAAACTGGAAAAGTTTCGAGTTTAGGGGTTATAACAAATGTCACTGATTTGTTTCATTAGCAAAGATGAGCTCTAACAATCGATGCATGCTTTTCTCTTTTCTCTCTGCTGTTTTGTTTATTGCTTCGGTGCATCCGAAGTAAGTCTATTAATACCTATATAGTTCGGCATTTAATAAAGAATACATTTTTTTAGTAAAATGGATCCATCTGATCTCGATTTTGTTACACTACTTTGTTGAATGCAAGTACTTAAAGTACTTGGCGATAACACTAATAAGCCAACGTAGTGAACGACATTACTTAAGTTCAGCAAACATTCCAGTTAAAAATCCTGAAAATCCTAATTCTAGGATTTTATGCGTCGTTCACAGGGTATTTTGATTGGCTACGACAACACGTTATCAAGGTGAGTGTATCGCAATGTTTGTGATCGGACAAAAAACAAGTGCCAAAATGAATTCTTTCACAATCACACATTGGTACTAGGAAAAAAAAGCTAGTGAATCGTATGCTGGTGCCATGCACTAGATTAAGAAGCCCTTAACGACGTTCAAACGATGCGGTCTAATGGATTTGCTATGATAGAGGCATGAAAAACTGCCTTAAGTTACTGAGAAGATTTAGATCTGAGTAAGAACCTTACCACATTGAGTAACGCACTAACGCAGAAAATCGTACCCTATGTGAGTCGGTGCGACGAGCCTTGGAAAAGAAGCGGTTACAGTTTAGTTGTGCAGATTTTGCTTTTTTAGTTTTCGTTTTTAAACAAGACACCAATGAAAAGGGCGTAGCGGCTAGTTTTTACGTTGCACAGTCAACTCGTCAACTCACATCGACCTTGTAACCCTTGTTGAGACTGCCATTCACACTAAATACTATGTGGTACATCAAGGCTGAAACCAAGTACCGTTCAGCCGTTAAATGGACGAAAAAAATGGAACGATATTGTTCAAGAACTAATGACATTGTAAAATTTGACCTTTATTACTTTAAAGTAGAACCTGTCTGCTGTTGTTATTCAGCGTCAAGTCCATTGCGATGGGAGTTTCGCTTCGGACAGACGTGCTCACTTCACTTTTTTATGTATCGAACATTCGTTGCTGTCGATGAACGTAAACTTTTCGCGAGAAGCAGCAAAGATTATATGTGGAAAGTAAAATCGAAATAAAATAGTTCCTATGATATCAATTAAATATGATTGATATAACCACAACGACGCTGAGATATTTGCAAAACTCCGGACTGCAGGTGTCTGCGGTTGAGAATGAACACGCTATTGTCCTTTCCGGGGAGTAACGCGTTCACCACCACATCATGCGAGTCCTTCGTTTCGCCAGTCACTCAGCTAGTTCGATCGATCACCTGTCATCAGCAATCACCCGTCAACGGGATTGATCTAGCACCCGCATGGTGTGGTAGTGAACGCGTTATCACCGGAAAAGACAATAGCGCGTTCGTTCCCCACCGCAGACAACTGCAGTCCGGAGTTTTGCAGATGTATCAGCATCATTGTGGTTGTTTCACAAATAATACCCTGCTGTGAAAACTTGTAGAAGGTAGTAAATAAAAAGTCAACATTATGATTGATGTTTCGATACCATGTTCAACCACCGAAGCCATGAGTCAACATCATTAGTAGCCGAAAAATTCCTCGTTAAAGGTCTTGAACAATTCGAACCAATAATATATTTTATGAAAGCATCTCCGATTTTTTACCACACCAGTAATTCTGTAGGGCCGCATATAGAGCAATGGATAAAGTTGCGGCACAAATGCATCCAAAGCGAGTCAAGCCCATAATCTCTCCCGAAATAGTGAATTGCCGTGATTCTTGTATGACACCTAAACGACACTATGTATGGGGTCAGCACCGAATGCCTTCTCCTTCATCGTTTTATTAAAACATTGTAAATTAGAATACAGCATCAGCTTAACTGGATTCAGTTCCGGTTTTTGCTCTACAGACCATTCCCGTAGACGACTAAATGCTTATAGCAGTGTTAGGACAAGAAATACTAACTGAGAGAAAGACGCAGCAACGGCCTCATTGGTGCAGTGAGTAACACGTAAGCAATCGAAATCCGTAATCGTGGGTTCAAAGTCTATCTGAAGTTTCGGGTTTTGCTCATATCTCAACATCATCGTAGTAGTATTTTATGCAATAGCCTACCGCGAAAAAAATTAATAGGCGGTAAATAAAAGCCAAACATTATCGCTTAAGTAATAGTTCTGTAGTCCGTCAACCACCTCTTGTTCAGTAGTAAGTAAGCATTAGTGATTGAGAGTCGTGGTAGAGGTAGCGGAAAGATATTCTAAAACTTAAAAAACCTCTCTAATTCACTGTACGTTATTCCTCTTTTGACGTACTCGTCAGAATATAAGGCTTGGCTGGAAGTAGTCTAGTCTTTCAAAGAAATAAATTTCAGCTCATAGCAGAATTTACTAGTTAGAATAAAAGCCATCGTAACGAACGCACTGTTTCCATTAAGCTGGAGGTTTTCTGCTCTGCCACATTGAAATCACAGCTTCGTGTGGTCCATAAATCATTTTCTCTACCGCTTTTTTTCCGTCGACAGTTATATTGCCGCCAGCCATGAAAATGAAATGAAAATAGTACTTCTATAAAAATTTCCATACATTTAAAACGAAAGGATAAATTTCCTCCTACAAGTATACCAAATCTCAAAGCCCACAAAGGATTTTCAAGTTATCGAAAGAATATCACATGTCACTTAAAAACCCGCATCGCCAGGTTTATAATGACCAGCAGTTAAATCTCCAAAGATGATTAGAGCTAACAACTTTCTACGTTTTTACAAATGAAGTTGTCAGCTCAGAAACACTGAATGAATGTTGATAATCTACCGAACTCTTCAGGTCATCAGCCAATGCCGTCATTCAAAGACCGGAAATCGACACACGCTACTAATTTCGACGAATATCAAAATAATTCATCGTTAAATCTTTTTTTCTAGATTTCCTTTCAAACATTTCATACTAGTAGAGTGTTTCTCGTGAATCCTAAGAAACTCTTTCGTTTTCAGATTAGAAAACGCAGAATTCCTCTTCTAGATAGGCTCTTATGTATGAAATGCACTCTCTCCGACTATTCTAAATGCAGTATGTTCAATATGCAATATGTTATGCTCAAACTATATGTTCTTGATTTTTCTCCCGCACTGATATCAATGCAATTCTTTTCGGTTGCTTCTTATCGATTTTTTTCTTGGTAAACGTTTCTCTTGCAAATATGTTTATAGTGTGCTAATACCATTGCACTTATGTCTTCAATGTAGACAGAAAAACACTAGCAATTCTTGAGAAAACCATGAAACGATATGAAAATCTATGGAAAGTACATCGTCTTCCTGGTTGTTTCCCAGTTCTCTAATACTAACTAAAAAAGGAAATTCGCGCAAAAATCCCCAGTAAACATTTTCTCAAAGACAAGTGATCTAATTTTGATCACAACAATGCTGAAACATTAGCAAAAGCTGGATCCAATACCAGATTCAAATCTTCTATTACCCTTTCCAGGCAATCACGTATCCACTACTCAGTGACACGTGTTACCCAGGAAAGGGTGATCGTGGGTTCGAATCTGGGCTGGGGTCTAAGTTTTGGCAATATCTCAGCATCGTTGTAGTTGTAATTCATATAATATACCCTGTCATAAAAAAGCAATAGACAGTAAATAAAGTCTAAATATTGTACTTTTAATCAACTTGGCTAGTGAATCAATTCCGTTGGAAAGGCATCCATACCACGGTCACGTTCCAATGGTTTTTTTCGCAATTTTTTTCTAAAATTTCTCTTTGTGTCCTTTTCATAGTTAATGTTCCATCTGCTAATGAAAATTAACATTGATCATTTCTATAGATATAATGCTACGAATGAAGGAAAATTATTAAAAAATTGTTTAAGATAGTACGAATGTGTTTCTTCCTAATCTTTCAGACTTGTCGTTTACCGGGCTACTTCATGTTCAGCTGACTACAGTGGTAGAACTTTTTCTAGTTAGACTATAGCACACTGTCGCACAGTTTGAAAAGTATTAATGGACCCTTTAAGAGAAGATGACAGAAACCTAACTCTAATAAATAATTACATTACGTATGGGTAGTACAGTGGTATACTTAGATGGCTTACCTTCACTGGTTGTGCGGATCCCAGCACAATCTCAATTTTTCGGAGTTTTGCAGGTTTAACCATAGTGTTTTCCTGGAGTCCCGAGGTCAGCGTGGCCAATGATTACCTCAGGTAATCAACATCAGAGGCAGTTGCTGCTCTTGTGAATCAGAGGGAGATTTGCCACCATGCGACTAGTTTGGTACTAGGACGGTGGCAGATCCTGGTATACAGTGGTGGTCACGTCGTTCAATGCGCGTAAGAGCATGACTTGACTGCACTTGTCCTAATCAGCCCAGAATCCCATTTCTTCGAGGCCGGAAAAGGATTCCAGGTTTCTGTGAGATCAATTCGCTCCCTAAAATCCACAAAGGATGGCGACCGCTTGTGACAAAGACTTGGCTATTTTAGAATTCCAGGAAGAACCGATTTAGCCAGCATTGAACGACGTTTACGACAGAACCCCAAGTAATAGCCGACTCAACATGCAAATCTGAAAACCTTCGTTGATGACGGATGGGAAGAAACGAACTGAATACAAGAATTGTATTGGCCCTCTTGATATGTGATATCTGGTCGAATAAAATAAATAAATCACTGAAAATAACTGTGCTGTATCTACAACCACAACTTTACAGGCAGGAATCGTGTTGAACTACTAGAACATCACATAAAGATCAGCAATTCTGTCTAGCCGCAAGTAGTCGACAATTTGAGTGAAGGCGATCAGGTCAGTTGGTCTGAGCACCATATGATGTAATTCTGATGCACGAAGATAAGCGACGCCGATTAATGGGCGTGATAGACAAGTAAACAAGAATTTTTCCAGATAACACTTCCACTGATCTTATCGTAATGAGTGGAAAAGACTACGTGATAATGTGGCGTAGTATATGCGCGTTTGTATTTTCACCTAGTGACTAATCCTTCACTATTATCCACTCAAATCATTTCCTTCAAACTCTGTTGTGTCAAGTACTTTTTGTATTCGTGGAGTTCAACTCTGCGTACGCTATTAGAAGCAGCTAGCTATGGCTATAACACAACGAAATTTTTACTATGAAAGTATTGCATATTGTACAAACTCAAATGAAAGCGCAAATATCGTATTCAAACCAGTTTCACAAGGTTCGTTCATCTGATCGCTACACGACCCAACTCATTATTGTAAAGCCAGGTTCGGCTGACCAGCAATATTTTTTTTTCGATTTTCTTTTTCCGAAAAAGAAATGAGAAGAATTCGCATCCTCTGTGTTGCCTTTTCAATGTTAGTCCGTTGAACGTCACATATTCGAGGATTTTCATCATGTGGTTCACAGAGAACGTTTGCAGGAGTTCTTACTAAAATCCATACTTTGACGCAAAAAAAATCCCTTACTAAATTAAGGCTTTTGTGAAGAACATTTCTTATTGGTTGAAGGGAAACGTTCGATGCTGCCTGCATAAAAAGTAAAAGAAAAAAAAGTTCTACCAAATGTCATGGCTCACAATCTTCACTCTTTGATAGGTGTCATTTCAGGCATGTGTAATATCAAAGTGAGTATTGCTATTGCGATTCTAGGCATTTCTGCAGGACTTTTTGCTGGACTTTGTTTTGCCATACAATACCAGGTAAATCGACCTAATATCTAATTTCTTTATTCAATATTCTCACCATGTATTCTCAATATTTCTTTCATTTGTCTCTTTCCTACGCAGTAGTCACACACTAGTGCCTTCAGGTGGGCTGCCACTTGAGGCCTTTGTCTTTTTCATAAATGTGATTGCATGCTTTTCGAATTGATTCTTCACAGAGCACTGAGGTAGCTCCACTAAAGCGTCCGTATTTCTCCACTGTAGGAAGCCGATCACCTCCGCAGATTGGAGAGAGGTTCTCTCAGACGACCTTGGTGCCATTATTCGAAACATATATGGATGGAGTGTTTGTTTGACCCGGCGCTGTGGATTCTCCCCAACAATGCATATTTTTGCGTAGCATCAACTGTGCTTTTCGCACCCTCACTATTACTGAGAAAACGATTCGGCATTCGAAGTTTCAAGAACATCTTATAAGATAATAAGATATAAGATAATTTTGTAACCAGAATCACTAAATGATAACGTAGACCGCTGTCATTACGTGTGACGTTTACAGAATTGGCCAGCGACCATAGCGGCGTTCATATCAGCTGTAGCAGCAACTGTACTAGTCTATGTGCATCTGGCATATTTTAAGGGATGGGTTCTCGATTGGCCCAGTAGTCGATTTACTTGCTTCATTTGGGCAGGTAGGTAGTTGTGTCAGTGAGAAACCTTCATTGAAAAAAAAGACATGTCTATATGAAATTTAGCGTATTTTTAAAATATTTTCCAACATGGTCATTCAAATCCAAATAATTTTCTGTGAATAGAGAAAGCGATGAAGAAAGCCTTCAAAATGGACAGGATTGCGAAACTTGAGTATCCATAGATGGTACCTTGAAGACGTCAGCTGAAGTTTACCAAAGCGCACCATAGTCTGACGAAAAACATGGTCGAGAAATAAAATAATGCTTTCGGAGCACTTCAAAGAAATTGTTGAAAAATGAAGTAAAAAAGCGATGGTTAAATGTCACATGAAATGAACGAACAGCGTATACCTTACCTTGCCATCCATATGTGCGAGAAATGCATTCCTTTTATCGGCTGTCGACGATGGAAAATGAATGCTGCACGACAAACCATGACGTCCTTGGACATGTTGAACACAGAGGAAACAGAAGCACTTTTCTGATGTCAAATTTCCATCAAAATGTGATACTATACAGGCCTTCTCGTTCTCAACAGAGAAAAACATAAGCTATTACTTCTGCAGAAGTCGCAAAAATTCGAGCATGGAGCTCTGCCACTCTGCTCCCTCGGCAAAAATTGTCGAGCCAGACCTCATTGCATTGAAGCACACCAGTGATTATTTGCATAGAAAATCCTCAACAATCAAACCACCGTTGAAAATATCTTCAGGAGAATCATCAACTATAAAACCCTTGAAAGACTTTTATAAGTTGAGATATACGTATTTATGCACGTTGGTCAGATCAAAAGGATAAAGGATAAAGCGTTCAGTGGTGATCAGTCCCTGAGGGATGTGCAATACATCCAACTCCACTCATGGCATGATAGAGGTGATTTCAATGCATATCTGTCCTACACTTGCAGTGATCTACTGATGTATAAAAGTCAATGTTGCTAATCTGCCACACAAGTCTGGCTGCAATTTGCCGACACTGGATGGATGGAAGCCATACTGAGCACTAGGAGTGGGATCAGAGAAGGGACCGACTCAGTCTTTGTTGCAGATCACACCTAATCACTGTGCTGCATACTCCCTTGACCAGTCCTCGGTACTCTTGTGAAATGGGAGAAAACAAACTAAACTAAAAATACAACTACAACGTTGCTGAGATATTCGCAAAACTCTGGACCGTAGAAGAAACGCGTTACTCCCCGGAAAGGACAATAGCGCGTTCGTTCCCCACCACAGACACCTGCGGTCCAGAGTTTTGCAAATATCTCAGCAACGTTGTGGTTGTATTTAGCTTAGTACCCTGCCGCGAAATTATAGTAGGCAGAAAATGAAAAGGTAAACTAAAAATGTTTTAAGTTCCAAAAAATGTAAATATCTACTTATTTAGACAGTGGTGTAGATCGTTTACGATGCGAAAAAGCTTCAAAAGTTTGAGTAACTAGGTAATTTCATCCATTATCAATCAGGATGGACGTTATTTCTCGTTGGAATGATAGGAATGACAGCATGCTTGGTTAATGCCGGTGTCCGACATCAAACACTTACAGAGGAAGGTGAGGTCAACTACTACGACGATACGAATCTGATAACAACCATTTAACACTGATTACTGGATAAATAGAGGAAACATTATCAATTTTCGAGTGTTGAAGTCTCTTTCACATTATACATTACTGAATTTCAGGATTGAAAGGTGCTAATCTCTGGATTACCGCTGTGTGGTTTTTCATGTTAGCCAAATGGACATCACTCATTGCAGTCTTTTCACGTCGTTATAGAGATGCTATCACCATTCCACTTTCAAAAACTCCACCTATTCGATCTGAAAATCTTGTCTGAAGACTTTTAGCAATCTGACGGGTTTGGAAGACTTTCTTTTCCTATAGACATTAAAATGTATCATATTGTTTCAGTCACATGCCACTTTCCGTGATAACTAGACATAAATTCATTGGAAAATTTAATATATTCTGTATTTTAAAGCTGCCAAAATATCAATAAAACTGAAGATAAAGACCAGAAACAATTACAAAACTAAGCGCTATTAACAATTCCTTGGAGACATGCACTAATTTCAATGCACATAGCGTCTAATTCTCGTGTTATGGCGGTTCCATTTCAGTCATCCTTAAATTACTACGAACTAGGCGTAGCAAAAAAAGCACTACCAGGCAAAAACAAATAAACAACTAACACATGCGTTCTTTGCCTGGTTCTGCCTTCTTCACAATTCTGCTTCTTTATCATATGATGAGCTTATCTAAGCAATCAAGCAAGTACTGTGACCGTAGAAAGCGGACAGTCTGACTATTTTGTTATACAAGTCATAAAAGATCTTTCTGTGAAAAACTTGAGCGCCGTAAATGTCTAGAGCTTTGCTAAGCTTCTGTCTCAATCGTGTCGAAGACCATTTTAAGCGGAAGAAAGGTAAACGAATTGAAATATCGTTTATTTATGATTTGTATGCTGCCAATGAATAAAAGTTGGAAATCTTGTGAGCGAAACCTCCTGAATTATCGGTATAAATGTAGGAACGACATAATTTGGTGAACATGAATCATTTCGATGGGCAAGCTCACTCTGTGAAAAGCAGTCCGAGGGGAGGTCGGTCGCTTGGGCATGGATGGGGAGACGCGAAAATGGTGAACTAAAAGGAGAAAGTGGCCGAAGCCTTGACTGTGTTTTATACTTTGCAACAAGACAAAACCTTGAAAATTAGCCCTAAACTCCATGTTTTGCGTACTCTAAGTGTTCTTCAACAACACCCTAAAGGTGAACAGCTAGCTAACGAACATGAAGAGGTTCATGTAGGGTCGGACACCGATGAATTTCCACATTGTTAATACATTGAGCATTTTTTCACTTTTACAATTAATTGAAAATAGACTTAAAAAGACACATCATAGACTTGTTATAAATAATTCAAGTTTATTCCAGCGAATACTACAAAGATTTGGAGCCAAGTATTTCCACTTGCGAACATTCTGATTTCACTTTCACAGTTTGTAGCACAAACAAATGCATACTTTTCTACAAAAAATGAAGCATTAACTTTCTTATAACTTGGGTCCTAGAATTTTTCTTTCCGAACTTCAACGCTCAAGCCCTAACTTCCGATGTCTTCGAGATTTGGCACTGGTATAAGAGTCATACACATTAAATCTACTCTATTCAAAAGTAAGAAGGGCAGGATTAACATAATCAGCATGGAACTAGGTGAAAACAGATGGACAAGATTCTGAGATGACGAAATTCTGTCGTCGTGCGAACTGTCCGGTCTGCTGGAACGATATATTCTACCTGGATAACTTGCCGATTAGGCCGAGTATGGTCTAAATGGAGAGCCCTTACGGAAATTGTTGTGGAACAGCATGACACCTTACTGAAAACGGTAGAAGCTTGCACCACCAGAATAATCACGTCTCTTTGTAGTTGCCGGTTCTAAAAGAACCGTTAGGTCTCACCAGTAGCCCAAGACTACGTGAAATCGTGAGTTAAACAGCCAAGATTATTCATCTAAAAATGTGATTTTTACAAAAAAATTTGTAGTGCAACGAGAGTTTTGCATTTATAAACTTCTATAGCCCAATCAGGACAGATTAAGAAAAGAGCGAAACTTTGTCGGCCAACGGAAACCGATTGGATGTCCTGGAAGTGCGGAAGAAACAGATGCAAAGGCGGAACTCGAAAGCTGACCGCAGCGTAGGCTCTACTTTTTCATTCACTTTTTACATGATCTTTTCTTTACATATTATGCAGATCCCATTGCTTTTTGCTGTCGTTCCGTTATCTTTCATTGGTCATTGCTCATGTGTTTTTCCGGTGTAAAGGTGGTGGTAGTGGGTGGTGGTAGTGCATTAGTTAGTGATGGTTTCGACTTGGAAGCAATACGCTAGTACGACCCTCTCCCCAACGCTCTCTTCCAATACCCATGGCAACGGCAGCCTTGGCTCGGCCACCTTCAAGATAACAAGGAGAACCGACTCGACCAGCATTCCACGACATTCATAAAAAGAAGAATATGTCAAGAAGCAGCTGAAACGAAAAAGAACCGAATGCAAGAGGTTCTGAAATCCATACAGCGGATATGATGACAAGTCATGGAAAAAAAGTGATAGAAACCAAGCTTTGATCCTACAGCATTTCAGCAGAGGTAAACGACGGTTCTTGCTTCACATGGAATCCCTCGTTATCCAAAACTTGAAGACTTATCATAACTACATATATTCCTGTTGACACCGATGACATTGGTACTGGGTAAAAGTCCAATGAACAAAAACATGATACCTCAAATTAATATGCCTGAAACAAAGAGACCACACATATAGCTTAGTTAAAGGATGACCGGCCGATCAATTGTGACATTACGCTGCACATGCGCAATGTGGTGAAGAAGAGACCAAAAGCCATCGGGTTGTAGCACCTAAAGCACTATAAATACTGCTGAAGTTCAGTAGTAAAAGCTCTAAAGTTCCCAGCGTTAATCAATCCTTGAGGAATGCGCCATGCATTCGACTTCATCAAGCACCATTTGGAGGTGATTGGATGCATATCTGGCATTTACAATGACTCGCGGTGACCTACAGATGTATCGAGCCAGTGCTGCTACCCTCCCAGACAAGTCTGGTGTACCAATCTGCCGACCCCGGAGAGATGGAAGGCTTGGTGGGACTGGGGGGCGGAAAACGATTCCACGTGTGTGTTGCAGGGCGCTTCCAACCACTGCGACACATGCGCCCGCCCTGCAAATCTCTCAGCATCATTGTGGTTGCATTTCGCACCATGTGAAAAATCATAGTAGGCAGCAAATAAAAGGTTACCATTATCCTTACATTTTTCGTATATCGTATTCACCTATAAAGGCTTGAATTATCTAGCAGCGGGTTAACAGCAAAGTTCCTAGTGGGCGGTCTTTGTATACTAAAAGCTGTTTAATACAGTCCGCCCGCGTGGAGGTCTATGAGGAATTTCATGCACACTCAAAGCTACCCATGAGCGTATCCAGCTTCCATTTCAGCCACTCGACTCCAAGCCAGGTCATGGCGCGAGATCGTTTGTTGGACATTTACGGAAATGTATGTGGTCAATACCTTGGGGTTTTTCAGGCTGCCAAAATCTATGAGAACTATAATTGCCAACTGCAGTGATAGCAAACACACGCTACCATCCAAAGACTTTCACTGATGATTTCACAATGTCAGATAAAAAATCAAGATACGTAATCTGACCGAGACAAGAAAACATTGGTCTTTAAACTATGTTTGTGTTACAGGAATTGTACAATCCACCACGTGATAATAACATAGGCGATGCCTTCGGAAAAATGAGCTTGGTTATGAGCACATGGATTCATTTGAGTAATGATAATAATGATACGATAGGAATAAAAATTACAAAGGCAGTGCAGCAAGAGAGGTGGCTCGTTGTTTTCTTTTCAATGTCGCACTTTTGACACCTCTATGTTACAACCTTATCAATGGGTAATTGGATGCGCGAAAAGCTAGAAACTGTCGATAAAAGTCCGAAACAAGGATTTTGGAGGAGAAAACATCAACCGATACGTATGTTTTGCAGTAAGATCAAGCTTCACTTTTATTCTCTTTTCGAACAACTCTCTAGTGATGGTGGAGATACGGTCTGCTCTTCTTGTTTAGGGACGTCACTTTCGTTGGAGCTTCGCTCAGATAGTCCATCACTACAGGCAGTCACCGGCCCATGTGGACTAAAGAGAAATTTGTCACCTTCCAACTAATTTAATCCCAGGACGAGAGCGATTCTCAACATTGGTTTATTTTTAGCTGTGCTTCGAAATGGAAATTTCGAACCCTTCCTTAATGAATATCAAACCTCTTCCTAGCTTAGAGACCCTGCTCAGTAGAGGCACAGAAGGGGGGTTTTTATGAGAAACCCGGCTTCTATTACAGTTCGATCACAATCAGGCTGACTACTCCCCCAGCCATAATAAGGCAATAAACCAACGCGAGTTGCGAAAAAACAGATTGAAAATTAGAGTGCATCCACTCAACACATAAAGATCCTCCACTAACGATACTGCTGCATACAACCAAACCCCTCACTTCTCCACTTTCAACACCAGTGACGTAAACAAAGAGGTCTGGAATGTAATGCTACACTGCTAAAGGTACACAATGTCTTTAAGAACGTCATTCGGAAACCGCGCTCTTGTGACATGGAAGCGATAGTTAATGATGGCAGCTTCCATTCCGCTAATAGCACAGTTATCAAAAAGTTAAGCAAAAGGCAGGCGAATGAAATGCTGGCCAGTTTAGATGGCGCTTATGGAGATATCGATTTATCGCTGAACACAAAACAAAGATTGTTAATTAGAAAACGATTTGCGTCCGATGTCACCTAAGCCCACTCATTCTTCACAGTCACAAAAAAGAACGTTAAAGAATGCTTCAGCCCTTTTCAACTAAATCAAGAAGAAATCTAGCATGATGCTTAGAGTTGAGCAACAACTGGCTTCTAAAGTCTGTAACATCATCGAAAAATGGTGAATAAAGCTATCCAATCTTCCACTTCTTGTCCACCTCGCCGTTAAAATGGTTCTTTACTTCAATTTTCTACCCCTCCTTAATTTATCTATTTGATTCCCAGCCTTTTGATAATTGCATGAATATAACAAACGTATTGGATTTTCACTACCAACATCAAAATTAACGCCATTCGCGCATTCAACTCTTTAATAGCGTAAGGGGGCTGAGTCCTTGAGAGTCAACATATGTTTGTCTTCGGATCCAACAGATCAATAGTACGCACACAACAATCTTAAAAAGCAGTGATGAAAAAGGAGCTTAAGGAGGAGCCGCGAAGTCTTCGGACTTTAGGAAGAAGATCCAAAGAATCAACTGAGACCTCGCCAACCACATGAACAAATGACTGTTCTAGCATCTCCAGATAGAAGAGAGAATGCATCCAAACAGGCGAGAGTAACCGTATTATACACGCTAGCAGCACCTTATTGCACTGTCATAGACACACTTCTAATGATACCTTACACTGTGATAAAAGTAAGAATATTGGCGAAGATTGGCACTTTTTAAGTTCATGAAATCGACTTCACGTTTATTTCATCGAATATGACGATAATCTTCTAAAGACGACCTCATCATAACCAAAAAGCATCAAAGAGGCATATACACCCGTTAAAATGAAAAAAAAAACCAATACTGCAGACGAAACAAAAAGGAGAACAAAGCACTTCTCACAATCCGTGATACGACTGATGAATGAAGAAGTGGAGTGTGAAGGTAACATCGGTTTACCTTCTTACATGAATGAAACTAGAAACAACTGCACGAGTGGTGAGAACGAAAAGCAAAAACAAATGTATGAGTGGTGAGAAGAGTAAGCAAACAACACCGTGATATGCTCAATAGTGAATGGAACGCGTCCCTTAATAAGGACAACAAAGGTGGCTCTAGCGTTAGTTGTGGTGAATTTGACTGTAGATGCGAAAAAAGCTAGGTCTCATTTTCCGAATCGAGATCGGCACCCTATAAAAAACACCAATAAATTTGTTAAATATGAAGTTATGGTAAAATTTCACATTTGCTATGAAGGCCGATTGAATATTGACTACTAGATCATCAAATAAATAACGAGTACTCACGTGAGCTATTTTTGCATCTAACATTCGGAAGAAATCTGCCTGACTCGAGCTTACGACCTCTCTGAAATAATCCAGTCATACAACCGACTGAAAGAAAAACAGAATAGCAAGTTATTTGGATTTGACTCCTGACTATGTGACGACAGAGAACAATGAAGTAACTCCCAAGTCCGACTTTCTATTAACCTCAGCATTGATTGAATATATCTTTCTACTTCTGTTCAATGGAATGTTCTTCTGGAGGAATGCCTTGTTATCACGCGTGATATTGGACAGTATATAAACCTGTTATTCTGATGGGAGGGGCACATTACGCTTCCATGTGAATTCTGTGCGGTCGGTCTTCACGCGATATACTCAGTGGAAGACTCATAGAAAGCGGTGAGTGTGCAGGGCTATGCTAAATGTGATTGAAATCTTGGTTTAGAGTTTTCTCTGTTTGGTTATGGAGGTGTTTGGCCGAGTGGATTGCTGTCAACTTGACCCTTCCAGGCTCTGAGGAAGGCGAAATCCGCCGAAACGTCAGCTTGTGCGTAAATAAAGAAATAAAATAGCACCTGGTGCTTGCTGAACAGAAGTAGAAAGAGAACAATGAATTCCGATGACATGGTAAATAGATCGGCTGACAAATTTTCTGGCAGCATTTGATACGGTTATCAACTTGTAAGCACGAAGAAGCATTACGTACCCGATAGGCTTCGACAGTGACACATTATTCGGAGGGCATCCGTTCCTGAAAATTGAGAAAATGAACTAGTACAATACAAAGCTTATATGCACAGCTACCTTTCTTATTTCTCAGTATTTTGGTAGAAGTCATAGACTATATGGACGCATAAAATAAAGTATATTTTCATGAATCAAACGGAATGCTGACTTCAACAAGGTACGAAAAGATCGCAGTACATAGCAGCAGTTCTGCTACACACAGTATTTTCACAGCATCTCGCTAGCAATTCACAATCGAACAAAAGTGGGAAATAACTTACGCACTATCATTATGGAGTTCTCCACAGTTGTGCAAATGATCGGCGATAATCAATTGCGAAATGGCGAACGCTCTATTTCGCACGCGATCATTAACAGTGGTGATTTTTTTTTACTAGGAACGAAGTCCATGTATTATAGTAGGACGTTAAAGCGGGTTAGAATAAAATAACTAGAAATTTAAGCGAAAGAAAGGGCGTAAAACAGCTCAAAAGGAGGAATGCATAAGTTTGAAAAAGATATGAATTGCTTTAAAGATGGACGGCAGACTCAAAATTTCTGAAAAACATAAAGTGGAACAGAAATCATTAATGAAATTGTTATAATTTGTACCTCTAATGTGATAAACGAGTGTTAAAAGGTATTTAGAGCGCACACCTCAAATGATCGTATGCCTGGGTCGCGGTGTCTCGCTGGCCTAAGACCGACTGTCCATTCGATACTGGACTGCAGTCCTCTTTTTTCGCAGAATGTTCGCACAATTCTGTGGATTCGGTTCTTGTCAAGCGGCATCCCATATCATAATACGGAAAAGCACTATAAAGAGCCAACATAAAATTTTAGTAGTGGTAATATTGTCATGAATACGGTAGTCAATAAGTAAGATTGTCTTTAGACATCTCTTAATAGATTACTGAGCGCTGTTTCTCTTAATATGAGCAGCTTGAAATCATAAGAGTAGCACTGAGAAAACCAGCTAGTTTCATTCACAAGAAACACAAACTCGGCTTAAAGAAGCTTATTTTAAAAAAAGTCCTTCATCACAGAGAGTAAGTAAAAAAGTCGAGAAAATGAACTACGGTTATGCGAAGGATTTCAAAGGCGGAATTGCGGAATAATTAATGCGAACAATATTGTGCAACTGACTAACACAAAAGATTTCAAAAACAAAAAAGGAGCCACCCTAATCATGAAAGTCGACTTGATCACTATGGTATGTGAATGAATAGTATTAGTGTTCTCCGAACGATTTTAGGAGCTGTTTGCGGTCCCTATAAATTTGAATACTGCATAATCGAGGGGTGAAAATAGAACAAATGGTATATAAATAAAAACGGAAATAGAGTGAGAAATGGGTAGGAGAGGGAATAGAAGAACGAAGTGATGAAAACAAAGAGAAATACGGAAGAGGAAAAGAAAAACAGAAAAAAGAAGATAGAACGAATAACATAGCGCGAAGAAACCATAATGATCATTAAAAAAGAAAGTTTGATAACTCGGAAAAAACAAATGAAATAAATACTACAAGAAGAAAATAAATCCGAATAAATCCAGTCCTATCTGAGAGCATCCGTTCACACGACTGCGCGCAACCATCAGATCATTTCTAGTACAGAGAACTTTAAAAAAAAGAAAGATAAGTCGTTTATAAATAGTGCAAATGGAACAGAAACACTACAATCACAATCACAACCAATCGCTAAGGACCATAGGTATGTCAGCGTATTTCACGAACATTACACCTCACTGTGGCAAAAAGGTGTCCTTATGTTAAATGTTAAACTATTATGTACAGCGACTTCATCTCCGAGCTGCACGATCTCCCAAGTAGACAAGGAATTCAACGTTCTCCAACTAAGATTAAACAACGTAAGTCACGGCAGAGGTCGGGCGTATTATCAGTAGCAACCTTACCACTAGTAATTGTAAAAATAGCATCGTAGTAGATGTGCCGTGCTTTTTGTGCTCCAGGAGTGAGCGAGACCTAAAAGGAAACCTCTGACACCAGATGACATCGACGAATGAAGAGATTAGTGGTGCCCGTCGCTAGTCATTTGACGGTTAACGGTATTACAGGTGACAGGTAACAGCTGATATTCGGGACAAAATCGAAGTTATTAGACCTATATGCATGCAGTTTGTACAAGACGTTGAGAAGGTCCTACGAAAGGATATTCACAAAATCAAAATGAAACCGCCATGTTAAGGCCCCGATAGTGATAAGACGAGGAATATCGATAAATCACGTACACCATGAAACACCGGAGGAGACAAAAAACGCGACTTAATCACCACGAAATTTCGTTCGTTCTCTGATCAAATATTGCTATTTACACCGAATGACATTGCCATTACTCAGAAACACAGTAAACTGAAATAATTAAGAAAATTATTTCAAATACTGATAACCACTGGACAAATGGCGATTGTTGATAATTGTTGCCGTGTATCTGAATCGAAGCCTAACGAATAACGCTCGTAAATAGGAGACGGACCAACACTGACTGCCTCGTTAAGGTGATGAACAACTCTCCCGAAAAGGAAGTAGCGCGCCGAGAGATGGCGCAATCGAATTAGGAAGTGCTGCGAACAACTTCCTAAACAGCCGCCGTTGAAATCCTGTAAATCGAATCTGACCAGAGTCCTGATTTCAACCATATCATCTACGTTATTCGATATCATCCAACTACATCTGATTCGTTTTTGCCGAGTATCCGGCTAGCTCATTACTAGCCACCAGAAACCTTTCTTTCGTCTACGCTACATTTTTATGGGTGCTATGGACACATCAAAACAATCACTACTGCGACACTCTGCCATCGAATTAACCGTTTCCGTATATGAAGTTGGCTTTTTCGCAAACTTCTGATAATTCTTCGATAACTCGAATAGCTGAAGAGTTGAGTATGTGATCGGCTTACAGAAGAGACCTTGCCTTGTCTACTTCTGAATAAATATGGCTCTTCAATACTGTTATTGAATTCCTAAAACCGTTTTAAATCAAAATTTTCAAAATAAATGAAAACGATTTTCCAGTTTTTTAAAGATAAGATCCTAGTAGCCATAAACACTAACAATGGATTTGAGGACGTCATCCTATTCTAAGGGGTCAAATACCACTTGTAAAACCTCTTTCATTTCCCAGATGCGATCGACGCGAAACAAAAAGAATGACAAAAGTAGGATTTCCGGCATGTACGAAATCAGGTTTCCAACGTTGCAATATATGATCTGCTACAACTAATAACGTTCACTTTGAACCCATACATGCCGGTTTAAAGTTGAAAGTTGCCATTATTTCCGCACTGACGCGTGGAAATCAATCTACGCTGGACGGTAAGTGTTAAAATACCTAAAATTCAGCGTGATATTTGAAGTCCTTCAACTATGCTGACGGCAAAAAGAGGACCGTAAGAACCTGGATAACATCCAGGCCACGCCCACTTTTACTAGCCCGTTAAGCCATCGTAAAAGTACGGAAACCATAAACACTCCTGTTGAGCAACTTGGCAACGGTACGACGAGTCGGTGCTTTTATGCTCATAAACCTATTCATAGCTTTAAGTTGCCATGCATAAGACACGGTATATCATAACACATTTTTAAATTTAGCATGCAAATACAACTAAAGCATAAATATAACGAGCTTTTTTCTGGTATCCTATGGAAGAACCATTTTTGACCGAAACTTCCGAACTAAATACATGAGAACAGAAGAGATAGCTCTAAAAACAGTATTTATTAGATTCTACGACATTACTTGATGCTCTTTCATAAATGTATAGGAGAAAAATCGTTCAAAATGACGATAAATAAATCATTGCCTTTACATACACATAATGCAAAGAAGGTGTCGAAAGCTGACGCACGGATTGTAAGCAACAGCAAAAACATTGTACAGTGATAACAATGATAACGCAAATAAGAGAACCGCAATTCTTTAACTCTGGAATAAAGCATGTACGAATTGTTCATAGTCGAGACCTCCTTGAATTGAGCGACCGGAAATGGCATCCGTGTACGGTTTCATTCTCTTGATACAGTATTCGGCCTGCTCAGTTGTGAGGTTCTGAACGAATTCACACGAGTTTTAGTCATCTTAGTGAATAGATTTGAAGGATGGCAGGAATATGTCTCCTTTTTTTGGGTGCAAGTTAAACTTGAGCAAAAAGCAGATGTATTTAAACCCACCGCATAAAGCTCTTCAGCAGTAACATATGGACGAAATTCCTTGGATAAGGCTCGGAATGCCATTTCGATTTCCTCCGATGACTGTATGTTCTCAGTCTCTTTGCTGATCATAAACGCCATATACTCTTGTAATGTGACATAGCCGTCACGATTTGGATCGACGATGTCGAGAATTCGATTGAATTCTGGCTCTGGTTGGCCCTCATCCACCATAGGAAGATCGTAACCAAGCGCACGAAGACAGCTTTTGAACTGCTGATGATCCAAACGTCCACATTTCTCCTGAAAAAACAAAATGGATAGTAGAGAAACAAATGGACGTAAAAAGAAAACCATATCTATGAAAGACCAAGCAGTTTGCAGAATCTCAAGGCAAAGGGAAAAAAATGAGAAGAGAAACAGAACTATAGAGATAAGAAAAGTGACCTTGTCGAAGTGCTTAAACATCATTGAAAACTCGCGCAAGGCTTCCTCTGTAACACCAGATTGATTGCGTGCTTGAATTTGCTGTTCAAGATTATGCTGCATACGCATAGCTAGCTGATCAAGTTGATCCCATGCTTGAGCCAACCCGACTGTCGAGTGTTCTGTGTAGCTTAAATAGTGGATTCAACAATTACGACCGAAAATATTAATGAAGCAGACCTAAAGAGAAGAAAGTGAAGAAAATCGACATGCATAAAGCTAATCAGAGATTGCTAACACAGAGTATATTTTTGAAAAATTTCAAGGACACAAAAATAAGGATATTCATCAATCTAGCAGCTTCAAAATTATAATAAAGTGGACGAAGGAGATCGCATACCGATTATCTAAAATTAAGTTCCTCTCCAACATGGCGCCTTGCTCTTCAATTTTTCGCAACTGAGTTTTATTCGCACGGATTTCACCAGCTTTCTTTTTCAAAACCTCCAGCTGCTCCTCTAGCGAACCACTTGCTTCCATCATTTCCTTAAATTATGTCTGCTGTCTCAAGAATAAGATTACCTGAACATTTAATAACACACCTGTCGGGTTTGCGTTAACCAGTGGTGGAAAACGTTGGCGAGCTTGGCAAAGTCACGGCGCAATCGATCATTGTCCTCTTGACGATTGCTCTCCTTTTGAAGCTCGATCTCACGATCCTACAATATGACAGCTTCTGTCCAAATAAATATGAGTGGTAAAAAAAGAATAAAACCGTGCTAATAGTTCCTTTTTTAAAAATTTGCATTAACAAAATTGATTACTTTAATGATTCTTTGCAGATTGCGCCACGTATCTTCCAAGGCATCCATCGTGAACCATGTATATGGATTGGGACCAACATTGAACGATTTGATTTGCTTATCCAGCGCTTGCAGTTGTCGGAAATCTTCCTCAGCTGAGCTTAGAGATCGCTAGAAAATAGATGTGATAAAAAACGGTGTTTGAAATCATGAAATGTGCAGAAAAATATCTCATTGTGTTAGTATAGTAATACCTGGAAATCTGCATGCGCTTCACGAAGGGCGCGAATTTCTTCTAGTGAGTTGCATCTGACCGGATCTGTTAAGTCCTCCTCGGCGTTTTCGAACCATGAGTTAAAAGTGGATGCCTTCTTGGCAAAAGCCAAATAAAGCTCCTGGGAAGAATAAACGGTTTTTAACTTCCATTCATCGAATAAAGTAAACAAACACTAGTGTAACGCATACTTCGATTTGTTTATACTGGTCCTGCATTTTAAGCAATTTCTGGCGACGTCCTTCGGAATGTGCAAGCAGTTGCTGCCATCGAGTGATCACGTTCGCATGACGTTTTTGAATTGCTGGTGATTGATGATGGTTGCCTCTCACAAGCTGGTCTTTCAGTTCAGTGATTCTAAAACAAACTCCTCACAAATAAGAACCACTGTGAGGGTCATGTTTAGCAAAACGACAAAAGAAAGACCACCTCTGAATTCCCTCATGCTCAAAGGCATTTAATCCAGCATCGAATGCTTCTTGCTTTGTAAGAAGAATCTGTACTGATGACAGATCACGACCATAGTCGTCGGATCGCACCTGCTGTTCCTTTTCGGCTGAATAATAACACACAAGCATCATGGAATGATTAAAAAAACCGCTAGCTATCTACCAATCCAGCTCTCAACAACATCGCATTTCCACATGAATTGCAAATACGCTGAGTTATCGCGAAGTTTCTGCAGACGGCGCGCAGCCATATCTTCAATATTTCGAAGTCGGTTCAAGAGTTGGTCACAACGATCCTTGATACGAGGACCATGATGGTTTCCAGAGTCAATGAGCTAAGAGAATTTTCATTACGAGGTATTATCGTCAAAATGAAAACAGAAATCCTCCACCTGTTTTCCTTGACGGATAAGATCATCAACACGCTGTTTGTGAAGCTGTAGGTCAACCTCAAACGTATCATGCTTTTTCAGTAGGCCTTGCACACCAGCCATGTTATCGCCATAGTTATCAGAACCTACACGAAAATAACAACCGGTCAACAATGACAATACATGAAACAATTTCTTTACCGAGAATTTGCTGTTTAGCGTTCATCCAAGCTTCTTCCTCTTCTATCTTCCCTAGAAATTCTTGGAACTCTTCTGACTCATTGAGTTTTTGGTGCCTAAATATCAAATGTATATATATATATATAGCTCTTTTCGTTGCTGAATTGAAATACTGGTCACCCCTCTACCCCTTGTCGAAAAACAAACGAAGATATTATTATTACCAATAGATTCGCCAGATTATAAAACAAAGATTAAAAGAATAAAATATTCACGATTGCCCTCACTTTTAAACAGGAGACGACAATTTATCCATCCAAAAAATAGTGATGAAGTCGAGAACTTCACTGATTTATAAGGTAGAGTTTGTTCTATTGTAATAACGATCCACAGATCTCCCTCATATGAGAGATCTCGAGCCGGTTAGTCGCGAAGCTACGTGGCGCGTCACCAAGTGGCGGATAGGAGGTTAATCGCGAACCAAAAGCGATCTTTTCTTCCCTGAGACACAGTTGGATCCAGGGGATGGACTCTCTGTTTCTGCTGCGCTAATTTGGCACATACTTTCTGTATTCGCTAGGTGTATTCATGCATGCGTGCGTGGGCGCGTTCTTGCTTATGCCGATTGTATTGTATGAGTCAATTCGGCGAAAAGCCTGCAATCAAGTGAGTGGGAAGTATATGAGAGGCGGTTAGGGTTCGCCTCCAACAAATAAGCTTCATGTCCACTCTGGGACAGCCTGGTAAGCTACCCGTTGTTATACCCAGTCAACACATTCAGAGCACAGAAAGCTATACGTTGGTAACAAAATGCTAAACACAGTAAAAGAAATGGGCCTCATTCCCCTGACCCCGAAAGAGCCCCCAATTTTGCAGCTTTGAGTAGGACGAGCACGGAGAAGCTGCTAAAATCTCAGTACGAATGGAAGCTGCCTGCAACGCGAGAAACTAAGGTGGCGATCTGTACCTACGATGCACGTACACTTGCATCCGAATCCTCGATAGAAGATTTGCTCCTGCAAGCAAGAAGCATAAGGTACGACGTTATCGGCCTGGCTGAGATGAGACGACGCCACCCATTCAACGCCGTCTATGACACCGGAGAAAAACTGTTCCTCGGAACATGCGACAGTAGAGAAGTCGGCGGCGTTCTCGTCAACACGAGTTTGTCCATGAACATCGATTCATTAGAACAACTTACAACCCCAATCGGACGTTTACAATTAAAAAATGTGGATCAATATCGGCTTTGATAATCTTCAACATTTACGCGCTGATGTCAAGCTATGACGAAGTAGAAGCCAAAGCGTTCTATATGGACTTGGAGTAGTTCTACAGAGAAGACCATACATTCTTCAAGGCCATCATTGGAGATTTCATTCAATGCCAAGATTGGACCAAGAAAAACGTCTGAGGAACATCACATTGGGACCCACGGTTTAGAATGGAACGAACAGGGTGAGAAGCGGTCTGTCTTTATCATGACGACCAAGAACTTCCATTTTAAGCCGCAAATTCCAGAAGCCCCACCCTCAGTGCTGGACGTGGGAGTCTCCCAATGGAGAGTACCATAGCGAAATAGACCACGTCATAGTAAATAGAAAGTTTTGCCATACCGATGTCGCTGATGTCCCAAAATTCTACACAGGATCAGACCATCGTCTCCTTCGTCCAAGGTTCTATTTCTCGCGGAGAGGAGAAAAAGCCGCCAAATTCAAAAAACGAAGTCCTAGAGCCACCATGGACAGGGATTATTCATTTCACTAGTCGGCCTTAGAGAAGACGTCGTTCTCGACAACATCGACGAAGAATACGATCGGTTCATTCAACATTTTCGCGCTAGCGCTATGAAAGCTCAGAGTTCGAAAGTCACCAAGAAACGCCTGTCTCCAGAAACGCTCGAGCTGATACACCAGCGTGGAATCGCACGACCTGCAGGCAACCGGAACAAACGTTCAAACTTGCAAAACACTGCAGAGAGGCGATAAAGGAAGGTCTTAGAGAGAGAAGAGCAGCAGTAACGGCCGAAGTTGCAGAGGCTGCGAAAAGTATTCGCAAAGCTCACCGAAGCTTCGCCAATTACAAGGCCGAAATGATTGCATTCCGGCGCCCAAACGGAACAGCTAAAGCGTCCAAAAAGGTAATGGAGAAAATCATTCACGAATAGTATTCAGATCTCTTCGATAGCCACGTCCACCTTCCATCATATGAAATAAAGGAGGATGGACATGTTGTACTACCGGTTTTTTCTTCCGAAATCCGACATGCCATTTCGTCGGTGAAAAATCGAACAGCCCCAGGTCCGGAGAGGATAAGACCAGAACACCTGAATAACCTTCCGCCAGTCCTCGTAAGACACTAGCTCGGCTCTTCTCACGTTACCTGTCTGAATGCAAGGTCCCTACTCAGTGGAAGACCAGCATGACCGTTTTATTGTTCAAGAAGGTTGACCTAGACGATATCAGCAATTATTTACCGCCACACTCCAGAACGTCGTGCGAACATTGGAATGGGATAATATGGGAGTGAAAATCGACGGCCGGCAGTTACACCTCCTTCGCTTTGCTGATGACATCGTCCTCATAACACCAAACATTAGCCAAGTGGAACGTATCCTTGCCGACTTTGATAAAGCCTGTGGAAAGTTTGGTCTTCGATCTCATAAAAACGATGTTCATGAAGAATGGATTGTTTTTGCATGCCCCATTCACGCTCAACGGATCATATTTCTCTGAATGATCCAGTTATATCTATGTAGGTCGGGGAAAGAAAAAGAGCGGCTTGGGGAGCTTTCAAGAGCATTGAGAATTTAGTGAAGAGAACAAAGAACACCCGACTTCGTGTCCACCTTTTCGACTCAACGGTACTTCCTGCCCTAACGTACGCGTCATAAACTTGGTCGCTGCGTAAACAGGATGAAAGGTCACTAAGCGTTATCGAACGCGCAGTCGAAGGGATGATGCTAGGAGTGCTCCGTTCCACATAAGTAAGGAATGGGATCCGAAGCTCCGATCTGCGTCAACGATCAAAAATCAAAGATGCCGTTCTGCACGCCAAACAGACGAAGATAAGGTGGGCCGGACACGTAATGCGTATGAATGGCAACTGATGGACAAGAGCCGTTAGTGGCTGGATTCCTCGGGATGTCAAACGTACTGCAGGAAGACCACCGACCCGATGTTCAGAGTACTTCACAAAGAGCCTTGAAGAAAGATATGCTCGACGAGTCCTTAGTGCGAGCAGAACCAATTGGGCTACTCTTGCACGCGACATGGGAAAATGGAAGATTTACTGGCGCCCGCTCGGGTCACTCGACGATCAACGGGACTACAGGTGATAGGTGACAGGTAATAACGATAAGTGAATTTGATAAAACGTCCCTCCGATTCAAATTTGTGTAGGGCTAAAATTCTCAAACAGTAGAAAATCAAGTTGAAACTTAAACTTTTAAATTTTCCTATTCAAGCGTAGCAGAAGCAAAAATCATTCATATATTAGAAAAAACCACCGCGTCCGGCTGGACAAACTTCCACATGTTCACTTACTTCTTGTTCCAAGCCTTATCGCAAAAAAAAAATAGATGAAAACACTTCTCATAGGGTCTAGGAAACCAGGACCATCTTTGTAGAACAACAACACATATCTTGTAGCATGCGTCTGTTGATTCAAGTTATTCCAATAGTGAAATTCCTTTTGAGCTGAGATATGTTGCTCTAAAGCTGGAAGGCACTGTTACTTTTGAATCCTATAACTCCATATGAGTTCAGTTTATCACAAAGTATAAATGGAATTGTCTACTATGAAGCTACAGTTTCTTTGACCTTATCAATCGCATCGCTATTATAATCTATGTGATAAAATGATATATGAAACACCATTAGCTTCTATCACAGATTCAACACTGCGTGTAGTTTCTACGTCAACCGATTTTATATGCTGGTTAGTTCTTTTTGGTATTTTTTTAAAACAAGCCTTTCAAAAAATTGGTGAAAATTACGTGAAGTTACTACGGCATACGTGTTAAACGACGTTAGGAAAACATATGTTAAAGAACATAAAATTCATAGATACAGGACTTTTTCTGAAATAAAAATTACTGCAGTCTTGCATGAAACAGAGGATCAATTTTACTCACCGACTACCAGTTAGGTCACGAATCTGTCCCCAGCTACGCTCCAATTCTGCCATTCTCCTTTGGATTTCTTCTCCACCAATTCCAGATGAACGTAGGAGTTCCTCACCTTTCTGGCGGACTTGAGAGACCTGTGACACAATGAAATATGGCACTGAGAACATGTTCAAAATCAAATTATAAATAGTTATGACATAGAACACACCAAAGGCTCATGACTAGCCAGTTCTGTGTCAAGACGACGGTGTTTGCGACGGAGATTTTGCACTCCCGGAAGATCGCGTCCATAGTCATCGGATGATACGAGAAGTTTCTTTTCTCTGAAATTAATGATTATTGCCGGAAACAACAACACAACTGCTAACTTGAAAGTGTGAATAAAGAGCGAAAATTGATGAAAATCTTAAGGTGTACGTTATTTCTTACTTGATCCACGACTCCTCATCGTCAATATCACGCAAGAATTGATGAACACTAAGAGCTTTGTTGAGTTTTTCACGACGCTCATTAGCCATCTCCTTTACACGTTCATAGCGATCAGAAATCACCTGAAAATTCAATGATAAATTTAGAAAAAATAAACTTCATATTTCCTACTAACCTTGCGCCGTTCTGCAATTTGCTGCCCACCGAACTGATCCCTTTCAAGTAGTGAATCAGCTTGTTGGTTCATCTCTTGGACTCGATCCTGATGAGCCATGATGTCGGCTTCAAGCAGCTGGTGCTTTTTGAGAAGGTTTTCTATTGAGGCTAAGTCCTAAAACTCCTTTCACGTTATAAGGGTTTTCCACAAAGATTACGATCCACAGACCTTCCCATAGTCATCAGATTGTAGGAGAATTTCCACTTCACCGAGCCAAAATTCTAAATCCTTCACAGCGGCCATGAAGCTCTTTTGCTTGTTCGCCTCTTTTAGTCTAAAACATTTCGCTCCTTCAAATGGGATAAAAATGTTAAAACGCTGATTACCTGTAACTCTTCTCGGTAGTCGTCTTTACGAGCAATTCCCACTGATCGTTAAGCGCTTTTAGACGAGCGCTAACAGCATCTTCGCCTCCAGCACATTTAGCACCATCGATAAGATTTTGCCCAGCAGTTATAAGAGTGGCGATGCGGTCAGCATTGGCCGCCAGCTCAGCTTCAAAAGCCTGTTGTTTCTGATGTTTCTGCTGAATGTTGGTTGGATCGCGATAGTTCTCCTCTTGCGCAACCTAGGACAATAATAGATAGGAACGCTCGTTTCCTCATCAAACATTTGCGTCACAGAAAATGACTAGAACAAGGTATATCTCACTTGAAACTTCTCCGCGATCCAATTTTCGATTTCATCGGCATCGCGACTGAATTGCTGCAGCGTTTGACTTTCACCAAGCTTACTTCGCTTTTCAATAAGAGCGGCCTTTAGACGCTCCCATCTAAAAATAGCACATAGGATTTAAGGGTGGGCTAACATTTCCTCCCAAAATATAGATGAAAAAGCATACCGGTCCAGTATCATATCGCGTTTATGGGCCACAGCATCTTTGTCATAATGGTTACTGTTGATAAGTTGATTCGCAAATTGCTTAAAACGTCAGCAAATCAGGAACTTTACATCCAAACGGAGTATTAAGCCACTAGAGCCGCTGCAAACTATATTGGCTACATACTTGTAATCCAGCAATCTTTTCCTGCTGATTATTGATAGCTTTGTCGAAATCTTCATGCTTCTTAATTAAGGACTCCACATTATCACCAGTTGGATCCTCTTGAGCAAGGAAATTCTCTCTAGCAGACATCCACGTATCAGCCTTAAACCGTAATAGTTTAGGGACAGTATCTTACTCCAAAGCATGGAAATCGAGTTTTAGACCTAAAACATAGGTTCTGCACACCTGTTCACAATCTCTGTAAAAGAGTTGAAGCTCAAGGCACTGATCTAGGACATTACGTCTGGCAACCCATGCATTTTCGAGTCCTTGACGAGCAGCATTTACCTAGAATGCTTTAAATTTCATATTAACTTACAGAGAACTAAATAACTTAATAAATATTACATCACTTAGACGTCTGGCAATATCTTCACTGGCGTAATGATTGTTGTTAAGGAGTTGATTTCCGAATTGCTCAAAGGCGTGGAATGTGGCAGCACGAGAATCAATCTCGGTACGGTACTCTTGATGTCTTTCCAGCAGTGCTTCCGCACCTACGAATTTTTTTGTTGGAGAAACTCTTTAAAACATCAAACCAATAAACGCACCTGTTACATCATTTGCCAACTCCTGACTGCTCACAAGCTGATTCATAGCAGATATCCATTGCATGACATCACGATAATCCGAAAGGAATCTCTGATAGTCGTATGAATCCAACAATTTCTCTCTGCGGTTGTTCGCCTTAGCGGTAAGCCTAAAAAGTGATCAAAGCAGTGAGTTCATGGACGGGATGTATCTCCAGGTAAATTCTGAAATCTAACCTATTCCACTGCTCGTTCAGCTCACGTTGCAAATCATAAATCTGTTCAGCAGCTTCAGGATGACTCTGGCGAAGGCGATTAGCCTAAAATACTATTTCCATAGAGGCAATTCAAAGTAGAGATATCTGCTTAGAGACCAAACCTTTTCATCGAGACTCTTGATCTTGTCTCCAAGCGCAGCCAGATCCCTTTCAACACCTTCATGTTTGCGTTGAAGTGCTTGCACGGAACGGAGATCACGACCAAAGTCATCAGAATCGAGAGCATCGTCTTTCTCTTGAATCCAGTCTCTAGTTTCGTCGACATCACGATGGAAGCGTTGCACCTCGTGTGCTGATCCGAGTTGTTGCTCGCGTTGTTCCGTTTGCTCTTCAAGTGCTCGCCACCTTAAATTAGAGTTTGGCGACTAGGGATACAAATACAAAAACACTTTGAATTCAGTACCTCGCATTGAGGTCTTCGATTTGCTGACGAATACGCACTGCCGTCTCGGTCTGACCGACAGAGGTGAGAGCAGTTGCTGGAATAGAAAAGAAACGGTATGTGGTATGTGTCAAAAACTCAAAAACAACAATCAATTAGCAGATGCGCTGATCTGAAGTGCTTTTAGAAGCTCCATGTGGTTCGAAGCTTTAAAATTACATTGTGTTGCACTAATCGACTTCTATTCTTCATAATCTCTCTAAGCACCTTCAATCACCTTACTGATACGCAGAACAAAACACTCGGCGAAAAACAGCAACAACGGCTTCATACTAACTGACAACGAAAGTTCAGTAACATCCTTACTAAAGGATAAGAAGCCCTTTCAAGTGGAAAATCTGAAAATCCATATGGTGGACCACTGTTTCCCCCCCCCCCCCCCCCAAAAAAAAATCACTACCACTAATCATCGCTGACGTTGATTGAAAAACGCCATTTTTCTAAGTTTCGCCTTTTTTTCAAGTATTCCCGTTCGAAGACAACTTTTCAAAATGAAGAATTACGGGTGGATCGAATGTGTGCAGAACTACAACTAGTATTCAACGTCTGATGTCAGGTTGTAGTTCAACGCATTCGCAACAACAACAACTAATCCCGTATGACGTTCACATGGAACCGGATTAGTTTCTCTTAATATCTTAAAGATATCACAATATTCTCTCGTCAACATTAACCTCACATTGGCAGTAAAAGAAAAAGATTGGATTTACTACCTACAGCTCGAAAGTTCGTAACATTCCTAGAAATCACAACGTCTAAAAAAGTGAGGTACATGGTGGATCAAAACCTAATCCAGTGACTTGAAACCACACCGAATTTGTGGAAGACCACAAGATAAAAAAACGATGTTATTAGCAGCATAATATTTTCCATATTTAGGTTTAAAAATGTGGGTTCTACTTACCGATCAGTAGCAACAACCTACTGGACTGAATTTCAATTCCTATGCACGTGTTCTAGAAAGAGTCACACATTCATTTTGCTCAGCATTCTTGACATCTTCTCAATGAAACCGTTGTAAAACCACTACCACTCTGTGAAATACAACCACAACGATGCTGAGATATTTGTAGAACTCTGGACAGCAGCTGTCTGCGGTGAGGACAGAACACGATATTACCCTTTCCAGGGATTAACGCGTTCACCACCACATCTTGCTTGTCCTTTATTTTGTCTTACTCTCAGGTAGTTTTCTATCTACCAGTGCCACCAGCAATCACCCGCCAACGGGATTGACCTGTAGAGCACAAATCGAGGAAAAAAAGGAAAAAGAACGAGAGAAAGGAAATGAAGGACCCGCGTGGTGTGGTGGTAAATGTGTTAGTCTCCGAAAAGGGTAAAGCGTGTTCGATCTCTACCACAGGCACCACTGGTCCGGAGTTTTCCAAATATCGCAGTATCATTACGGTTGTAAAAGGATAAGGAATAAAGCTTTCGGCGTTGATCAATCCCTGAGGAATGCGCCATGCATTCGATTTCATTAAGGTGGTTGAATGCATATCTGACCTTTGCAATGAGTCGCGGTGGTCTACCGAAATATCGAGCCAGTGCTGCACTCCTCTCAGACAAGTGTGATACGAATTTGTCGACCCTGGAGGGATGGAAGGTTTGGTGGGCCATGGGCGCGGGGATAGATTTCACATGTGTCGCAGTGTGGTGCTTCCAAATCACTGCGCCACACGAGCCTCTCATTGTGGTTGTATTTCACATAACACCCTGCCATGAGAAAATGTTGTAGGCAATGAACAAAAAAGTTATCATTACCAATTTGATTCATCTCTTGCAATCGGACTTCGTTTGCCTTGAGATCACCCTTGAAGTCGTCGAATTTCTTTTGGAGGACCTCGACTTGTTCAAGGTCAGTTCCAATTTCTTGCTGTGCAGCAACAGCCTCCTACAAAGTCATCAATATTACATAAAAATTGAAACACTTCACAAATACTCTATCTCAAATGCAACGAAAAGACTAACGGCTTGTTGGTGCGGTTAAAGATACCTGAGCAAGATACATGAAAATCCACACACAGCTCACGCCACAATTTTCAATATGCATATGACCACACAGAGTTGTTTCGAAAATGTACGATAGTCTGTGTTGTTTCGATATGTCGACTTCTTACAGTAAGGGAAAGCAAGTAGCAATTGTTATTAACCGCAAGCGGCAGCAATACTCGACACAGTTATACATTTGATATCAAAAGGGCAACACAAAAAGGAGAAGCATATCTCACTAACACAAACACCACCAAATGAAATGTAGTGAATGAAACTTACTTCCGCCATGAACGTCTAAACATGGATGAGAACATAAGAGTGACTTAGTTACAAACAGGTAAAACATTGTGTAACATGAACCACTCATAGGTGACCAGGTAACAATTCTACAAAGTGAGGGTTTTCTTGTGTGTAAACAAAGGCAGAGAACTAACATCCGTCGTCCCCAGCTAATCCACTAGTGAACAAAGAGTAGAAAAGAACCTAGAAGTATAACAAAGGTTGCGTCGAAGTAAGAACTTACGCGGCTTTTGATCCATTCCGCAAGATCGTTGGCTTCTCTGAGAAGTTGGTAGCCTTTACATGCTTCCTCAAGTTTTCTAAAAAAAAAAAAAAAAATGAGGATTTGCTCTGCACACCTAACTGATGAAATCACTTAAAAAGAAAACTGTTGAAACACGTATCAACGAACCTTTTGCGTGTTTCGCCAAGCATCATTAAGCGCTGATATTTATCTTCAATTTCGTTCTGCTTTCCACCAATGGAATTAACCTTGAAAAACTGAATTGTTTTTTCTTTTTTTAGAAACAATTGAGCAATATATCTCACTTGTTGTTGACTTTGTTGATGCGCTGCACCTGGCTCGATTCGCTTGACATAGGCAGCTGGGACAAAGCCTTGCCGGTCATTAACTTCAACCTAAAACCAATAAATCACCCAATTTCGTAATTTTGGGCAGAAAACTATAAGACGAAAAAATAACAAACTAAAATATGGATAGTTCCCAGGATCGACTTTCTCTTAACCTCGGCATTGGAATATGAATGTGTCGTTTTCTTGTTCAGCAATCGCGAGGTTTTTAAACAGCATACATTTACTTCCATAAAAACACAATACAATACAACGCTAGCTGACGTTTCGGCAGTATCGCCTTCTTCAGAGCCGCTTTTTCGTGACTTCCAATGAGGAAGTTTAGAACAGCTGATTATAGTCGCATGTGGTTGACGACTCATATGGATATGGCAAAAAAATATTTACTCCACTTGTGGTCCGGAGCTTTGAGAATATCTTAGCAATATTGAAGTTATATTTCGCAACATACTCTGCCATTGAAAATAGTAGGCAGTAGATAATAGGTGGAAATTGTTATTATAACTACAGTTTCAGCAGAACTGGGTTCGTTGCCGATTTGGGTTACCCAGATCAATCCCGTTGACGCGTGATTGCTGACGGTCTGATCGATAAAACTAGCTGAGAGAGACGAAACGAAGGACCCGGAAGGTGTGGTGATGAACGCGTTACTCCCCGGAAAGGACAATAGCGCGTTTGTTCCCCACCGCAGACACCTCCGGTCTGCAGTTTTGCAATTAACTCAGCATTATTGCAGTTACATTTTCCAACATACCCTGCCATTGAAAAGAGTGGGCAGTAAACAATATGTGAAAATTATATTTACTCTGTTATCCATATGAGTTTTAATAAATAGGAAATACCTTCCACCAATCCTTGTTGGATGCATTAAGCAAAGTTAGTACATCGCCCTTCTTCATTGATACTTCTCTCGGTGATTTCTCTTGATAATCGTAGAGAGCAAGAACACAGTCACGACCTAAACAGTACGCTAAGTATTTTCTTCAACAAAACCTTTCGAAGCAACACAGTTCCCTACCAAGCTGTCCAACTGGTTGTTCTTGGTATTTACACTGAGCAGCTTGTTTTCTTAGATCATCAATGGTTCCTTTGAAAGCATCCAAATCCGACATCAGAGCACGATGTTTCTTCAGAAGAGCCTAGAACAAAAATACAGTAGTGAAAAGATGTGATCAAAATTCTAAAGATCAGCAACCTCCGCAGAATCCTCATCCTTCCCGTAATCCGTAGAACCAACAACAGGTTCTTTTTCAGCCATCCATGACTCAGCTTCATTGGCATCAGCAAGATACTGGTGTGCCTAAAACACAATCAGGAATAACATAGAGAGAAAGTGACGAAAGCAAAGGGTGGTATAAATGGTATCTGAAGTGAATCATCTAGCTCCAAACGTCGCTTTTCGGCCTTCGTCTTCAAGATTCTCCAATTATCCCGAAGATGGGCAAGCTTGTCACGAATTTCCGGGGCAAGAAAATGTCCCTGAAATATAAAATATGTAATGCAAAACAAAGTGTAGAATATGTGTTTAAATACCTGCTGGATCATATCCTCAGCTGCTTTACTGACAGCTTCAATCTGACTTTCGTGATTTGCGATCTCAGCAATAAGCGCCTGTTGCTTTTTAATGAGATTTTGGACACCGATAAGATCACGACCACGGTTGGTGGAACCAGCTACCTGTAGATTATTCCTGTTACGGTTGGCTATATACGTGACAGGTAATAACGTAATTCAGGTCAACATTTAACGCTCGTTGAACTATAAACTATGGTCACCACATAGAAAAATGATGGAAAGGATTCGAAACAAATCTCACCTCGATGACCCAAATTGTGGTCGAACAAGTAAAAAAAGACCACATTTATTTCAAATTTCCAACCAAATATATATATATAAGCTAGTTATGCTTTTAAATAAGATTCATAGAAATGTAAAAAATTCTGCTTACCCATGTCCCTCTGGGTAAGTAAAAAAAAATAAGTAAATCGGTTTGAAGGAAAATTTTGAAGATGAAGAGTGAAATAAACCTAGTAGACTGCAGATCGACTTCACATTACGTATAAAAACATAGACATCACCAGTAAAGAGAAAATGTTCAGAAGTCAAATTTTTGTTATCGAAGTTGTAAAACTATACATTTCTTATAAGTTGCTATAAGTTAAAACTGCATTTTTTTATTTTCCTTTTTTACCTCACTTTATTACTATTTCCCAACCACAGCGAAATATGTGTTAGGAAATTTGAGAAAAAAAAGAGAAAAAGGTTGGTGAAAAGAAAAGTAAACTTAGTGAGTTCCTTAGCAACGAATACCTGTTCTTTCTCCCTGATCCATGCAAGCTCATCCTCAATATCTCGGAATAACTGATTTCCTTGGAGTGATTCAGCTAGTTTATTTTTTCGTTTTTCCAACGGATCACGGAGATTCTGAAAAAAAACTGTTATTCAGTTTGCAAACTTTCGAAGAGAAATAACCACATAACAGGGCTTTTCATCCATTTAAATCATCCTTCAATTGTAAAATATCGATCTTCCCAACCTGAAAACGCGTGTGAAGAGCCTCTTGTTTACGAATGATGACAGGAGTGTTAAAGTGTTTTTCGTCAGCGAACTTCCTTGCCTAAATTATTCGCTTTGATTCAAAATGTGAACGACAGGAATAAACAAGGAAAAAGCTAAGCTTAAAAAGGAAAAAAAAAAGTTGTATAGAACTACAGATCAGTAGTAGTCACCTGCGACTTAATGCCGTCTACACGATCTTGATGAGCAAGATAGTCACTTTCCAAAAGCGCAATTTTCTTCTGCAGATTTTGCACTGAAACAAGATCTTTTCCATAGTCCTCAGACGCCACTTGTCCTTCAAGCTCGCTCAGCCACAACTCCACATCTTCTATATTTCGGTTAAACTGCTGTTCATCTCCAGCTTCGCGAAGTTTGCCTCCTTTTTTGTTGGTTGCATCAACAAGTTCATTCCACAACTCATCAACCTCTTGCAGACGACGACGCACCTAAATTTAACAGTTCGGTCTTTCCCCTTTGCAGAGAATAAAAGCATTCTGTTCGACGAAATAACCCACATCATCTGCTTCAGGATGCTCACTCGCAACTATCTGAGCCCCAGTATCATTAATCTCATCTAGACGGTTCCGGTTTGCTTTAAGCTCCTGCTCAAAATTGGTATGTTTCTGGAGTTTCCCACGAATGTTCGTTGGATCCAAGTAGGATTCGTCTTTGGCAGTCTTTAATTTCTCCTTGATCCAGCTCTCCATTTCATCACAGTCACTGAAAGATCGACATAAATAATAAGCTAGAACCTGCTCAAATATTAGGAACAGAAACAAAATTACCGATTGAAGGCCTGCTTTTTGTAATTCTCATGCAACTGACGAGCATGATCAGCGGCACGATCCATGAGACGGCGTCTACGATCTAGAAGCGCCTGGCGTCGCCTTGCTACATCATCTGCGGCATAATGTTGTCCCTATAACTCTAAGCTGACTTTCTTTTCCTAGTGAATGCAAGTATTACAACCTACCTGAATGAGCTTTGTAGCAAATTCATCAAGAGCATTAATTTTCTCTTCCTGGGCGATCAATGACTTTTCAAAATCTTGATGCTTCTTAATGAGAGACTCAACGGCATCAAGTGAGTCGCCAAGGTCTTGGTTGGCGAGGAACGCTTCCTGGAAGTGAAATTAAACTTATGAATACTTTACTGGATGATACATGAACAACGAAGATGCTCATCGAAGGGTTTACTCACCTGTTTATTCATCCAAGTTTCCGCCTGTTCTGTGTCACGGTAAAACAATTGAAGATCCATGCATTGTTCGTACAATATTCGACGTTCCTCCCACAGTGCCAACAAGGAAGCCTTTTCATGTGCAAGATGTTCAAGTTTTTGACGAACCTATAATTTAACTATAGCAGGAAACTGAATCATTGAATCCCACGACCGACTTTCTTTTAGCTTCGGTATCGATCAATAATAAACTTTATTCTTGATGAGCAAAGAGGTCGTTCATTACCACTGACAATATCTACAACAAACATTTACGTATTAAGTATAAGTATTTAAGTACTGTCTGCCAACGTTAAGATGGCGTAAACTGAGTGCACTGCGTGTCAATTTAACTCTTCCAGGCTCTGAAGAAGGCAAAACTGCCGAAATAACAGTCAGTATTGTATTGAATAAACTATCGAATAAATTGCATAGAACACTTGTTGTTAACAACCTCGCGTTTGCTTATCAAGAAAACATTGTGTTCACTAAATTATCAGTAAGTCAACAAATAGCTGAGATTAAAACTTGTCTTCTACAAAATAACACGTACTTCGTTGCTTTCTGGGATACCCATGTCAAGCAGACCTTGGCCAGATACCGCTGTCTGGTTGAAACTGTCCTCTCTGGCATCAATTTCTCCCTAAGAATAAAGATTTAAAAAGGTTTAAGCTTCATTGGCGGAAGTAAATTTTGCTACTTTATGTTCCTGGTGACTCTCAAGAAGTGCTTCAGCTCCAGCAACGTCTTTAGCAAGTTCGTCAGCAGAGATGACAGCTTTCATGTCGTTTATCCAAGAACAGAGATCTCTGTGACAGCGAAACATATCATTGTGGACGAATTTATGAAAACACCCGCTTATTTATTATTGACCCCTTATTTATAATATATAAGGCAAAATCTATTTTAAAAGCATAACCACAGATAATCTACCTGTAGTCGGCGAGAAACCGGTGAAGTTGCAAACTCCGATCTAATCCCTCCTTACGAGACTGGGCTTTTCTTTTAAGCGCGTTCCATTGCTCTTTTGCTTCACGCATTTTCGCGTCGATTGCACCAGCACGATCTGAGTGGGTTTCGGAAAGTCGCAATGACTCCTAAAATTTCGAGAAATTTCTTGGTACCTAAAATACCGTCTGGTATAGTATACCTTTTCCAATTGCTGCATTTTCCCCTCCAATGCTGCCAGATCTCTCTCAGTACCTTCATGTTTTCGTTGAAGGGCTTGAACGTTATTCAAGTCTCGGCCGTAATCATCACTTGAAAGAGCGGCATCCTGAAATCGATGTGTTGAAGATACTTGATACTTGAATGGCCCGTCCTCACTGGTTGCGCGGGCCCTAGCATAATCTCCATTTTTCGGAGATTTGTTGGTTACGCCATTATGATCCCCTGGAGACCCGAGATCAGTCTGGCCAAAGTCTGCCCCATATCTCCACCACCACGGTCAGATGCAGCCCTTGTGGATCAGAGGGAGACTTACCACCGTGCGACCTTGATACCAGAACGGTGGTGAACCCCGGTATTGGTTTACTCTTAGCTAGGTTTCCTGATGGAAACGCTGGACTCCTTCTCAGCTTGGGAGACCCTGCCAGGGGATGAATCCACCGCTGTACATCGCAGTCCGACACCCAAGAACACCTCCCAGTCACAATGAGGCGGTAAACCATTGGGAGGGTTTTGAAGATATTTGTGACCAATAAAGATTGTTCTTAGGTTACGGTATGTAAAGAAAAAGAACCTTCTCTGCAATCCAAGCTAGTGTTTCATCGGCGTCACGATTGAAACGCTGCACTTGATGCGCTCCAAAGAGGCACTCCTTCCGGGTTGCGGCGAGTGTATTTAAGCGGTGCCACGCGTCATTTACCTCGTCACGTTTCTAAAATATAGCAACCACGGATACAAATGCGTAAATACCAATGATGCTGGCAAGAACACAGACGATTAGATAGGCATAAATACCAGCAGATTACTGAAAAACTCAATAAAACGTACTTTATAGATCTGATCATGTTCCGTGTGTCCATCCTCCACTAACTTGTCGGCAGCTTGGTTGATTTCGTTAATACGATAATGATGGTTTCCAAGCTCCTTAAGGAAATCTTCAAATTTACGCTGAAGCACTTCGACGTGTTCCAGATCCATGCCCATATCTTCGGCAGTGACATAGGCCTCCTAAAATGTACTCTGATAAGAAAAGAAATTAGAAATATAAATAGCAACAAAGTAGCAATCTTCACCTTGTCTCTAATCCAATAAAGCACCTCATCGCATTGTCGAATAAACTGAAGCAGTTTCAATGCCTGCTGGAGCTTAATGCCCTTGTCTTTTAGTTTGAAGAACAATTTGTCCCAAAGAGCATGAAGCTCTTCAAGGCGTTTCTGAAAAACACCATTTACAACACCGTTTGCAAACCACCAGCTCGAGACGGGTACAAAAGCAGAAACGAACTTACTTTGATAATCTCACTTGCAAAATGCCCATGTTGTATCATAGCATTTCCAGTCTTGTCCAAATTACTGATAGTTTTAGCATGGGCTTGTACTTCTGCTTCAAATGCTTCATGTTTCTGGATTTTTGCCTGAAACCAAGCACATTTTACTGAGTACATGTGTTACGATTTCTAACCACCTAGTTTCAGTCAGTATGTCATATGTGTTAACGACTTCGTGTTGGATCATCAAGAATGTAGATCTAAAAGAGAATAAAAGACTCTCATTGGTGCCGCAATGAAGCACAGTTGAGAGTAGCCGTGTGTGAGAACAAGACAGTAACCTCTACTGCTTTACTCACTAAGATATCGGATACGGTCACAAAAAAAGAAAGTACAGCCCAGGTTCCTGAATGACTATTTGTGTAGAAACAACAGTTTTTTATCAGTACAGGAAAACTAACATGTTAAAGTGGACTCCTTTATGAAATATAAGATCAAGAAGTCATTCGAATTAGCAATTTCTATTCTGTGTTGTTTTCTAAAGGTTCTTAAAAACATTTTCATTGTTTATGCTTTTGAGAAGTCGACATGTGTTTGTTAAAAAAACAACTGGAGGACATTAAATGTATTCGGGTATGGCCTAGTTGAAATATTGTAAGCTGTATGGTGATGAATGGGAAGAGTCGGGCCCGCGTAGCGCAGTGCTCGGAGTCGCCCTGTAATACACATGGGACTAATCCTCGAGCCTAAAGCTCACCAAGCCTTCCAACCCTCCGGAATCGGGAACTTGATCCCAGACTTGTCTGGGAGGATAGCAGCAGTGGCTCGGTACGCGAGTCATTGTAAAGGCCAGATAAACACTCAGTCACCGCAAACGATTCTTAATGAAGGCGAATGCATGGTGCATCCCTCAGGGATAGATCGACACCGAGACCTTTATCCTTTCTCCTTGATGGTGATAATTATATGGCGAAATAGATAGGCCGTTTTGTAGCCATACTAGGAACAATCACAGAAGATAGAAAATTGAACGCACTCAATGCATTACATTCCGCATATACAAAACAAAAAAAAGCATACTGACGAATATTCCTAACGTCAGCGGTATGATCCTATAATCCTACTACAAGAAACAAAAGTAGCGGCTCGCGAAACTCTACGACATGTTATATTAACGTATAAACCAAAAAGAGGCAGAAGCCGTATAGTTACATGTGGTCCAGCACCATACCTCATGTTAATTTTTGGCCCAAACCGAGAACATTCGTCATCTCATGTGAACGCTGAGGGGAATGATCACACTGTCATAGTCACCATTTTTATTTCGGTGACCAAGTGGGCGAAGTTTCAAATCGCTAGTAAGTACATCTTGCTCTTTCTGCTGCTATACACAACAAAAAATGTAATCCCTAACCAGAAGATGTCTTCAAAGCCAATTTACCATGTGTTCGAAATCTAGACCCAGAAAATTTCGTGGAAAAAATAACTGAGAATCCTATCCGTTAAAACCACCCCTCCCGGTCTCTGAATAAATCGAAATCCAGCGAAATGTGTCACTGGTGTAAAAAAGTCTTCGTCTCAATAACTGTGACCTCATCGAAATACAATGAATCACTGAACATTGCCGAGATTAACAGAATGTCGACGTTGTGAACTCCTAGCGAAAATAAAGAGCAGTAGAACACATCAAAACATCACTGAATAATTCAAACAGCTATAAACCGGACAATCTATAAGATAGGACAGAAGACAAACAGTGGTCAAATTTAACAAATGTACATATGAAGGTGAAAAATCTAGCCGTAAAACTTCAATACTTCAACAGTCATATAAATTGACTTTAACATAGATTTACTAGGAAATAACTGCGCCCTAAGCAAATATATCTCAGCTCGCTCTGAACCTACCCACTTTTACTTTTTGAACGTACCAAGCTTCATTAACCGAAATAAAAGCTTTTAGAACCCACCGACTACTATCAACTGGGATTACACTTTTTTTACTAGAGCAAAGTGAAACTACGTCCTGAAACCCACAAAACGTCTTTTCTTACTATTTTACGGCTAAAGTGGAATTTTGAACAGCGAAACGGTTGAAAAAGGAAGATGTCGACCAGAAGCTGGTGTTTGGGACTGCCGCGCTTACGATAAAAATTTTTAAAAAAGCTAAACTGTGCATACCTCCCAACGGTACACCGCCCATCGTGGCTGGATGTTGGGTTGCGATGCAATGCACAGCCGGGTGTTTCATGCCTCCCAGAATCTTCGAAGCTGAGAACAAAGAGTCCGACGTCTCCATAAGGAAGCCCAGCTAAGAGTAAACCAATACCACGATCCACCACCGTTCTGGTACCATATTAGTCGCACGGTGGTAAATCTCCCTCTGATCCACAAGGTCTGCAAATGCCTGTGGTGGTGAAGACCTGGGGCAGATTTTGGCCAAGCTGACCTCGGGACTCTAGGGAATCACCGTGGCTTAACCATCAAATCTCCGAACAATTGAGATTATGCTGGGACCTACACAACAGTGAGGACGGCCCATCCAAGTGTCCGAGTAAATTCTGCATAGCTTGAACCAAAGCAGTAAAATCTACTAAGTAAGTGTGTCAATGCCTCAAGTTCTCAAATCTTCCGTCTATGAAAAAACGAGCATGATCATGGTATATAGTATTACAGTAAGGTCATTCGGACCAAGGGATTTAAAATCCTCGGTGAATATCACTCAACTTCTTATAAAACGGTACATATTACTTATTCAAGAACGATAAATCCCCATTTTCTGGATTCCAAGAAATTTTTGAGTTTTCTTCCGACTTCAAAAGTTTTTTTATTGTGATTGAGATTTCATGTACACTTTGATACGCCCTACTGATAGGTTCATCTGACTCATCTTACGACTCAAAATAGTGCCGCTCATCTACTAATCTGATAAAAAACCCATCGATTCGACGCATACGAAGCGCGTTCGTCAGTTATGCGCAGGCATCGGAAGATAAATCCTATCCTACTAGAGAGTGAGGGTTGGGACCGATAGGAATGTGAGGCGTCATCGGTCGCCAACAACAAGATTTTATCACTCACACATGCCATTTTTTAAATCAAACACTTTAGTGGAAAAAATACTCATTGATGAAAGTACCTTGATGAGACATTCCCTTCTGAAATCAGTTCGAAAATATTGTGCCTAAGACATTAACGGCTAGCTAAGGAGTTCCAATGAGACCCATATGGGTCTTGCAACATGAATCCAATTTTCGTTGAACAACTGGCAATTAGTCGAAAGGAAATTAGATTGGCTCACAACATCGCATAGACGTCAATAAAAGAGAATGGAAATCTAACGGAATAAAACGACATAGGAAAACACTGACGTTTATGAACAATGAGGAACAGAAACAAAATGTGAGATATCTTTAAATAAAAAAAAAGAACAAATCTTTACCACTCAAAGATTCGCAATACTTCGCAAAACTGATTATGGAAGCCCTACAGAAGCTGAAGTTTTAACAACATTCCTTAAAATACGATGCGCCACTTGTTAACCTTTCGTTTAAAACATTCTCTTAACATCCCAAATCTTCATCGAGTAAAAGTGGGTAACTGGTAAGCTCGCCCCATTACTGTCAGTTCTCATCAATGGCATTGACCTCTGTCGTAAGTCGATCACTCCTCTGTCCAGAAATCTCGCTGTACAGTAGCCCAGCATACCATTCATTTACCGTGTAGTATTTGCTACAAGTACCTGCAAGTTAGTTGGATCCTTGAACGACTCCTCCTGAGCTGTTTGTAACTTCTCCAGAATCCAAATCTCCAATTCATCAGCATCACTGGAATGAAAAAGGAACCAGAAAATAAAAGAAACTGTTCAGATACAGACGAGATCCATCCTTAATATATTGTAAACTTAGACAAACCGTTTGAAGTACTGATATTGTCGAGCCTCTTCTAAACGATCTCTCTTATTCTTGGCGTGCTCTTTGAATTGCGAATAATGGCCAAGCACCTCCTGACGTCGATGCTGTAATTTTATCAAATAAAAAACGAGCATGTCTCATTGTTGTGCCTGTCCTATAGACGTAAGTGAGCCAGCGCGTTCAAAAATGAATCCTTTGCTCTCCGACACTCTAAACTTGGATAATGCGAAAAGATCAATATGCGACGAGTCCAGTCGGCCATCGAACCCAGTTAAAAGAAAGCAAATGAACAGAAACACGAAAATACGCTGGCCTTCAAAGATGGGAAATAATAATAATAAGAAACAAGGAATACAGTAAAATCACCTGTATGTCTTCGGCGGTCTCAAGAATTTTGATTTCGGTTGGAATAGGCACCTCAAGCACTGGTTCCGGTGGAGCTCCATCGTTCGACATGGCTTAAACATTTTAGAAACATAGGTGTCCTCAGAAAAGAAGTGCCACTAGGATCAGAAATCGTCGCCGTCCATTGATTTCAAGAGTAGGAAAGAAGAAAAAAGAACTGGATATAAGTAAAGAGAGACGGAAATGAATAGCGAAACAGAATAATGCACAACAAACGAATGAAGAAATGAAGAGAACAACGCAAATGATGACACACAACAGTAAAAATGTCGCAGTGGCACCAACCTCAGCGCAATGAAAGCACAAAAGTATGGAAATATCCACCCGCAAACGGTCAAAGCATGTTAAATTTTTACTTACTGTCCACAGCAACTTTTCACACAAGGGTATTATGTGAGATCTAATCACAGTAATGTCTAGATGTTTGCAGAAAACTCGGGACATTAGGTGTCTGTGGTGGGGATCGAAACCGATATTGCAATTTCTGGAAGCTAACATGTTCACGACGACACCATGCGGGTTCTCAATTTAATTGGGTTCAACGCTGATTTGTGCTCTCCGGATCAATCCTAATGACGGGTGACTGCTGATGGCCTAGTGATAGATAGAAAACTGGCTGACAGAAAGGCGAAACGAAGAACCCGTGCATGGCGCGGTGGTGAACTCGTCAGCTCCCCGAAAGGGTAATAACGTGTTCGATACCCTACCGTAGACATCTGCGGTACGGAGTTTTGAAAATATCTCCGTATCACTGTGGTCACAACATGATAAGAAATGAATGTTCATGCAGAAAACAAGAGCTGTCATATCGGACGTAGACGAATGAAAGTGAAACGATGACGCATGAAATGACACACACTGTGCTCGTTTTCTACACAATATGATAACGAAGTAGACAGTGTACAGGAGAAAAAAAGGAAGAAAGAAGGAAGGAAAGAAAGAAAACTAGGAATAGAGACAGACAAGTATATCACAAAATAACGAACGAAAACGAAAACAAACGTTAGTAAACTGTCTTAACAAGAATATCTCTAAGTACATTGGCGTTTTCCCGACGACCATATTCAATTTTGTTTCATGGATTCCTGGAACTCGATTCAAAACCGTGAAAAATTTGCAAAGAATTCGCTTGCGCCGTGTGATTAGAATGACTGTTCATCAACGTCCGGTCCGACAGGACGCAACAAAACGCCTGAAGGAGGACAGAGAGTGAAAACGAGAAGCAAGTACCAATCAAGCAAGCAAGAACTACAGAAAGTACTAATTGCTAGTAGTACTGAAATTGAAAGAAAGTGACTGAGTACTGTGAAACAAATTGACTTCACTATGAAGTAACAACTGCAAAGTACGAAATTCTTCCTCGGAATCTGCAGGGTGCTGTATGCAGAATATCGACAAGGGGCGGAGCGACTCGCAAGAGACACAGTGGACGTCGACGGGACACGACTGGATTGGCGACAGAGCACGATCGGCACCGAGCACGCCAGCCGACCAGAGACAACGATCGATAGCGTGCCCAGATCCCAAGAACGGCATTCCTTAACCTTGCTGTTGATCAGTTGTTCAGTGCTCTTCTTGACGAGCAAACAGTTTGTTATTACAGTATTTATTCGTTCATCATGGCTGACGTTTCGGCGGTTAGGCCTTCTTCAGAACTCGGAAGGGTCAAATTAACACGCAATCTACTCAGCCAAAAACATTCGTAACCTCGACAGATAAACAGCTCCTTTTAAACACCGCTCTGTCCTTTGTAAGTCTTCCAGTTATTTCGTGGGAATCAGCCGGACAAAGTCTTACATGAGTGAGAACGGTGCTTCGTTCAGGTCAAAAAATCAGCTTAAGATATATGGGGTCAGGTCACTAGTGATCACAAAGCACTTCTCCTTGCCGTTCATCTCTGGATTTTTTGAATTTATTCAGAACGCTTCAAGAGTTTTATGCACTGATGTTTTGGATTACTGAACGAAAATAGTGACTTTAACTTCAATATTTTCTCCGTTATGCACATGCATGAGTGCCTTGTGATCACAGGGACCTAGCACCAAACCTCCAGCTGATTCTACAACCTAGGCCGGGGTGTCCACCAAATAACTGGAAAACTTACAAAGAACAAAACCATGGCTGTTTGAAAGAAGCTGTTTATTATGCGAATGGAAAACTATGTGTTGAGTTTTGTCTGCTTAGGTTATGAAAGTCTTCGGCTGATTGCTTGTCAATTTGACCCTTCAAGGCTCTGAAGATGGCAGAACCGCCGAAATGCCGACTAATTTGAATGAATAAATGTTTTAATAACAAACTCGTCTTTGCCCATTAAGGAAATAGTGAATTATTGATGGATAGAGTCCTCGAAAGACGGGCTGGTGCGTAGGTACAGCGTTTCTCCGTCCGTCAGCGGCTGCATCGTCGTTGATGCTCCCAAATGGTATTGTTACCGAGTGTTGTTGGTGCTCAATAGGCAGCAACATCGTCGTCACTAACGAGATTGTCCCCACCTGGTACTCACATCAATGTTCAGAATCCTGCTTCGCTCTACAAGTTGTAAACGCTGCTAAGGAGTTGAAAACCTAGGATAACGTGATCAAGTATACCGGTGAATGATCTATAAGAGGCGGTTCGACATCAGTTATACCTTAAAAAAGTTGTACTTTAGTTCTCGGAAAGTCCACTAAACTAACTACGAGCACACACTACAGCAGAGACCTGTTCTGCACGTGTAGGTATGATCTTGCCAAAAACGGTAAGAATAAAGAACTTCGTTCTTGTAACTCTGAAAGGGACCATAAAGTGGTAACCTTGGAACGGATGAATACGAAAGAACTGCTAAAATTGAAGTGTACGATAAATACATACGCATTGAAGCACATGCGCTATCACTGAAAGTACTCATGGCTGGCTATGCAAGCTAGGAACATCCACTACAGCTTCATAAGACCTCAGAAGTGATCTAAGGACTGATGGACAGAAGAATTATTCTTCGTCACACCCGACAGGAAATATTGTCGTCTTCACGAGCTTAACTATGACATTGACTTCTTTGAACAACTATAGGCGTAAGTCAGGTGTTTAAAGTGGGTCATTTTAGATAGACTTTTACCATTTCTACACAGTGTCACATCTTTAAGGTAACCATCTGCAACATCGATCTACATTCCTAAAAACCTCTTATTTACGTTTGAAGCAGGAGGCTATCGGTGCATAAAAGTAAAAAGGGTAAAGCACTCGGTGTTGATCAATCCCTGAGGGATGCGCCATGCATTCGACTTCATTAAGCATCGTTGGAGGTGAAAGGATGCATACCTGGCCTTTCAAATGACTCGCCATGGCCTATCGAGGTATCGAGCCAGTGCTGCTGTCCTCCTAGACAAGTCTGGTACCAATTTGCCGACCCAGGAGGGATGGAAGGCTTGGTGAGCCTGGCGCGATGGGATCGGTCCCATGTGTACTCAAGGGCGGCTCCGACCACTGTGCTATACGCGCCCTATCTGTGCGTAATGAAATCAAGCACATTTTAACCGAATGACTTATCGAACAGGCATCCTTGTTGTCATGAAGTTCCATAGGGGATCGGACAAAAGCATTCAGCTTCCTACAGTCTTATCATTACAAGCGGAGTATATTATCCTCGTTGTTCAACCTTTCGATTTCTGACCAGCTATTTCGTTAGCGAGAAACCGTAAGACACTAGGTGCTGACATCTGAAAGGCCTATTACCAATCCTCACCAACACTACCTTGATTCTTCGCTATCAAGCGCCATCTGTTAGGCCACAAATCACGTTGACATACACAAACCAGCAGGACTATGACTTGAGATTTACACAGAGCAATTACCCCTAATCAACCTGATGTCTGTTGGCTACACGCTCTTTACTGGAACTATTCTCTAAACGATTTGACAGAATATTAAATGAAATACGGGGTAGCTACGCAAGCAAGAGTTATTTTGAAAATGATTCACTGTGATGGAACATATCCATAAAAAAAGGTGAACCTCTCGGCGCTTATCTATTCCTGAGGGATGCGCCATACACTCGACTTCAGTAAGCATCGTAAGAGAAGCGGGTAGCGCAGTGGTCGGAGGCATCCTGCAATATATGTAAAATGGATGCTCGCGCCCCTGCTCCACCAAGCCTTCCATCCTTCCGAAGTCGACAAGTTGGTACCAGACTTATCTGGTAGGACAGCAGCAGTGGTCAACCACGAGTGATTGTAAAGACCAGATATGCATTCAGTCATCTCCAACAGTGCCTAATGAAGTCGAATGCATGGCGCGTTCCTCAGGGATTGATCAATGACGAGAGCCTTATCCTTTTATTTTAACCATCGTTAGCGGTGATCGAATGTTTATTTGACCTATAAAATGACTCGCGGTGGTTTACCTGCATCGAGCCAGTACTGCTATCCTCCCAGACAAATCTGGTACCAATTTATCGACTCCGGAGTGAGGGAGGGCTTGATGGGTCTAGGGTGCGTGGATCGATCCCATGTGTTTTGCAGTGCGCCTCAGACTACTGCGCTACACGCAGTATTATATCCATATAATTGGAAAATCCACCAAAGTAAGTAAGAAGTGGGTCGAAAAAAATGAAGAAGTCGAAATAAGAAGTAGAGTAAGGTCTATAGAAGTAAACCTATCGAAGCATTGATTCCACGGGAGCATGTTTTATGTGCCATTACGTCTCCCTTGCACACATTCTTTTCTTAAATTCAAGGAAATCATTTCTAAGGATTTTTAAAAACAGGACTATAATATTGCTGACACAGATTTGCTCAAGGAAACCTTGGGAAATCAAGATACTCGCGCTTAATATGTAAGGATATTTCACGAAATCTTCACCATTATACAAGAAACTCATAAAGACCTAGAAAAGAGAGGTCAAGAAACTCATTGTCGACTGGAAGAAAGTGACTCGACATGACGATACCATATAGCCAGTACTGTGCGGTGACCGCAGACACACCTGCTCCATTCTTATGATAATCGCTCCGCTCCTATAACACCAAATATTAAGCATACGGAACAAAATATGTGGACAGATTTTGGGGGCTCTTAAGTGCACATTTGCCTACAATTGAAGCTGACGAAACCATATTAGTTAAAAAGGAATGGGTTCCTGATCCTCGACTCATATTGGTCTGGACAAACATTGCCGAATTTTCCAGCTGGGTACACTTGAGTGGAGATGAGAGCTCGAAATGGCACTAGAAAAAAGTACTGTAGACGAAGAAAAAACATCTAGGACTACACCCAAGTCTTCAGTTTTACTATTATTCATTACAACGTGTTCTTCGGAATCCTGTTCACTTCGACAAGAGTTTTGAAGTGTATTAACGCTTATAAGTGTTCTGAATGGACATATGCGCTTACATGTCGAGAACAAGATGGGCCAAATTCGTTATCCGTGTCTCTCAACGACTGAACAGGAACCGTCAGCGACTCTAGGAATGTCATACGTACAACAGATGAATGGAATACTAGGACCATGCAATTTTATCAGTTTTTAACACCAATCCATGCCGTATTCATAGAATCCTCTTAGCGAAACTAACGTTTCTGGACAAATTACGACAATGGGAAACCCTTCGGACGCGTACACTCTCAATTTCTCATCTAGTGATGGAATCTTGGACAATGTCTAATAGCGAACTTTTCACTTCTGAATCCAAACTTGCAGAACCAACGAATAAAAACATTTGGAACTAAAGAATCTGAAGAACCAACAAAGGATAAAAAAAGGCAAATCTTGTGTGAATGGATAGAAAACGCCTGAAACTATTACAACGGAGGATTGGGACAGTTGATGTTGAGTAATGTAGTAACACAGAGATTTATGTTCGAAAAAGAAGATATCCATCACATTATGAGAAGCGTCCGGCGTTTGCATCCATCAGGAAGCTCAGCTAAGAGTAAACCAATACCAAGTTTCAACACTGTCTTGGTATCAAACTAGTCCCATGGTGGCAAATCACCTCTAATCCACAGAGTGCGCGACTGCCTGTGGTGGTGACGACCTAAGACAGGCTTTGGCTAAGCTGACCTCGGGACTAGAGAACCACAATGGCTAAACCAGCAAAACTCCGTAAAAATGGAAGCTATGCTGGGTTCTGCACAACCAGTGCAGACGGACCATCCTATCCTCCAAGCAACACACAGTAAATGTATTGCAGCTGGTCGTTTACACCTGCCATGGACCATTTTCTAGAAGCCATGGAAATAACGATGAATTATCAATGGGAAGTAATCGAGAAGATAAGGATATGCGATGGACAGCCATAACATGGATTATGTGGGCAACATAAATAACAATCCAACAACGTAATCTACGGAGTTAAATAAGTTGTTTAACACTATGATAAGCGATAAACAATCCTAAAAAGTACTCAATATCAGCTCTTACATTAAGTGCGTAGGACAGCAAGATTAATAAAGTGCACAAACAGCCAAACTTTAACTGAAGAATGATCCCTATCGCATTCCTTAAAAAACATTTAATGTCGCATTAATCGGTTTCAAAGCGTACCTGACAGAAAATAGTTTAGAACTTCGATATCGAGCTAAGATACCACAGCTTAAAACAAACATTCCTCTCGAAACTTACTTCCTCGAGACTTTACTTACTCAAAACAAAAGTCACACATCTAAATTTTCCTTTCTGTACAATAATAAAGCTTTAGATTCTATGTAGTTCACAAAATGCGTTCTTCTCTTGCAGACTACAATGTCCAGCACAGAAGTGATTGAACAAGCGGGATTCCCTCTACAAGAACATGGTGGGTGGTGTGGTGAAATGCCCTCCTTTAATTTCAGTTATAAAATAGTTAGAACAACACCTGACTTTCCTACTTTATAGCGATGAAGTCCCTTCTAAAAACTTATGAAGTCCTCAAGTTCTCAAGCACTTTTCGAATGGCATAGGTAAAAACATGCTTTCAAGGAAAATTATGATTAGTACCATTCTGCTTACTTCTCCGGATACCCCTTTTGATTTACCCATTGTCTTAATGTAAAGCTAAAAAGCACAAAGCTCTCGGTATTGATCAATCGTTGAGGGATGTGCCATGCATTCGACTTCATTAAGGATCGTTGGAGGCGATTGAATTCCTATCTGGCCTTCACAATAACTCGCAACAGTCTATCAAAGTATCACGCCAGTGCTGTTATTCTCCCCAAATAGATGGGATCCTACAATGCCGTTCAAAAATAGTAATGATTCCTTTGAAGAAGTCGCAAGGACGAGAACTGGAACTTCATATCTTAATACATCCACGGTTAAAAAAAAAACCGACCGAAAGTAAAAATGTTGGCTAAATGGGGACATTAGTCGAAACTTTATTGAAGACATGATTTCACCACATACTAAACAGTCAGGTAAGAATTTGAACAGTGAGAATGGTACTGAGGACTTTGCCTCCTCATAGCAATCTGAAAGCAACTCTATCTCATCAACGTAATCGGAAAACGATCAAAAACACAGCTTCGCTATTGGCACGAATCGAATAGTAAGCTAAAGTTAACGACCTTCAGTTCATTAAACTGCATTCTGAAACTATGGATAGTAATGCTGAGCTCCTTATTACGAAATTGGCAAATACAAGGGATACTAGGCCGTCCGCAAACCAGCTGCACGGTGGTCTACTGATCTGCGAAAGATGAATGATTATGAACCATTTGAGTGACATGCCTCCTAACAGTTTGTCAAAATCGCACACACCCTTGCAACTGCCTTCCCCAGATGATTAAATTCTTACAGCTAAAGCTAGCACCTCATCGCACTACCTATAGGACTTAAATTTCAACTCGATTTATCGTTTGCCCATGTAGAAATTCGTTAAGAATGAACCTAACATTACAAACGTAATTCTCACAGCAATAAACCCTACTTAATCTCAATGGTGCTGTAAACAACGATGTAAAAAACACTAGTGGTAGTTTGACGAAATTATAACAGCATATATCGGGCTCAAAATTGCCAAATGTGCAAAATTTATCTCCATAATGAACAGATGTTCTCGGCGAGACCGAGTAATAAGCTCCAATACGATTTCTTTTACCAGAATAATCCAACGCAATATTCAAAGTTCTTGACAGAGTATGAAATCGGTATCGCAGATATTGACGAATCAGAATCACCACAAAATATTCAATTACAAGCGTAAAAGGCAATATACTTTATTTATTATCAAGGGCTTTCATTTCATTAACACTAAGTTTCAAGGCCATTCCCATAGCTCTCAAAATATTTCTCTTAGCAGAGGAACTGTTTGACTGAATAAACTGGATAAAAATATTCCGTAAATATTCCATTTCACCTCCAGTAGAAAGTAGAGCAAGCTTGTCTGAAAACAATCACTAAGAATGGAGGAAAATCAAATAGAATACGTTAATTACAATCTAAGTGGAACTGAATATTAGCAAAAACCCACTTCTGAGTTCAGTAATTTCCTCACACATCGTTTCAATCCTTTTGTGATGCTCGAGTTCCTTAATAAGAGCAGCTTGTTCCATTTCTCGAAGGCGATAACCATGTTCATGTGAGACGTTTCTGAAATTAACATTATTTTAAGCAACCGATAAACGAAGGGATGCGTGTAGTGTAGTGGTCGGAGGGGCTCTGCCATACACATGGGACCGGTCTACGCGCCGCAGGTCCACCAAACCTTCTACCCCTCCAGGGTCGGGAAATTGGTACCAAACTTGTCTGGGAGGATAGCAGCACTGGCTCGATAACATCAGTAATCCACCGTATGTTACCGTACAGGCCAGATATGCATCCAGTTGCCTCTAACGATGCTCGACGAAGTCCGAATGCGTGGCACATCTCTCAAGGATTGATCAACGCCGATAGTTTTATCCTTCTATTCTTTAACCGATATATAAAGTCAACTACAAAACTACGCTCACCTTAATTCTTGAATTTCACGTTCTTTCTTAAGCAGTTCCTCCTCATAAAATATATTGCGCGATTCGGTGGCTGTAGAAATAGGGATACCACTTCCATCACCACAGAAAGCTGGAAAATGCGAAAAAATCAAGCTTATTGCTCACATTTTCGATCGAATACTTCTATTCAAGAATTTTTCATATAACAGAACAATCAAGCTCCTCGTTATACTGCGCTTGATATATCACATTGGAAACACCAAGATGGCCTCATTTGCTAAAGGGCCATGTAAAGCATCACATTTCCTACACGATGGCTTTCATTTTTGTTGTTCTTGCAGAAGACCTCGTAAGATTTACTCACTACTAATTTACTTGCCTTGTGTATAAAAACAATTTTTAACAACAGCGCTTAGGTCAAGTTTTAGAAAGATAGAACAATTGTATCACGCCTTACAAGCAAAACACTTCATTGTTATAATTAAGTAATCAAAAAAGAGAACAGAATCTTCTGTATAGACCAGGTTGTACATCCACTGCCACTTTACTGTTGAACTGCATGTTATATATGAATGGATATCAACATCAATACAAAGAGGTGTATGAAAATAAACATACCACTTCCAGCATCAACGTTATTCACCGAGAGTGCATCAACGCTTTTTCTGGATCCTGAACCAAAGTGTAGCGCAAATTTCCGCCTTTGAATAAAACGAATAAAACCACTTCATACTTATACTGTATCTTCTATCCGAATAGTTCTGATGTTCACTAGATATTTTTCTAGACGAAATTTTCCCAGTTTGTGAAGGATCAGCAGGAGCAGACATCTGTTCGTGTCGAAGTGACAATAGCACAGATCTAAATACTTAGCAATATGATTATATTTTACAACATATAGAAATACAAATCCAGACATACAGAATAAAAAATTCGGATCGTCAGAAATCAATGGTGGTTAGGCGAATTTAACTTCGAACATACATCTCATCTTGTCTTTGTTGATCGAAATAAAAGAACCTACACGGCGTTGTTAACGAGGTACAGGTGTCCGTCCCAGTAAAATTTTAAGGTTCTAGAATGAACGATTTTTTTTGAAGATGTTATCGATGTTGGCCCGATTGATCATAACTGCTTCAGCAGCTAGGTGATCATTTCGTTCGCAAACTGATAGCCAATTAGAAAAAGGAGATTGTTTTACATGAGGTGTAGTTTCATACTCGGATTTCCACTTTTCGTAGCTTTAATTTTATAAGGCGTGTACGACTGCTGTCCCATATCTGAAACTGTTTATCAAAATAGTTTTCAGATGCTATCCTCTATAGTAGAATTTGAGGATCTTCTGGCAACGCTTTGTTTCCAAAAGCGCTTCTTCAGGATCCAAGATTTGGTACAGTGCACGACTCTATTTGCTAAGTAAGAAAATCATGAAACTTTCCTTTGGGAAGAAAAATGGCTGGAAAATGTTTTCGTGCCTTAATTTCCTAAGATCTCAAGCGCAACTTCGACGGTTATACTTAGAGAATCCGTTTTTAAATGCATGTCACAATGCAATGAAACGTTTACCGTAATCACTCGGAACTATTCGTGCGTATCCATCACAAGTACCATTTTCGAGTAGCCGGTCATAGGGTCGTAATCAATATCAATCTCTTTTTTGAGAACAATATTGTCTTTAAAGCTCTTACCTTCTTCACCAGACCATTGAATGAAATATTGGAACAAACGTTAACGTTACCCTGGATGCAAATAAAAAGCAAAACATTGCGATCTCCGTCGATGAATGGATTTCTAACACTATTATCCGTTTCAACAAAAAGGTACAGATAGACAACAAAAAGATTTCTTTAGATACAAACATAAACCTGTTTATTTCTTGTTATTTTTAACTTTCCGCATTTTTTATACTATTGCTTCATTTTCTATGTTATGTTATTATGACTCAAAGTCACGTACTGTGATCATTCCAGCACTTTTTTCATTACATTTATTTTTACCGATGCACCAGCCACAAAGGTCTTCTAATTTGCGGGTGAGTTCGACTGACGTTTGAAGACTTGGTCTTTCTCATGAATGCCTTCTAACTCCGGTTCAATACATCTTCTCTGGAATCCTGGGATATTTCAATAGGGCATTTCCTTGTAATCACAACAGCCGGCCACCAGTTTTGGTGGATCAGCGGGAACTCTCCCCAGCCAGTTTCGCATCAATTTCACAACTCCACAGAGATGGAAAGGTTGGTTGACACGAGGAGCCAAAACCAAATCGAAATAGCAACTCTGTGTGCATTATTTCTAAACATCGCTTTTCGCACCCATAAGTATGATTTCAGGTAAAACAACATTCAAATCAGGTTTTCACCTCCACACACCGCAGAGTGGTTAATTAAACGTAAATGTAACTAGTACACTTCAAAAGTATATTATCTGAGGACAGAGACATAGTATGTAAAATAAATGCAATGTCAGTTCTAGAAAAACAAGGCATATAAGTTGTAAAGGATGAAAACTACACTGTTTCTCGAGAAAACCTAATATACCGCGCAGTCCAGTGAGATATAACGCAGGTATAAACAGCAACTACTTGATTTCTCGACTTAGCTGAACTCTACTTTATCATTCCCGGTTGCGTCATTCGATAGCAAATTCGTATACGAAATGATAAAACATTGGCTGGACAAAATAAATGAATCTACACTCAAGTTCATATTCATTGTCCAGGACGTGACGGAGTAAAGAGTTGCCATGAGGTTTACCTTTCGAATTCGCATAAGCTACGATATAATAAAGTCTCACCTAGCAGCTTCAAGTTCCCTCTCCTTCTCCGCCACTACATCAATTGTTCGACTACGCTGCTTTTGCATCTCAACTTCCATTTCGGATACTGAAATATTGAGGAAAAGCACATTCTTAAAAAAATGTTAAACACTGTCCATGTCTTACTTCGATTGTTCATTTCTCTTCTCATCTCAGTAACACGCTGCCCTTCCCTTTGTTCCAACTCGGAAATTCTCGCATGGAGGTCGCGAGAAGCCTCAAAGCTAATCATAATAAAATATATGGGCATAGAAATACTGTAGAACATTTAACGGTTGCACATTCCCTATGATATTAAAAAAAAAACGATAAGAGTTTGATACCGAAGATGTGTGAAACAGGATTTTAGGGACCTTTATTCGGAAACAAGATTGTGGAAGATTTATTCTGATGAACGCAAATGTTACAGTGTGAACATAACAGAGGAAGGCTTTTGGCGTTTATAAATTTCTGAGAAATGTGTCATGAATTTGAGAGTATCAAGGAATACAGGTGACTTAATGCATATCTGGCTTGAGCAACTACTTGAGATTGTCAACCAATGTATCGAGCCACTATGTATTCTTTCTTGATAAGCTTGCACGAGGTTGATAAATACATTGATTTTCGGCTAACGTTTCGACGTCTTCGTCTTCCTCAGAGCCAGTGATCCGAGTCGATGGTCCATGCTTGTTGTTCACCTCGACGTTGCGTCTTGGCCTTCGTGTCGAGCCAGATCTTCCTCAGTGAGCCATATCTATCAACTTCGTGCAAGCTTATCAAGAAAGAATACACATTGATTAGTCACACCGAGGTTTAGGGAAGGTCGGTTTCGAAATATCGAGCCACTGTTGCTATGCTATCATCCCAAACACAATTGATGGCAGATTGCCGACTCTGCTTGGGGAAGATGAGAGGATTGGTGAGCACAGTGCACTGGATCGAACCTATAAGTACAGCGAGGCACCCCTAACCTCTGCGCTATACGCGCCCGCAATGTAAAAAGGTATGAATAACTTTGAGAACATTACCGAAAAAAATCCAGTGAGTGATAGAAGCGTAGACCTATAATGGTTTTCATTGCGAGAAAAATAACACATTATGGGAACATAAAAGACAGAAAAGTCAAAAAAAAAAACAGCTGTCAGTCAAACAGTCATAAACATAAAGTCAGCTTGTGCGTAAATAAAGAAATAAAATAGCACCTCGTGTTTGCTGAACAGAAGTAGAAAGATATAAAAGACAGAGTTCCACTACTTACAATTTCTAAATTATATCCTTTACCCTTTACCGAAGCGAAAGTGAATATCACCTCACCTGTTTCACCTGTAGTCCCGTTGATCGTCGAGTGACTAGAGCGGGCGCCAGTAAATTCCATTTTATTCCATTTTTCCCCGTCGCGTGAAAAAGTAGCCCAGTGGGTTCTGCTCACTCTAGGGGCTCGCTGAGCATCATAGCCTTCTTCTAGGCTTTTCATGAAGAACGCTGATCATCGGGTCGGTGGTCTTTCTGCAGTACGTTTGACATCACGAGAAATCCAGTCACTAACAACTCTTGTCCATCCGTTGTCATTCATACGTATTACTTTTCCGGTCCGCCTTACCTTCGACCGTTTGGCGCATACAACGGCATCCTTGATTTTTGATCTGAGGCAGGTCGGAGCTTCGGATTTCTTTCTTTACCTGTTTCAGACGGGATACTTCCAGTATCCTTTCGACTGTGCGTTCAATAACGCTGCGTGATCTTTCATCCTGCTTACGCAGAGACCGAGTTTCTGACGCATATGTTAAGGCAGGAAATATCGTGGAGTCGAAAAGCGGGCAGGGAGTTGGGTGTTCTTTGTTATTCATTTTGATTTCCCAACCTAAATACACGTAACTGGGAAGGGAAAACCGGTGGTGAGACACATACATCCTCCTTCATTTCATATGAGGGCAGGAGGTTGTGGTTACTGAAAACATCTGAGTAGTATTGCTTCGCCTGGTCGTTAGTGTGCAATCATCTTAGTCTTCCAACAGACGAAGCTTCGGTGAGCTTTGCGAATGCTTTTCCCAGCCTCTGCAGCTTCGACCATTACTGCTGCTTTTCTCTTTTTAAGATCTGCCTCTATCGCCTGTCTGCATTGTTTTGCAAGTTCGCACGTTAGTTTGCTGTTGCCTGCAGCTCGTGCAATTCCACACTGACGTATCAGCTCGAGTGTTTCTGGAGACAAACATCTCTTGGTGACTTTTGAACTCTCAGTTTTCATATCGCTAACGTGAAGATATTGAATGAGCCGATCGTATACCTCGTCGATATTATTGAGAACAGTATCTTTCCAACGCCCGACTTATGAACTGAATAAGCCCCAGTTAACGATGGTTTTGGGACTTCTAGTTTTTTTTTCAACTTATCGGCCCTTTCTCCTTTCCACGAAAAACGAATTCTTGCAGAAATAAGGCGATGACCTGATCCGGAATTGTGAGCTATCTTGATAGGTATTATTCGTCATGATAAAATCAGACAGATGCTCACCCTATTTGTTTCGTTCTTATTCATGGTTTCCAAAGTGACGTTCTTCAGACCTTCTTCTGGCTCCAATCCTAGCGTAAAAATCTCCTGACAATTACCTTAAAGAGAGCATTGTGTTCTCTGTAGAACTTCTCCGAGTCCATACAGAACGCTTCGACTTCTTCTTCGTCATAGTCTGATGTTGGCGCGTAAACGATGAAAATTGTCAAAGCCGATATTGATCCACACCTCTTTAATAGCAAACGTCCGATTCGGGTTGTTGATTGTTCAAATGAATCGATGTTTATAGACAAACTACTCCTCTACTGTAAAATGTTCCGAGGAACAGTTTTTCTCCGTTGTCACAGACGGCGTTGAGAAGGTGGCGTCGTCTTGTCTCGGCTAGCCCAATAACGTCGCCCTCATGCTTATCGCTTACATGATCAAGTTTTCTATCGACGACTCAGATTCAGGTGTGCGTGCATTTAGGCAGAGATCTTCACTTTATACAGTGGTGATTTAGGCAACATAGAATGACCGTGATATTTTGGCAGCCTCTCCTTACTTGTTCTGTTGAATACTGTGTTTGATCTTTGATACCTATGTATAGCTTGATGAGCTCCGAACGTCAAGGTTGGGTATGCTGACGGGTTCCTTTCCAAACTTTCTGAGAGTAAACATGGAGCTCATTTGTTGGACGCGACTCCTAACTGCTTCCCATATACTTCCCTCTCATTGGATTGCACGCTTTTCACCGAATTGACTCGTAGAATACAATCCGCATAAACGAGGACACACTAGTGTACCCATGCATAAATATGCCCTCAGAAATACAGAAAGCATGTGCCAAATAGACTAAGTAGAAACAGGGAGTCCAATGCCTAGATTCCGCGACTAACCCCTATTTGCCACCTAAGGACGTCCCACGTAGCCTCGCGACTCACCGACATGAGATCCCTCATATGAAGGTTCAGGTGAAAGTGAGCAGACGAAAAAAAAAAGCGAGGTTATATGATGCGAGAAAAAATCAAACAAATTATCATAGATTTTCACCTTTTCGTAAACAGCTTTGTCTTTGGCATGTGTTGCCACCAAGTTTTGAATTTTTATTTGAAATTGCTCCACGGCGTCACGAAAACTTTCCTCATTTAGCACCTCAGAGCTGACTGAGAATTGCTGGAAACAGATAATCATACCGAAAAATCAATGAAACAAGTTGAAAGTGGAAACATCAAAATCCAACCGTATTACTAGTAGATACTGCTTCCAAACGTGACTTGCATTGTTCATAATCATCTCTTAACTTTGTTAACTCAAGTTGGAGTCTGACATTATCCGGATCTGGCCCGATTAAAGCTGCAATAACTAGGAAATATTAATAGCATTCTCATTGAGAAAACAGCGAGACTATGTTTACTGAAGACATCAAATTCAGGCTGTTTTTCTCGTACATCAGCAATCGCTGATTTCAACCGATCCACGACGTCATGCGTAGACTCGAAGTTCTGGTTGTCATATAATTTGCATAATTCCTGAAATAAATCAACTTTTACTGAAAAACGTAAGTAAACTACATACCGACAAAATAGTTAAAACTAAGGTATACAAGAAACCATGTATGGAAAAAACATATTCACATCGGACAGTGCTGCTTTTTCGGATTGAGACTGCAGAAAAGCTTCGTAGACATCATTTCGTGCTTCCTCGCTTCGTGCTATTGTTTGCAGTAGATGGAGCGTTTTTTCTTCCAATTCAGCAATCATCGTTGAAGCTCGATTTTGTTCCTCGAGTTGTGTGGTGTTTCTCGTTTTCATTACGGCATCAATAAGTTCTCGCTCGTGGTCAACCTAAAGATAACAAACAGTTTAACGACCCATTTTGCTAAACTTGAAAACCACGGTTCGATCCTTAACGTAACTCAGCCTCATTTAAAACTTATAACACTGTTATTTTGGATAGTCCTTCAGCAGTGAAACACTGATGTGTGGTGCACCTTTAGATTCGCCATTTCGTCTTTGAGAATCTGGATCGTTGGCATATTACAAGCTTTCTCCGTGAGCTCTTTGATCTCCTTATGCAGAGTAGAAACTTGAGAAAGAAGCTCAGCTTCACGTGTTTTCAACAGTTTAATTATTTCATCTTTCTGGTTGATTTTCTTGGATAAAGTAGCGATCTGAAATAGGCACATGTACCCCTCGAAATAATAAAAAATGAAAGATGGAAATTCTCCACTTATAAAACTTACCTCTTTTGTCCCAGCTTCAAGTAACTGGTGTTCTTTCGCATATCGAGTTTGCATCTCTGCCACTACCTTACCATGATCAAGAATCTCTTTTTCTCGATCGATTTCAATTTCTTGCAACTTCAGTTGTTGAATCTACAAACATTATTCGAAAAGTACAAAAAAAAAACAAAGATAGGACGACAGACATACCTTCACAGTATTTTCAACATTAGTCAAGTTTTCAGATGCCTTCTTAAGCTGCTCTTTGAGTGACGCGTTTTCATTCTGGAATAAAGAAGTATTAGAGACCCATAGATGGGCATTCGGAAATCTGTTCTTTTCACCAGTAGTATCTTCTTGTCACTAAGAAATGCTGCTTCCTTCTTCGAATTCTCCCTAGTAAGTGTTGCTATAGCCATTTTTAGATTGCTTTCGAATGTCTAAAGGCCACAAAATTTAGTTATTATACATTAATGAGTTTAGATGGTGATAAAAACGACAGGACTTCATGCGATGTTGACGATTCAGGATTCTTGGTTCCTTCGGATACTACGGAATCTAGTGCCGTTTGCAAGGCGCTTTTCTCAGTCTCCAAACTCTTATACGCCCTTACAAGATCTAAAACAATTCAAGAAAAACTACGAAACGAAATATTCATTATGACCAATGGAGAAATGAGCCCAACATGAACAGTCACGTGTTCTAAACATGTTAGAGACTTAACTTTGAGCTTCCTTTCATATAGCTTAATCTGGTCTTGCTGTGATTCTACTTTCTTCTGCAAATTACGAACATTCATGAGAAGGAGACCAACGCTTTACTGAATGGCAAAACCTGAAAAACTGAAGATAGAGACACATTTAAAAAGTCCACAACTTCACGAAATAACATAATGACATTCCGAAATGCTGAGTACAATAACCATCATCTACGAACTTGGTAAAAATGAAAAAATCACAAAAGATAGAAACCAATAGACGGCGAGCTACACGACCGAAAATAGCCTTTGAATTGGCACACTTCCCTGGTACGTATCAAGAGGTCTCGAAACGAATTATTATGTCTGCAGGATCGCGTAAAATGAGTGCGAATACGGACAGTTCCCCAGATGGACGATGCATAGTTGGAGGGGCTGGAGTTTCAACAAGGTTATTGCAAGATTTAGGCCCTTACTCCTTCACTTCCTGAAATCGGTAGCTGTTCTCATCCTTACACTGCGGACACATGTCTAAGCTCGACCAAGAGTTTATTAGTCTCAATAGAGACCAGTGGTGCCCACTCGTTTCTTTTCCACCATTGATTTGCATTTTTTTTCGATCGCACTAGAACTCCAACGTTTGTAGCAAGGAGTTTTCTGAAGACACTTTCAGTATCGGATTCGAGGATTTTTCCAGCGTGTAGTTTAGCAAGGCGTTTTCAAAGATGATATTCGGTTAGTGGTAGGATTGATAGGTATGCCGGTTGAAGTATGATTTCCTATCTCTGTTCGTTAATCCGTTAAACATTAAACCACAAACCAAACATGTGGTTGGGTACTGTCATGCGACAGGCCAACATTCAGGAATTTGAAAAAACATTCCATTCAGAATTTTGTTATGGCCAACATTCATTCATTCATTCCAACATTTACACAACAGGCCATTTTGTCATTCCATTCGGCTGCTTGCTGGTGTCAAGCCACGCAACATATCACTAGAGTTTTACTTTGGTTCCTTCTTCCTTGTTATTCTAATTTGGAAACGAGTTGATTGATTCATTTTTGCTGATGCGTTGAGCGGAACATCGTCAGTTTTTGTACGCAGTAAAATTTCTGTCACGTACACCAACACTGTCCCGCAGGGTAGGCTTTGTCCTTTAGCTCTTTGAATTGCCTTCAAGTTCGATTCCCGGCACTTGTGGTCTTTCGGAAGCCTTTCATCAAGCCGTCGTTTGTGGATTTACTTCAAACTACATTTTTAAAGGATCATTATCGATAGTAGTACTTTGTCCTTCCGCTCTCTCTCTCTGAGATTACCATGGCCATCGCAAAACTTCAAACGAATCGCGCTATACGTTCGTTTATGATTTATTGGCTTAGTGGAAAGTCAATATTGCTAGCAGCTTTCATGAACCACTTCAGTTTGCCCTTTCCCATTTTGATTGCACTAACCTAACGAGAAAAGAAATCACTAGATAGAAAGGAAGTTAATATTGTTATTGTTAAGAGGTGGTAGTAGAGTTTGTTACTCAAAATGATATATAGTGTGGGTAAGGATATTTGGCCCATTATTTAAAACAAAAGGAGCCCAGCATCCGTCTGGTCCATGTGGTGTTCAACACTTCCTTGATGGAGTAGTCTTCATAATTTTAAGCCGTCGGGACAGATTGACAACGACTTAGGCCTTAAGATACAGGTATTCTACCTGTATTTCTCTTTAATTTCAAAAGCATCTGTCATAAAGAAACGAATCGTAAGGTTGAAGAAGTCTGTCTCCACGAATGGTCTGTGACTGCTTCAATTCGTCGAACGTACTTATAAGCTCTACATGTAGCTCCTATGCTGTTCCGTCTAGATTTCGGAGTTCTGTGGATATTGAGTACATGAGATCGAGAACTGCGTTTGAAGCTGTTCATGACGACCGTTCTGTTATATGTATAAAAAACAAAATATAAAGCAGAGATATGGGAAAAACTCGAAACGTTAGCTAAGCTTCGAACCCACGATTACCCTTTCCGAAGCTCGCGTGTTATCTACCACACCGACGGAGACCTTTGCTTTGTCTTTCTCTCGTTATCATCGGGAATGCTTTTGCTCATATCTCTGCGACCTTTCGGTTGTATTTCATATAGTATCCTGCCAACAAAAAGGAATAGGCAGTAAATAAAAGTTAAGAATGTAAAGCTTTTGTCAGTGATCAATCTCTCACAGATTAACTATGTATTGGCCTACATTAATCATCTCAGAGATCGTTGAGTTTACTTTTCTCGTATAGAACAATTTGTTAAGACCCATAGATGTATCATATCGGTATGTTTCATCGTCGCAAATAAGTTTAGTAGCAATTTGCCGAGTCCAGAGGAGTGGAGTGCTTCGTTTCTCCTGGCGCATGATATAACCAATAACCACATTTGCATTGCACGGCCCATCTAACCTCTACGTTGCTCGAGGTCCCTCTGTGTAAATAGAGCATCAAATACGATTTTTTTCTCGTAAACATCATCTTTGCAATGTTGAGGTGTAGTCAGATCGTATCATACGCACGATGGAAGAGAGCATTCTTCACTGGTGCGTTACTGTCAAGAAAATGTGGATTATGACGTTGTCGGTTGGCCACTGTTTTACATCGGTATTCTTTCATCACACTTTATTTTCGAAGTTCCTAGATAGAGAGCTGATGCTGGTGTTATGTTGTACCGTCCAGTTTAACACTATAAGATTATGATTATGTTCTTCTAGAGAGGTGATTTCTCGCTTAAAAACTCAGATTGAATAGAATGCCATTTGTTATTAATATCCGGGATAAGTGCAAAACATCATAGTGCTATCTATGATACCTCAGTAGATTTGGAAGTGCATTTCGATCAGTGCATGTGTACTTATGGTCCAGTGACATTGGTGATATCACAACCGAGTGATACCTGAGTCTACTGGACCAAATAATCTAGGTGAACCGACATGATGACACGCATAGTCGAAACCTAGTCTTCAGTCGTATAGTACATAACGTTTTAAAAATTGAGTTGTAAAACAGACTGGCTGAACACCTGTTGGATCAACTTCAAAAATCCAGGGATAAATCGCAAGGAATCCTTTACAAATACTCATGGTATCATCCGATATCTTAAATGAAACTTTGGACGTGAGACGGTCATATTTTCACGCCATCTGAACTCTGTGCCAATATTTCTCCTATCATCCGCCAAACTTCAGAGGTGAAGGAACGTGCATTCAAATTACTACATTGGTGTTCTCATTGTGTCATGATGAGAGGCCATAGTATGTCCCAATACTTTTCTCATAATGCGCAACATTTGAGGAATGCAGGTAGTGTGTTCAGATGGCCAAGATAGTATTGTTTGCATTCACATTGTATGGTGATGAGGTGAAGATACTAGTCGGTTCAAAAAGAAGAATACCAAAACGGAGGTGTTATAATTTGGCTCAGCATTTCTCAATATGCAAGACGTTTGAGGTATGGTGTGTTTAGATCATTGAGTTATCATTCTTATTGCATTATGATAAGGCAGATGAACGGAACGAACTCAGGGAAAAGTAAACAAAAGACGTAATAACGTTAGTCTCAATCCTCGATTTGCTTTATTAGTTGTCTTTCTATCACATTTTGAATACTCAGGTGAACATTTTCACTTCGTACTATATAGTTATTTCGGTCCTCCCAACGGCTTCCTGCCTCATTGTGGCTAGGAGGTGTTCCTGGGTGTCGGGCTACGTTGTATAGCGGAGAGATTCATCCCACGGTAGGGCCTACCTAGCTAAGAGGGAGTCCGGCGTTTCCATGAGAAAGCCCAACTAAGTATAAATCAATATCAGGATTCACCACCGTCCTGGTATCAAACTAGTCGCATGGTAGAAAATTTCCCTCTGGTCCACAAGGGCGGCGACTGCCTGTGGTGGTGACGACGTGGGACAAACATTGGCCAGGTTGATCTCGGAATTCCAGTGAACCACAATATCCAAAGCAACAAAACTTCGAAAGGAATAGAAATTACGCTGGGGTCCGCACAACTAGTGAAGGCAGGCCATCCAAGTGTTCAAGTATCCAAGTAGTTATCTTGTTAATATTCTATAATTGCCTACCCATTTTCTGTTACTGGATTACATTTCATAAACTCAATTTTCAAGAACTTGAAATCTTTGTATGTAATGTTAAGCAAAAGTACAAGTGTAACATAGGGCTTTGACATGCGTTGCACATGGTTGCTGGTTTAATCCCAGATCTCGGGTAAACAAACCCTTCGTCTCTTAGGAGTCAGAAAGTCGGCGCTAACTTATTTAAGGCGATAAAAACGCTGATTTGGCACTCGGTCGGCTACCAAAAAACGTACAGGTTGAAAATCAGTCAATAGAATCTACGCTGAATCGAGTCGAATGAATGACGCATCATCAAGGTATTGATGGATTAAAACCGAAGGTTCCACGTTTATTTTTATCTCTAATGCTCGTCATTTTTGTCTACGAGGCTCATACATCAAACAAAAAGGTGATTAATTATATAGAATTTCCTCCAGCAGAGAAAATGGCTTTTGCGGCTACAGTGCTTGTATTAAAAATTTTAAAAATCTAAATTTCTATTCTAATTTTCATCTATTTATTTCCAACGAGTCGGTGGAGATGTGAAGTTCCTCAGATGTTCATCTGGGAACAGTTGCAGCTAACTTTCCAGGAGCTAGCCCTAGAATACAAACGAAGCCTATTTGCTTGAGATCACATTGAACCACATTCTATGCGGTAGTTACCACCGCACTGCATTGGTCGAGTCATCACCTAGTGTGTGGTTAGCCAACACACGTGTATGTGCACGATTTTAAACAGTAAGTATAAGAACATACGATTGTGCAAAGTTTTAAACCGACATTGGCAACGGAGACAGGGGACCATTTGTGAGGTTCCCGCTGAACGAAAGCAAACGAGAAAATAACATGAAATAACACTGGTCTCTCTTGGTCCGTGACTAGTGTCTTATTTATGCACCATCTGATGATCCTTGGGCTAATTTCATCATTAGTCGGCTCGAAATTTCTGATATAAGAGATTTAAGTATTGCAGAAGCATTGTTGTTAAAATAAAATACTTGGTACCGTTCTTCTTGCTGCCGTGGTTTTGGTTCAGTATCAATGTCATACGCTTCGATTATAGATTCAATCGCGGCTCGCCAGACTTCTAACGTTTTTGTGCCGAACCATTTCTTGACCACCATTCCAACCGTTTTTGTGGATCAGAAGAAAGTTTGCAGCCCTCTTGCTGTTTCTTCCTTAACAGCGGCGCTCGTTGGCGTAGGATCATTCATGGTTGGAACAATAAAAGTCCTCGGTCTTGAAAATCCAGGAAGAATAGCTATTATGTTGACATCTTCAATTACTGTAAGAACTATATTGGAAAGCAAAATCTTCTCTGTCTTTCGAAATCTCTTTTAAATGATGCGTAGAGCGTTCTTAAACGAAAAATTATGTTTGAAAAAAAACACCTGTAGCTACTACGTAGCAAAATCGGACTGAATCACAATGACGTAATAAATGAATGTATTTCGGGATGTCGGAGTGTGTGAACATATTCTGCTCTTCCGCTTATCTTAACCATTACTGGGTTATGTTCCTATGGAAAATACGAAGACTGGATCCACAAATTGGGTCAACTGGTTCGCTTTTAGGTAAAAAGGCAAGCGGGTATTTGTCTTAAAAAAATTTTTCAAGCAAGGTTTACAACAACTGCTCACAAAAGAAAATTGTGGCGATGGTGTTTAATTACAACGACGGTTATGCCGCATGTCATCAGTCCATTGATGAGGGATCCAACACGGATCTAAAGCAGTCGTATAAGTGGTATACGTCTACCGAGTTATTGGCAAAATCAGAGCATTGGCTCCATGTTTCTATTGCAGGTGACTGATTTGTGCCATATAATATTCTTGTGCGCATTGACAGTGTTCTTGGCTTGAGGGCTTTCTCCATGCTCCAAGGTCACATCAAGTAACCAATATGGAGTTTGGAAGCTGCACGTGGCTATTTCGCCCCAGAATACGAAAAATAAAGATCATCTTCCTTGCTCAAAACGCTTGTCTATTATGGTGACGTGTATTCGGGCAAGAACGCAAGTGGATAGCACACATCGAACTCAATAAGCCAACTAACCATTAGGTCACCTCCCTCTGCACTTACGCCTCCTCACTAGTTTTCCACGCCTACACATTTTTTTAAAATATTATAGTCCACAGCTGATGTCTGTCGGAGTCGCACAGAAAATCTTGAATTCATTTTCCAGTTTCTCCTCGAAAACTTGAATTTTATACAAGTTTGAAACTTACAGCAATAGGAAGAAGTCTCTTCTATAACTATCTTAAGTGTTCATCCTTTAGTTTCTGGAAAATTATCCGCAGTTATCGAAAAAGCCGACCTTTTCTGAATGCATCGTCACAGACAGTAGAAAACTCAACAATATCGGTCAACACTCAGGATAAGGATAATGAAACTAAGTCTCAAAAACTTATGTTATCGTGAAACTTCAAGAAATTTCCTAACAGTACGGAGGGAACCTAGGCCCAGTGCTTTTGAAAACTCTGCTTACTAAATAAAGTTGTCGCCTTCGCTGCAACACCGTATCAATACAGTTGAGAATGACTCCGGTAAAGAAAAATCTGGACGGCGTCCAGAAGGTAGATTGAGCAGTTGCTATTGTTAATGTTTTGATTAATAAACCATAGTTAATTTTCCATTGCTTAGGAATTCTCCATCCTTACGTAGTGTGTCAAAATCTGGCGCCAGTCTATCTTTGAAGATATAATCTACTCATACTTCCGGGACTTATTCTAGATCAATTTGTTGGTTTTCGGTGACAGACATTTCCTGCAGATTTTTGAGACTTAGTTTCATTATCCTTATCGTGAGTGTTGACCGATATTGTTGAGTTTTCTCAGTACTGCTGATAACGGTGTCTTCAAAAAGCTGGCCATACGAATAAAAGAGAATCGTGTTAGTTACGAAATTTCTTGTTAACGTCTAGCTTAAGAGGAGAACTTCAGAATTAGCACGGATGCTCTGAACAGTCGTTGCTACGATGAACTCAGACAACTTCTCATCTTAGTCTGTAGATCTCGATCTGATGTTGACACGTCCTCGTGAGGCCAGTCTTAGGGTTAAATCACCAGTGAGGACCTTTAAGAGGTTATTGCTTTCACTGTAGTACTTCTTCAAATGGGTACGAAAGACATAGATCTCACCCATAGATACTTGTCAACCCGTAGATAACGACAGCTGCTGGCATTCCTACATATATTTTCAAGCACAAACGTTTTCCTTTGGTTGCCGGTTATAAAATGCGCTCATACGCCCATACTCAAGTTCATGAGATCAGAGACGCCAAATACTCCAATAAGTCCAATGACAGTGAGCTTGATTTAAACCTAATGCCCTTAGAGTAGAATCTTTAGATACTATAGTACATTATTTGTAAATACGAACGTTTAATTCTTGTCGATCTACTGCCGCTCAGTATGATCCGGCTTCATGGAGGCAGTGAATCCTACGGATGTCGGAATTATGCCTACTTGGAAACCTGGATAGCCTTTCTTCACTGATTGTGCGGGTCCCAACATTGTTTCCATTGTTTCGGAGTTTTGCTGGTTTAGCCATTGTGGTTCCTTGGAGTCACAAGGTTAGCTAGGCCAAAGTCTGCTCCAGGTCGTCACGTCCACAGGCAGTCGCAGCCCTTGTGGATCAGAGGGAGATTTGCCACCATGCGACTTTGATATCAGGAGGGTGGTGGATCCTGGTATTGGTTTACTCTTAGCTAGGCTTCCTGATGGAAACGCGAGACTCCTTCTCAGCACCGGAGACCCTGCTGGGGAGAAGAATCCCCCCGTTGTACCTCGCAGCCCGACATCCCAGAACACCTCCTAGCCACGATTAGGCGGTAAAGCGTTGAGAGGAGTGAGGCTTATAACAGCTAATATATCTCTAAGGGCTCGTGTGGCGCAGTGGTCAGAGGCGCGTCCTGCAACACACACGCGAAATCGATCCCTGCGCACATGGCCCATCAAGCCTTCCATTCTTCCGAGGTCGACAAATCGGTACCGGACTTGCCTGAGAGGATAGCAACACTGGTTCGATACATCGGTAGGCCACCGTGCGTCATAGTAAATGCCAGATATGCATTCAATCACCTCCAAACGATGCTTAATAGAGTGGAACGTATGGCTCATTTTTCAGGGATTAATCAACACCGAGAGCTTCAATATATGTGTAACAGCCTCGTGTAAGTTCATAAACACAGCAAGACAACACCGCTAGCATGGGCGAACGCGTTACCAAAAGTATGCTACTCGAAGTATTTCATAGCACACAAATGAAACTGCCAATCGGAACCAGAACAACAGCGACGACGACAGTTTACAGCAACCTCGCATCAGCTCAACAAGGACCGTTTACAGGAAAACCGGAAATTTTTCCTCGACTTGCGCATCGGGAGTCAAAGTTCTGTTGAAGTGAGATGTTACACCGATGAGGAATTAAAAGTTGCAACCAGTAGAACTTCAAAGCGATAACGAGAAAACCTCATAGACGAAGTCTAGACGTCGACTTCTACTACGTAAGACGTCAATAACATAGACGATACCAAATATTATGCGGATACAACCACAACGTTGCTGAGATACTTGGACGCGCGCACCTGAAGGTTTCGCATGGTGTGGTGATGAGCGCGTTAGCTCCCCTAAAGGATAATTGCGCGTCCGTTCCCCACCGCAGACACCTGCGGTCCGGAGTTTTGCAACTATCTCAGCAACGTTGTGGTTGTATTTGCATTCCGCTTAATACCCTGCCGCGAAAATTGTGGTAGGCAGAAAATAAAAAGTAAAATATTATGAGGATGTTTAGCTCAATAGCCGAAGTCACCGCGCCATTTCAGGTCTTCTGCAATGACTAATAAATAGTTACGTTTAAGTAGTTAACTAGATCTACTGAAATTACACCATACTATTTCGAATTGTGCATTTAACACTATCAAAACATTACTAGTATACAATCCTAAGCGCACTCATGTACGTATTGCTGCTTACTTCATCGCAGCGATATTGATTCTTCCTAAGTCACTAGAGCGATGTCCTTGCATTCACCTCTTTCCATGAAATATCGATTGAAAGGTGTTGTTTTAGATGATAACTGGTAGTGGAGAACATGTTCATACGAAATAGCGGTTTCCACGTATCATAGCTTTAACGACTTTAAGGCACCTGTTCGTTATCCTGCATTCTCTATCCTGCTTGGAGAAAGGAACAGTAAGACTTCCGGATGCTTTCTTTTTGACTAAATGAATTGTTCAGTATCATTGAAATACACAGCTTACAAGGAAGCACCTAAACATCACTTCTCGTCGTCCCCTAATTTTAGAGAAAACGATGTGGTGACCATGAAAACTCGTCCGCATCTCATTGTTCCGTTTGCCCCGTTTAGCGCATTCAGTGCATGTTTATTCCGTTTATGTTTATATAACAACTTCCCCATTAAATAAACTGTTGAGTATCATCTAAACACACCACTTACAAGTAAACACCTAAACGTTAACTCTGATCTTCTTCTCATTTGTTGGAGAAAGCTATCTAGTGGCTATGAAAACTCGTCCGCGTATCATTTGTTTCGTTAACCACGTTTACCGCCTTCAGCATAGGTTCATTTCATCTGTGTGTACGTAGTAACCTTACTCTAACAGTCAGTTGCAGTGTCCAGTTTTTGTAACCATTTCATTTTTCTTGTTGCATTTCACTCTGGCTGTTTTCACGTGAATGTGAATCGTCTTCGTTTTCTTACTAACCTTAGATCTTTTAGTTGATTGGGTACGGCGATGGAAGATGGTGATACAAACAGATTACCAGTATTCCTATCAGTAAGCGAAGTTGAATTTCCCATTACTGAACGCTCACCTCGTCGTATAGTCACTGTTTACAATCCATACGGATATCCAATTCAGTACAAAGGTGGTTCGCCGCTTCAATTTTACCTTTTTCGAAAATATGTTGTTTTTTTTTGTCGTTTTGCTAGTGAAGTTGTTCATGAGTTAAATAAAACAGTAGTATTGACGTCAACAGCTCTTTCAATTCCATTCCAGTTGTTCCTTATTACTTCTGTAATGAAGTTTTCCGTAAGTTTACTGATAATTCATTCTATCGTTATGGTCTATTTTAGTACTGTGCAATGCGCCTGGGAACTATTCAGTGCCTAATCCTAAAGGAGTCCTGCATGCAAAAAGTTGTAGAGATTTGTGAGTTTTCTCCTTTTTCCTTAAAACCTTTTTTTTTTCTCGATTTCGTTATACTACGGAAATAGTTTAGAGTCGTTAAATGCACAGCGAAGCTTAGTGTTGGTACAATTGATCGACTTCGAATTGAAATTATGAGACCTGGTGAGGCAGAGGTGAGGAGTCTTCCTCTATCTTTGACCGTTCTTCTACGAACGAGACAACAATAGCTGCTTCTATTTTCCTTCTAATCCACTTTGCTTTGTGTTTCTAAGTTTTTCGAAGTTCATATTTTCTCTCAAATCAGATTGTAGGTCCTGGGAAGTAGAGATCTGTTGCTACGAACTGTTAGCGAAACTGCTTGTACGACGACGAACTCACCCTCACCAAGTAGAGTTTGTTCTGTGACGCAGCCTAGAAGCGATCAAGCCACAACACGTCGATCGAATTCCAGCGTCCATGACGAAGTACGGCATTTTTCATTTCAGTTGTATTCTACGCCTTCACAGCTTTGCTGTCTAGTTCTGTCAAGAAAAGTTCCGTTGTCAGCACAGCTCCCTAGCCCATGTTACGTCATTAGTCTACTCACTTGTATGCTTAAATGACCAGCAATCACACGTTATGCGAGCTTTATCACTTCTATTCGTCTTCTCTCTCCAAAACCACCATCCACAAAAGTTACGGGTTTGGTTGTGGCTTGTTGATTTGTAGCCTTTCCTTATTATTTTTTTTTTATGATGGTTACGCTTGAGTTTCTCTCGAATCTCAACATAATGTTGGAGTGCTTCAACACGGGTAGTCGCAGACCTTTACGCGGTAGAAGGTTTCTTCAGTCATTACTTTGCATAATGTACGAGGATAATGTTATAGGCGGAGTAGTATAACACTGTGTGATTAACTTAATGATGCTGAGGTATTTGCAAAACTCCGGACCGCAGGCGTCTGCGGTGGGGAACGAACGCGCTATTGTCCTTTCCGGGGAGTAAAGCGTTCTCCACCACACCATGCAGGTCCTTCCTTTCGCCCGTCTCAGCTAGTTCTATCGATCCTTGAAAGAGTGGGCAGCAAATAAAACGGTTAAGATTGTGATTATAACTAAAGTCTCAGCTTAACTGTGTTCATTGCCGATTTAGGCTCCTCAGATCAATCCCGCTGACGGGTGATTGCTGATGGCAAAGATCGATAGAACTAGCTGAGACGGGCGAAAGGAAGGACCCCCATGGTGTGGTGGTGAACGCGTTACTCCCCGGAAAGGACAATAGCGCATCCGTTCCCCACCGCAGACACCTGCGGTCCGGAGTTTTGCAAACATCTCAGAATCATTGAAGTTATATTTTGCATGCCATTAAAAAGAGTAGGCAGCAAATAAAACGGTCAAGACTGTGTACTTACTTGGATACTTGGACGGCCCATCTTCACTGGTTGTGCGAGCCCCAGCATAGTTTCCATTGTTTCGGAGTTTTGCTGGTCTACCCACTGTAGTTCCTTAGTGTTCCGAGGTCAGCCAGATCAAAGTCCACCCCAGAACGTTACTACCACAGGCAGTCGTCGCTTTTGTGGACTAGAGGAGATTTGCCAGCGTGCGACTAGTTCAGTACCAGGACGGTGGTGGATACTGGTATTGGTTACTCTTAGCTGGGTTTCCTGATGGAAACCTCGAACTCCTTCCCTTCTCAGCTTGATAGACCCTGCTGGGGGATAAATCCTCCAGTCCTCTACTGTGCATCGCAGCCAGCCACCCAGGAATGTCTCCCAGCCAGGATGAGGCGGTAGACAGTTAGGAATTACAACGGTGTATGCGGTTTTTAAACAATGAAGACAAAGATTGTTAACCTTTTTTAGGTGTAGACAACTTTCCACTGTTAGCTGGGACTTTAAAAGCAAACGTCGTGAGTGCAAATATGAAATATTTGTTGATCTATGAGCAAAGGGGGCGCGAATAGTGGCGTGGCTGGTTGGAGCTGCCTTCCAAGTTTATAATGAATGGTTCGATATGGCTCCGCCGGCCAAGCCCCACTTCTGTAAGCTCCGCAAACTGGTACTGAATTTGTTTAGGATGATATACGATAGAACCATTGACTTCATATGCATAAGGGTAGGGTTAGTAATAGTTGCCCAGGTTCAATCATCTTATTGTACTTAATGGAATCAAGCGCAAGGGCAAAAAAGCTGAACGCTTTGTGCCTTGTCCTTCGTCGTTTTCGGTTCTGTTCCTTCTTATTAATTGTTCGTAAGAATACTTAATATTACATAAGGTTTTGTCAGCAAAACATTTAGAGCATCATAAATTCAACATCATAAAACGTCATAAATTAAAAAACAAAAACATAAATTAAGATAATCGAAATTCAAGCCTGCATTAACCTTGCTGGCGTTGGTATTCCTAAATTGATTGTTATGTTAAGCGATTCCCTGTCTCAAAAACTTGCATATTCTTTAAGATGCCAAACATCGGGAGTGATATGAATCTGAAAATAGCCCTGAGAAACTCTTGTCAGTGAATCAAACCTTGTTTACAGAACGCCGCTTCGTCGCAACTCGCTTGCTTGGGTATTGCGGTAGTTTGTGCGGTGGCCCTCATGGCTCCAACTCAAGGTGATCCAGCTGCTGCTGATTCAATTCTGCCAAATCACTTGCATCTCACTGTGCCTCAGAAGCTTGTTGCCGCATATATTCTAGGTGTTGTATCTATCCTTCTACTCCGCCCGATGACATAAAGTGCCACAGCTATGCATTTTCACATACCATATCAATTTTTTTTACCAGTAAGTAATAATCCTTTGTAACATCGCAATGCCTATGGTTGTTCCACCTTGTTCTCACTGGTCAAATGTGTTGCAGTTTAGTCGTTCACATGGCTACGAGCTAAATCTTTATAATCTTTCTGTATTCCCGAATTAGCGTTCAGATCGAGCGTAGTTCTTTACCATATTCCTCTTCATCTGGACTGCCACACTGTATGAAAGTCTGTACAGAAAATTACTGCATAGTTTGACATTTGCTGAACATTTATAGCTCTATTAGGTTCGTCAAAATGAGTGGTAGTTCATATTGCGGGTATCAGCTCATTAAAGTGTTTCAGAAGTGATATCTGTGGTTATTTTTGTGACTTGGACTGGTTACAGATTATTGTACCTAGGAGGCAGCAACAGGCATACTGAGAATAATAGTATCACATTTATTATAACGTAGTCTTTAACCTTCTTCATTATACAGCAGCAAATTTGTAAGTACCTTCCAAGACGACGTTAAACATAACTGAATCAAAGAGCAAATCCAAGGCGTATGAAAAGTGAGTGAAAGGCTTTTGGTAAAGTCATTTTAAACTATCCACAAAAGTGTAACGGATAATCACAAAATGTTAGGAATAAATCAGAATCCTTGCCTTCGGATGGCACAGTAACGACACTACAATACATATAGTGCTAATAACTGCTATGACAATTGGTTTTGTTAGCGTTGAATGGTGGGAAAAGTAGAAGATTATGAATAGTAACAAACATGTACAAATATATAGGGACATATACAACGACAAGGATAAAATAAATAGTGCATTATTGACGTAGTAATAAAGGACGTGGCAGAACAATGGTCAAATGCTCTCAATGAAAAGAAATAAGGAAATGTTATAAATATTATGAACGACCTGATAACGTGCTTTCATCAGAATATGTCTATAGTAAACCGGTTAAGATAAGTGGCCAATGCTGGATATATCAAAGTAGTGTACATGACTTTTTCTGTTTGAGAGGCTTTGGATGTATAACAGCACGAACCGCATCTTCGAATACCTATAAAATTCAGAGAAGTGATTTAGAGTGCAAAGGTACGTTCAGAAGCCATCGTCATTAGGATGAGTGGCAATAGCTGCTTTACATAGCAATGATATATTACAGTAACTGAAGCTGGTCTATGATAGTCTAAAAGCAGGCAGTAGACTATCGTTTTGTTGGCCTTAGCATATTAAAAACTTAAGAAATCAACAGAAGAATACGTGTACGTAAGTGCTACACGTCAGAAAACCCTATAATTTATTACCGAAGATCAAATATTGACTACTTTTCTGGCATAGAAGAAACGCTAAAGCGTGTATACCTCGCTAAGTAAGCATAACTCAGTGGGTGGAGGACAACCAGGAGTATGCTGACGTAGATTCGAAATTATCGTAGATAAAAAAGTTGTAGAACATTATAGGAAATAATACCAAAGGCACATACTTGCTTCAATCCTTGTTGTGTTAGAGCCGAACACTCCAAGTACTTGATTGCTTTAATTTTTTGAGCACATTTTTGTCCTTGACTTTTTGTTATTGGCGGACGTTCCTCTGTGCCATCGGTGCGAGGACTCATTTCGTCTCGCAAGTCGAGTTTCGTGCCTAGAATAAAGTTAATGATTTGTAAGTAATCAGAAAACTAAATGTATAATAATAGAGGTAATCGCACCAACGAGCAATATAGGTGCATCAGGGCAGTGCTGGCGTATTTCCGGTATCCATTTAGTGGCAACATTGTCGAAAGAAACAGGTGAAACAATACTAAAGCAGAGCACGAAGACGTCTGTTTGTGGATAGCTCAATGGCCTAAGGCGATCATAGTCTTCCTGAATGAAAACTTGAAAGTTCCCCCACAAGATGAATCTGGACAAGACGAATCCATACATATATCCATCGCATCAAATCCTAAACGGTGACGCATCACTATAGGTCTTTAATGAAGCATAAGCGAGTAGCATTTGTGAGTCAACATAAACAACACTCAATCACCATCATGGGCATGAATAGAAAGAAGCCTAACTAATGCACTAAAAAACGCTACATAGCATTGTGCATAGTAATAACGGATACACGGATAGTAGTGGTCATTAAAGCACTATTGACGCAAGCTACATAGGCACTTTGCCCCTAATTCTAGAAGGAAATCACTAAACATGCTATATATTCGTACAACTCTTGCTGAAAATCTTTTTTGTCTGTGTATTCTTCTTCTAATTAACTGTTATCACATCTTCGCACACCAGACATACAATTATAGCAGCACATCGGTCCTTTAAACTTCGAAGTATTTGAAACAAAAAAAGCTTTAGCATTTATTTGCATGTTCGTATGAACTGATCTTGCTGAGCTAATGTGAGGTTGGTATAAGATGTCACTGTTGTTGTTGTTGTTGGTGTTCTCACTGGTCGATGGTTGACGTTTCGGCGATTTCGCCTTCCTTAGAGCCGTGCTCTTACGAGTGGGACGACGACAAGAAGAAGAAGAACAACAACAACAGCGAAAACTTATACCAATCTCGCATCAGCTCAACAAGACCAGTTCATAAGAACATATAGCTAAGTATGTTGATTATTTATGCTGAGCTTTATAGAAAGTCGGTCTTTTGAGCTTTAGCATTGTTTACACACTAACTGACAGGAGGACAACGTCAATGAGAAATTATTCCTTTTTTACTAAGAAGTCGCGAACACGCGCAATATTGTTACACCAGCCGAAGACTGATGAAAATACGAGTCATGCAACCGACCTGCCCTGCAGTATCCCATAAACCGAGGTTAACGGTATGATTATCCAATGTCATTTGAGCAGAGTAGTTGTCAAAACTGCAAGAAATATGAATGAAGAAGTTAAAAGAGGAGAAAGAAGTAAACAGTGGACTGACTCACACAGTGGGAACGTACTGCACAGGGAATGAGTCAGTTGTATACGAAATCAGCATACATGTTTTTCCAACTGTGCCATCTCCGACAACCACACATTTGATTTGCCTCGACGGACTGGACATACCTATAAAGTACTACAGTAACTCAAGGATAAAGCAGTACCATTTCAGAAGCAAATTCCACAAGAAAATGACGAACAGTACCTATACCTATATGATTCCAAACAAGCTCTTTATTACAAATGGAGAAGATAAAGTTCTTGTTTAATACTAGTAAGTGGACGGAAATAAGAAGAGATCGAGGGATATTTTGTTTAACAGTCGAGAGAACGCTGACAAATTCTTCAGAGGAAAAAAAAGAAGGAACACTCGAAAACAAAAAAAAACATTTTAAGGAAGAAAATCGTGAACGTTTATAAAAAAAATCACTCTGTAGAAGACGAGACCAGCAAAACCATCAGAGCTGAAACAATCTCCTGTGGACCACAAAAACATGGAAGCTGTTGTTCGGGATAGTTTTGAGGTTACGAAAGCAGAGTGACCGGAAAAATCCAGACCAAACTATTCACTAGGAAAAACGCTTTTAAGAGGATCGATAGCTCTAGTGTTAGGACGGATTTCCCTCCTAAACATTCGAGATTGTAAACATTGGAAGAAATACTCCTACCAATCGATTATTACCAAAATATTAAGCATTAGCTTTGAACAAATCTTGTAATCACCTAATTAATTGATTCATTAATTATCCTACATTGACAATCACGTAAAACGCTAAGAATTTCAAGTTTACACTACTACTTTGGCCTTAGTTTCCACGAATTTCACATATATAAGAAGTTACGTGGATCTACCTAAGAAAAAAGAAGCGCAGTGATGGACGACCGAACAAGTCGAAAAAAGAAACGAACAACAGTTGTTAGCTTGCTTAAAGTGATGAAAAAAGGATGAATGAAAGAATGAAAAGAGAGATGGAAGTAAAGAAAGGACGAAACTCTTCTTCACTAGAAAATCGCCCAACTGCTGATCGGCAACTAAGTTGGTCTGATCGGAAGAGGTTCTTGAGTGAATCAGCGTGACATGCAGTTTTCAAATTTATGGACTGGTTATGTCATTGAAGTAACCAGCTCGTCGAAAGTGAAATGGGTGTGCCGAAATGACTCACACTGACGATAGAGAAAAAATCCAGAAACACTTCGTGCAAAGACCCTGACGACTGGATTTCACCTTTTTTCCGATTCGATTGTTCAGTTTACAAATGACGTGAATAGCAAGCAAGGTCCTGTCGTCTGTTATGTCGTGAGGAAAAATTTATCGCACGGGTGAAATATGAAGGAAAGATGAACAACTGGGTTAGTGAGAGTGCCAGGAAAAGAGATAGAGTAAGAAAAGGATGAGTGTTATAACTGTTTACGTGGTCGCCAAATGAACAGCATGCACAGTTTGTGGCTAAAGTTTTTTTTAATGAGAGTACCCAACTTAGTGTCCACTGCTTTGAACTCGAAGGTTATTCCTGAAGAGATTCAATGGAAGGCGATCAGTGGATCTGGAAGTGATTGCAGTAAGAAATCAATACTCATAGGCACTGAGGAGAACCCGGAGAGGACCGTGTCCTCATTTCACCACATTAATCATCATTCTCGGAGATGTCGTCTTAACTGATGAATTTCACTCACTCTCATATCGATCACTCATTTAAGGGCCTAGAGAAAACTGTCAGACACAGCAGCTTACTTGTTAGCGTATTACTAAGGATTTTCTGGAAGTGGACAAGTTCGGCAGTATGTTGACGTTACTCGCTAACGTATCCCTCTCTCATAATCAACACCAGATACTGGAGTTACTAAGGGATTAGATGAACCCTACATGACTTTTTGTTTATCGTTTACTTTTTTCATTATTGCTAAGAGTTACTGGTATGATATAGTCCCTGGATTCATCCAGAATTCCGATTCTTGTTCGACTTATTCAATCAATATAGGGACTGTATAGGTAAGTGTTCTAGTACTTACTGGTATTTTACTGTTGTTAATCCTTGTACTTTTTTTTCCTTATCCTTCCTTCATGTTATGTCTTTCTACAAAACCAACTTAAGCGACCTCGCTTTCTTCCTAAACGTTCCTCTCCTTCTCACCGATTTCTACCCCTTTTCGTTTGTCACTTATTATCTTTTTCTTTTGATGCTGTTCATTCTATGTTTTCTTTCTTTCTTTTTCTCTTTCTCTCCAGTAGGCAGGGCTTAGCTCATAGACCGTCTCTTACTCTACTTTTAAGAACCTAATCGATATGGTCCTACAGTCAATTTCTAGGTTGCTCTTATCGTTTCGTGTTCTGATGTTCTGATGAATTTTGTATGTTACTACTTTTTAGGGGAATGTTTACTTCTGGACGTCCGTTTGCCAATCTGAGGTTACCCAATCGTGTCACAACAGTTCTCGTTTCGAGTGTTGGCTTAGGAATTGTGCTGTTTGGTATTCTTCTACGAAGGTATTCCAGTTTTTCCTCTTCAGGAAACTTTTTTAATCAACTTCTTGCTTTGGTTTCTTCTTTTGCTTAGTAAAGAAACTTGAGTAACCCATATTGTTGCGAACAGGCTTTCATCCAGTAAGCTTACATGTTTGCTTTAGGTGGCTTCGGAACAGAAGTGTCTCGGAAAGGCTTTCTTCTGGATTAAATGATGGTGGTTCTCAGGATGTATTCATAGATACATGTCACCAACTAGATCGATCAGAAGCAGGTAAGAGTCTATAGCTTTGAACGTTGCTATTAGCCTTAGTGCTTAATTACTTGTATGGTTAAGTTCAGTTCGGGCATCGTCTCGTTTGCGATATACGCCTTCGATCAGTGACCGTGGTAGTGTACGACAAGGTGGAAGTTCAAGACATCGGAATCACATGAGCACTAGTATGGATCCTCTACCACTTGGAGGTAGGTTACATTCATTCAATGATGAATCTAATACTGGATAACGATGATTTATTTCTTGCACAATAGATTTAGAATCTAAATCAGATTTTTAGTGGTTTAGGTTTTACTTATTTGGATGCTTGGATGGCCCGTCTTCACTGGTTGTGTTGGCCCCAGCACATTTCCTATTTTTTTTCGGAGTTTTGCTGGCTTAGCCATTGTGGTTCCTTGGAGTCCCGAGGTCAGCAAGGCCAAAGTCTGCCGCAGGTCGTCGCTACAACAAGCAGTCGCCACCTTTGTGCATCAGTCAGAGGGAGATTTGCCACCATGTGACTGGTTTGGTACCAGGACGATTACGGATCCTGGTATTGGTTTACTCTTACCTGGGCTTCCTGATGGAAACGCCGGACTTTTTTCAGCTTGGGAGACCCTGCTAGTGGTTGAGTCCCTCTTGTTCATGGCAGCGCGATACCCAGAAACACTTCCCAACCACGATGGGGCGGTAAACTGTTGGGAGTTGTTCAGGTTTTACAGAATATAAAGCACGTTCTTGGTGTTGTTCAGATTTTACTAGCTAGATTCTAAGCGTCTCAGAATTACCAAATCCTTGTAAGTACCTCTGGGCATGCTACGTCGCTGTTTTCTTTGCAATTTACTCGTAAGTTTGCTAGTGTAGACTGGTACAATAGACCGTTAGACCAAGAAATTACCTAGACACAAGACCATCATAGCCTAGTTTTTCAGAGTAGAAGCGAGAATATTCTATAAGGTATTCGAGCTGCTTTTGGGAGAAACTATTTTCATTGCCACGAATGTAATAGTTATGTCAAGAAGTTGTCAACCGTCCAACAATTACAGTTTGAAAATGTTACCTTAACACAGTAAGTAAATTACATTGTAAAATGATGCTGAGATATTTGCAAAACTCCGTACTTCAAGTGTTTGCGGTGGGGGTCGAACACGCTATTACCACTTCAGGAGCTAACGTCTTCACCACCACACCATGCGGTTCCTTCGTTTCGTCTTTGTTCTGCAGTCCGGAATTTTGGAAATATCTTACCATAATTGTGGGAATATTTCACATCATACCCTGCCATAAAAAGAACAGGCAGTGAATAAAAAAAATTGTCTAGATTGTGAGTTGTTTTGGTTCCTAGTCTACTATAGTCTAATTTCCTATAATCGTTGTGAGGTACGCGTTTTCCCGATATTTTCAAAACTTGTGTGATTCCTAGGGGGACTTGTGTAGGAGATAATAGTCTAGCTTTTTTTTCGAGTTACTCTTAAGGTGTAGCTGTTGCGTGCCATAGATGCTTAATGGCTTCATTTTCGTTTTAAGCGTTGGAAGAATAAGTATGGTAGTCGTTCTGATTCAAACTATTCGTCATTTGAACTGTCCTTCTACGGCGTAAAGTGTGCGAATAGGTTTTTTTTCTACTTTCAGAGTCGTCACAATATCATTTTCCTTCTTCAGTTTTTCTATAAGATTATGTTATAATTGTTTTTAGTGGTCGACTCGACTCAAGAGTTATTGCGATCTTTGGAGAGAGCAGTCAGCGTGATTGAGACCTACCGTAGCCACAGCGAGAAACACTCCAACTTATTTGGAGAATTCACTTCCATAATTGATCGTTTGAAGGTGCTGGAATCAGATATAGCTCGTCTCGTCGCTGAGGGTGCTATTGGAGATTTAAAAGATGACCGTTAGTTTCACTAATCTAATATACTCATGTGGCGTAAATTGGCTTCCGAGAATTTACAAGCCCGAGTTTTTATTTATTACCTTTTGTGGAAACAAATATTCCTTCGAGGTCGAACAACTGGGGTAAGTGTTTAAGTTGGATCATGTTTCAGTTAATACCACCATACTTCCGCAAGGTGCGGTTTGGTCTGTGCACAATCTTCCTCATCCTGGAACACTTTCAGTCCTTTCTGATGATTCCTTTATGTCTGCATATGAAGAATTCGTGAGTACTTTTGGGATCTAGTGTTTCAGTGTTTTCAATTGTCGAAGGATAGTTTCGAGTATGTCATTTAGGCGGTTACGTTTGATAATGACATCCTCCGCGATGAGCTATCCATCCCAGAAAACCAACTTCATTTGTATAAGGACGGTTTGAGGGCAGCAAATCGTGGAGAGGTCGCCGTTTTGCAGTATTTTTCTATTGTAAAGTTTATTTTTGTGTTTTCTCCAACCGCTTTACACTTATTTTTCAGGTGAATTTTAGAAAAATGCGTGGAGATATTTGCCAATGTGAGAACGAATTGGATTTTGCTGCGAAATTGTGGTGCCTCCGTAAAGCGCTTGAAGTACAATCCACATTTTTCCATCTTTCATTGATTTTTCACGTGGTACTTTTTCCCATGTAGTACTTTTATGTTTATGCGCTTACAATTACAGTTATGCTTAAACGACGAGCGTAGGAAGATGTGGTTAGCAAATGCAGGACGCACTCTTCTTGGAGACATTCTTAAGCACTCTAAACAGGTTTTTATGGAATCTTCTTAGTACTAGGATATTCAACTTAAACACAGGACTATTTCAGGATCCAGCCCAATTCTACACAGCTTTCGATGCATTGATAGAATTCTTTCGAAGTGAAGTTAATGTGAGTCAAATGGAAGAGGAGCTAGCAGGGCGTGGTGTTAGTTTCACATTTCTCTCCATTTTATTGAAATGTCTAAAAATCTACTCATCTGTAAACTTAGAATGTCATTTGAACTTAAACTTCTTTGCTATAGGTTACTTGACAAGTTTTTCGCAAATTGATCGACATCTTTTTAGGTTGTAGAATTTGGTTTTTGGGATGTCGTGCTTGATTTCATTCTTCTAGATTCGTTCGATGACATTAGATCACCTCCATCTGCTGTGTATTCTGGTATGAGTTAGGTTTTAGTTTTTACTGAGTTCGAAATATCTTTTTATTTTTCTTGAAGTAATGATTAGAATTATCAATCACTACTTATCAACAACCAGATTCTTACACATCCATTAATCCATAATCGTATTGTCACTCTAAAATGGAAAATGGTGTTAATAGTCTTTAAATAAAATGTCTGAAAATAGGTAAGGAGCCAACTACTAGTAGCTTCATGAAAGTCTTAGTGTTCTTACGAAGTTGAATACAAATAAGCTTAAGAGTACTTAAACGGTGAAAACGACCATTGATAAAGGCTAATTGTTATAGAGGGGGCGTGTGGTGCATAGGTCGGAGGCGTCCTGCAGTGCTCATGGGATCGATCCTCACGCCCCTGGACCATTAAGCCCTCTATCCATCTGGAGTCAGCAAATTGGTACCAGACTTGTCTGGTAGGATGGCTGCATTGGTTAGGTACATTGATAGGCCACTGCGAGTCATTGTAAAAGCCAGATATGCATGCAATCACATCCAACGATGCTTAATGAAGTCGAATGCATGGCGCATCTCGTAGGGATTGATCAACGTCGACACCTTTATTCTTTGTTTTAGACGTTATAGAGGTCTTTTTGTTGTGAAGTGGCTGTTTTCGTAGTTTTTCAAAAGGAAGTACTGGGGTAGTGTTCCTTAGAAATTGTATTATATTTCAGTAACAAAGAATTACTTCCTTTCGAATTCTATAAAATACTCTACCATTCGCACTATAATTTGGTCGATGTTGAAGGCGAAACGTCAGAGGTTGAAAGTATGTTCTTACGTCTGGTAGATTTCTAGTCACTTTCTGTCTTTTTTTTTCCTTCGCTTAGCCGCCGTGTGGTACTTTTCACTCTTTTGTTACAGGATAGTAATGGATTCATAGCACATATCTATGACATCTCTGAAACAGTCTCACCGGCGATTACTTTGGGATTTCTTGGCACGGATTCGCGTATTGGTGAACTATGCCAGTATTTTAAGGTGGTTTATCAGTTGTTGATATGTGTTTTCTTCTAACAAAGTTCTCCTTAACGTTGTCGTTTAGTTTTGCTCTAAAGATGGGTTCTTTTACTCAGGAAATGCTTTCATTTCTTCAGGAACAGGTAACTCAATTCGTTGTTGACATATTCAATTTAAAACGAGTACGCTACACAACTGTGGAGGCGTTGGCTGAAGATGTTTGGATTATACTCGAAAGTCGAGCTGAAGCGCTACGCACCCGACTTGCTACCGAACTTATTCCCGCTTAGGCGCTCAGGGTTCAACTTTTCTGTTATAGAGTTTAGCAGCTATCGTTAGGAAATTCCTATGTTGGTGTCGTGAACGGTGGGCGTATGTCTTCAATTTCATGTTTAGTTTCCCTGTTCGTCATTTTCAGAGCCACTATTCTCAAACCTGAACCATTACATAGCCACATACGCCACACACGTAGTAACTGCATCATTGTTATTTCCCGTCTTTATCGTTCACTGAGTAATTACTTGCGTTTAGAATATTACAGTATTGATCTCTTGCGCTGTTAAACGTTGACCGTTATGTTCGCTAACAGTTGGTCATACATACTACTGTGTGAGTTACATCAGTAGTTATTAAGAAAACCGCTAAATTTTTATTCCTACTAGTAATTAGGTATATTCTGCCAGTGTTTTGTGACAGGTTATGGAACTGCGTAGTTTTTAAACCCCGTTACTGTTACGATGACATACTGATTTTGTTTGGGTCATATGTTGTACAGAAGTAGTCTTACTGTGATTGCTCGTTAATAGGAGTTGTTACTATGATTTAATATTGTTATTTTGCTCACTTCTATGGTTCTGACTTGCTGAAGCTTTAGAAGGATTAGTTTTATCATTTCGGACGATCATATTTACGAGTGTGGATTACGTTTTACTACTAATCTCAACTTGTTTTTTATTAAAGTCGTTAAGTGCTGTGTGATAACTGTGCTGCTTATGGGTCTATTCACAAGTCCTTTTTGAACTATTTATATCTTAGTCAACGTCTTTTCTTGCAATAATTGCCGAGAATGAGTATGCGGTGACGAAATTTCATGTCTCGATCTTCGAAACTACTTTACTCTTTAATTTGTAACGTTTGCAAGCCAATAAGTACGTCTGTACAGGAATGCCTTCTGAAGGCTTGACACTTGGTGAAGACTTGTTCGAAAAAATTACGTCAATAGAAGAGAAGGTAAGCTTAGTTAGAAAGTTGGGATTACTGTGAGTACTTCTCATTTTTAGATGAGAAGCATTTGTGACCTGATACCAATATCGACTTGGGGTTTAAGTGCCGATGTTCACGAAAAGCTTCGACAACGAAGTCATAGAATAGTGAACCAACATCTTACGGCTAGTTAGTTTTTTTCTTGCTTACTTACCTACTGCGATACTTGGATGACTCGCCCTCATTGGTTGTGCGGGTTTCAGAAAAATTTCCATTTTCTCGGAGTTTTGCTGGTTTAGGAATTGTGGTTCCCTAGAGTCCCGAGGTCAGCCTAACGAAACAGTGTCCCATGTCGTCACCACCACGGTCAGCCGCCGCCCTGGTGGATCAGAAAGAGATTTGCCACCATGTGACTGGCATGGTACCAGGGCGGCGGTGGATCCTGGTACTGGTTTTTTTTCTTAGTTGGGCTTTCTGATGGAAACGCCGGACTCCTCAGTTTGGGAGGCTCTGCCGGGAGATGAATCCACTGCTGTACATCGTATCCCGACACCCAGTAACGCCTTCCGTCCACCATGGAGTGGGAATCCCTTGAGAGTTTTTTTGAATAACTAAACTTCTAGGTAATAGTTAAGATTTTCTGTTCCAGAGGAAAAGCGAACATTAACGAATAGCAGAAAGCAACAGGTAGCGCGTACCGTTGGCGGTGTATGCCGACGCGTTTCCGAAGTTTTCGAATTGCTTAGTGCTGGTAATCCTGAAAAAAGTTCTGGTCCCAAGGAGGTTCGTGTTTTCGGTCATTTGGTGGGTTTGATTATTTAGCGAACATCCTTTTGATGAACTAGGTTGTTGTTCCCAATGCAGCACCAAAGAAGATAAAAAGCAAAGAAGAAATGGGCTGACTATGTGTTGATTAGAAAGAGGATAAAACAGCAACGTTGAATTTGGTCCTGTTGTTCTACCAAAGATGATTCTTTTGATGTTTTCTTTTCAATATAGTTGTACTCAGAAAACGTCCATGTCAAATATAAACAATGGTTCTTGTTCCCACTTCGATGATGACATGCATCGTGATCAGCAACGAAGACCGTTAAAGAAGTAAATTAGAATCGTTTTGTGACAGTGTGGAACAAGATTGAGAAGATGTGCATACCTATGGATCGTTTAGAGCCTTTGAGAAGTCTCAGAAGCATGGATCCGCCTTCACTACAAATAGCGGTCAAAATTTTGGAGCTTGTTCAAATGACAGTACTGTTGTCGGACAGAATGAAGAAGTATCCAGGAGGGAAGAAAGGAAATACCTTGGAGATGAGCCTGCCGGACTTCAGCCGGATAGGAAGGAATCTGTTGTGGTATGTGTCGTATCCTACAGATTACTACAGTTAAATATGTAGTGTTAATTTAGAGTGAAGTAGAATGTGAAGCTAAAGATGTTAGCTTAGATATCTTGAAACAACGCGAGCTGGCCTTGCGTAAACTTCAGGAGAAGCTCAAGGCGATGAAAGGTATTTAAATGTTATATTGCTTGTGTCTAATTCGAAGAGTATAACTTTTGCATGCATAGTTCTACGGTTGTTCTTATTTCACGCCTTGGATGTTTGTTTACAATCCTGCGAAGTTCCATGTAAATACTGTAAATCTCTTAAGACAGTTTTCCACTCTGTTTAGCCAGTCGTCAAGGTAAGAGCGGTACAAGCCTGGATTCATCGGCAGTCTTAAGATTAGAAGAAAAAAGAAAGTTGAAGCGCCGCATCAGCAAAATTAAGATGAAGCAGCGTAGAGCCGAAGAAAGACGACCAGACGTTGGTAGAGAGAAGAAGTAGGTTGTTGCTTGCGTTTAGTTGCTTGTAGTGTCTCATTGTCGTCGAAGGTTTTTCTAGCATAAAAACGATGTTCGATACAGCGAAATCGAAAGATGAGACAGTTTCATTTTCAAAATTCGATTTCATAGTCAGAGTTAACTCTAGGAAGAAAAGGGTAAGCTTACCTTTGGGAAATATGCTGCTTGGAGGTGGTTTTTTTAAGCAATTGCTGAAATCATCCTTTTAATCATGTATTGTTTTAGATTACTACTTCGCAGAAAAAGCAGAAATTCACTGGGAAGGACTACAAATCGCTTATTAAAAAGGTAACCTTTATAATGATCATGTGGTTTCACATATTCGTCGTCTTCCCCATTCGATGAAAAAAGGATAAACCTATTGGAATTGATCTATCCCCAGAGGGATGCGCCATGCATTTGATTTCATTAAGCATCGTTGGAGGTGATTAGATGCATATTTGATCTTCACAATGATTGGTGGTGGCCTACTGATGTTTCGAGCCAGTGCTTTTATCTTCCCAAAAAAGTCTGGTACCAATTTGCCGATCCCGGAGGGATGGAAGGCTTGGTGAGTTTGGCACGCATTAATCGATCCCATGTGTGTTGAAGGGCGCCTCCGACCACTGCGCTACGCTCGTTTTATGGACATTGAGGAACTGAGGCTTTCCCTACGATAAAAGAAAGATGAAACTGTCAGCGTTGATCAATCCCTTGGGATTGATCATCCATTCGACGTCGTTAAGGGGGTGATCGAATGCATATCTTGCCTTTACAATGACTCACAGTGACCTACCGATGCATCGAACCAGTACTGCTATCTTCCTAGACAAGTCTGGTACCAATTTGCCGATCCCGGAGGGATGGAAGGCTTGGCTAGCCTAGGACACGGGGATCGCTCCGGTGTGTGTTGCATGGCGCCTTCCACCACTGCGCCACACGCTCCATTTTTTACTTCGACACTCTAAATAAATGATTGTGCTTGAATAAAGTTATACTAAATTGTGAAGCGTTTGAAGTAATCCATGGAAAATGAAGTTATACATCGAGTAATTATGAGATGCATGCAATAATGTTATGGCCAACATTATTGGCGTGGTGCATGCCGAACCAACAGCGGCATACGCTTCACATTTCTGCGGTATACAGTGAAATGTAAAAGAAGTGCACAATGATTTACAGTCTGTGTAGATGAAATAAGATTCAAAAGCTGTGGATGACTAAAGAGCAGAGCATTCGCAGTTGACCAGTCTCTGAGGAAGAATGTGCTGCGCACTTGTCTCCATTAAGTATCATGGATGCGATCGCATGCATATTTGGCCTGTACAATTACTTGCGACGGCCTACCGATGCACCACGTCAGTTTTTTTCGTTCTCCCATGCTGATACAATACCAATTTGGCGACTCTTAATGGCTTGGCTTGCCCATTGCGCACTGTCCAACTAGCGACGCGACCTCGTATGTACCACATGTGTGAGTATCTCTAGCCAATGCGCTATTGAGCTCCCAGTTCCTCAACATCTATAAAGATCTTGTACGGCAGTAAATAAAATGTTGCCATTGTGGTTTCGACAGAAGCCGCAGCTTAACTGGGTTTAATGCCGAGTTGTGCTCCTTAGATTAATCCCGTTGACGGATGGTTGCTGATAGCACTGGTAGATAGAAAACTAGCTAAGAAAATAGCCAAACGATGGTGTGGTGGTGATCGTGTTAGCCCCGGAAACGATAATAGCGTGTTCGAACCCCACTGCAGACACCTACGTTCCGGAGTTCTGCAAATATCGCAGCACGTCATTTTGGGTGTATCCCACATAACACCTTGCCATGAGAAATTGTAGTAGGAAGTGAATAAAAAGTTAGCGTCGCAAAATCTTATATGGTTTACATGTTTATAATCAGAAAAGTATTAAGTATGTAAAGATTATAACAGCAATTGAACGAAATAGGAATTTTTGATGACAATCGTAATCAAGTGGGATGTTGATCTTATTCCAGAAATGTGGAAACGTTGTCATTCTATTCTATCTCTTTTTTTTCCTAATTAAATGTCACAATATGTGTTATGTTGAATATTTTAAAGGTCGAAAAGAGGGAAGAGAAGCTAGAGAAACTTCGCGAAAGAGAGCCTGAGAAGGCGTGTGAGGTGGAAGACAGCATTAGGTGGAGCCGTGTTTTAAATAAAGCACAGGGCGTCAAAGTTAAGGTGAGTCAGAAACTGTCTTACGTCCTGTAAGTTTTTTACTTCACTAAAGAAAGTACTTTTGTTGTCTCCATGTTTTCAAAATTGTAATCTTTCGTTTAATCAAACTTTTTAGTATATATCTCATTGCTCCCATCTCTTTTATACTCTTTAGTTATGCTTACTATTCTTTCCTGTAGGATAACATGCAGCTCCTACAGAAGGGTTTGGAACGAAAGGAGAAGTTAAAGGAAAAGAAGAAAGAAAATTGGTCGAATAGAAAAGCTGTTTTATTGAGAGAAAAAGAGAAGGTTCTTTATCTTTGTCGCACCGTTCTTCCTCTTTTTTTTCGTAAATAGTATATTTGTTTTCCAGAAGCAGAAAAAGCGGAAAGAAAACATCCAGAAAAGAATTGATGATAACAAGAAAAGAAAAATGAAGATGCTTAAAAAGAAAGGCAGACTTCTATGATGACCCTTCTTAACTGCGTTTCGTCCTCTACCGTAGATGTTGTTGATTCTTCTTTAACTAAATGATTTGACTAATCTGTTTTGCGGTAATACAAGGCATTTTCAACTGTTATATTTGCAAACGCAAATTTCTTGGGGATGGCGTCGGATGAATCTGTTTTTTAAAAGTAACCTTTCCTGCCAGGAAATTTTTATAGGACCGTTCTTGTCTAATTTTTCATTTGAAATTACCAGTTCTTTTTGATTTCTGTTTTTTTCTTTCCTGTCGCTAGGGTATGTCTACCTTCGTACTGTTGTTACGCTTTCTTACATTTCTTATGATTGTTCTACAATGATTACGAACTTCTTTGTCGAAATTCTCTTGGTAAATTTTGTTTTTTCCTCTAACTTGTCTTATTATTGTGAACTAGAAACAACCAGTAAAACCAAAGCAAAACAACGTAACAGCTGATCGTAGTTGTTTATACCAAAAGTTTATTGTTTTTTAAAGCAGTTCTAGCGAGAAAGCTAATAAATGCTTGGAAGTGGATAACCAAACGTCACATAGTCATAGTAGAACATTTTCACCAGTAGCTCCATAAGATATGGTGAGGATCGGAGTTGATTTTCATACAGAACCCGTTCGTGACTATTGTATGTCTCGTGAGGTGTTCGTCTTCGTAGGACCTGAAACAGTGATTTTCGATATTTCCATGCAAACGCTATCTGATCTGCCAAGAAAAGCCAGCTTTTTTCTTTTTCCTATCCTAATTGCTGGGTGATCATCATAATGGTCAATCGATGAGTGTAAAAATGAACGTGCATGATTATGTGAACTAATAACTGCTTCTTTTTCCCTTCTAGAAATTGAAGGGTCTTTTAGTACATTATTTCATTTGAAAATCGTGATAGATATATAAAAAAGTCTCATATCGCCATAAGTTAATGTGTAACTAATGCACGGCTCCTGCTACAGATATTGCGAGCTTCAGGATTTTTTTGCAGCTCTTCACGAGCTGCTGTGTTAAACTATACTTCATCTAGTACTTGGTCTCAGTTAACCTTGTAAATTTAGGTTAGTCCAGTTTTTACAACACCTCACACCAAAGGCACCATTAGAAAAGCTGAGCATTCTTTTTACCGCTCATCTTGTCTTCGACGTCGTCTGCTAGAACGACCAGTTTCAAATAATCCATTCGTGCATTTTATATGAGAATGAATAGTTTGAACACAAAGTAAAGATACGAAGGCTGTTCTTTATTATAAACAGAAGGGTAATTACTTCCCAAGGTTCTGATCTCAGCTGATAACAGCGCTTCACTAAAAAGATGCTGATACCTCCTAGGAAAGCGTGAACAAGAAAGGAAAGTTTACACATGGAAGGTACAATGGAATCTTAACTATTTTTGTTTACTGCCTATTTTTTTAAATTGCAGGGTGTGTTGCGAAATATAATTTCTATGGTTTTGAGATATTTGCAAAACTCCGGACCGCAGGTGTCTGCGATGAGGAATGAACGTGCTACTACCCTTTCCGGGAGCTAATGCGTTCACCATCACACCATGCGGGGCCTTTGTTGGCCCTGTCTCTTAGCTAGTTCTCCCCGCTGACGGATGTTTGCTGATGGCATAGATCGATAGAACTAGCTGAGAGACAAGCGAAACGAAGAATCTGCATGGGGTGATGGTGAACGTGTTAGCCTCTGAAAAGGGTAATAGCGCGCTCATTCCCTACCGCAGACATTTGCGTTCCCGAGTTTTGTCGACCATATTATGGAATGCTACAGGGCTCTGCAGGCATCGTTTTATAAACCTACATCTGATCCTAACTTTGGAAGAGGAGTCATATTGTTAATTGTCACTTTCCCATGTTATCAGCTTATGACTTATAAATTATGTTCCATAGTTCACAGAGATCTTTGTTGATAGGGGCTTAGATGAGAGGAACAGATAAGGAAGAAAATCATTTTCTTTCATAATAAAGAAACTCTGTTGAGGAATAACATCTTTATATATCGGATATGACCGTACTGTTCTTCATTTAAGGGCACATATACCAACAGCTCTCAAAAGGTTGATTTCTTTTTGCAGCCGTTAGATGTTTCCAAAAAATCTTATTATGACAAAAGCGACGCTATTCAAACATGCTATGAAGAATAGAGGATATAGCCTTCAGCGTTGATCAATCGCTCAGGAATGCTTTATGCATTCAACTTCACCAAACATTATTAGAGGTGAATGAGTGTATATGTGACCCATTCACTGCGTTATGGTGGTCTGCCGATATATCAGATCATTGCTGCTATCCTCCTAGGCAGGTTCGGAAACAATGTAATCACCCCGGAAAGATGGAGGGCTTGGTGAGCCCGAGGAGTGTGAGCGAACCAATGACCATGTGTTAATTATCGAGCACCCCTAACCACTGCGTTAACGTGTCCACCCACGAAACGTGGAAATCAGTTGCATTGGAGACAAAACAGCCTCTGCACAATCACCGCTTTCTATGAGTCTTCCACTGAGAATTCTATATGAAGACCAACCACACAGAATTCGCACAGATAGGTAATGTGCGTCTGTCGAGTCAAAGTATAATGTAATATTGGTCTCCACGTAGAAGGCTCAGTGGAAGACTCGTAGAAAACGTAGTGTATGAGGAAGCTATCTTGTTGCCAATGAGGTTGAAATCTAGGTTTTATAGCGTCTCTATTAAGATTATACTTTGGTGGAACTTGGATTACTGGGTTGCGATGAGCTTTACTATTCTATGTTCTGAAGAAGACGACCTCCACCGAAACGCCAGCGAGTACTGTGCTGAGTAAATGGTGTATTAATGCGTCAGCTCAAAAAAAAGTGCTGACGTATTGAACAAAGCCGAGGTTGATAGAAAGGCAGTCTTGAGTAGCGCTACGTACTGTTCCGAACAAGTGTTTTTGTCTATGTCTGAATATTATTATCATTCTATAGCAAGTTAAACTGGTCGTCTGCCGCAAACTGTGTGCGTGGGGAGTGTAGGGTGTGAACTTGCAGGATACGGTATTGAGCTTTCTGTTTAATTTTTTAGGTAGGCCCTTCGTCGGTACGGTATTGGCGAATGTTCTAACTAAAGATTATTTCGCACCTGTGAGCGTATATCTTGAAGGATATCTTGCGGTACACCGCGTTTTCGAAGTTCCAAATCTAGCTCGTTCATCATTAATGCAATGTTCGATCCTGAGTACTTCATAAGCTTATATCTTCGCAAGTTGCTTCGTAACTCGCAATGCCTGAATGTGGATAATTTACAACACAACTGTTCACAAATTCCTTCATTCTGGACGGTGTATTCACAAACTCTTGCTGAACATTTTTTTGGACAAATTACTCGATTAAAAACACCTTTACCATGTCTGGGGTGCAAAATGCGAATCTTCAACGGTATGATGGAGAGACGGCGTTTGTGAAACGCCCATTAGACGTTCGTATTGTCTTTCCATGACACACTGAATATTACTTCCACACTTGTAGCAAACTTCTTCACGATCTTTTTCACTGAAATTATGCCAACAATAGTCATAATAATAATACTTCACTAAACTCCTATCTTGACTCTCTTCACACATCGTTCGAATACCGGTACCTCTTTCATCGGTTTCATTGTCTTTCACGCGTGTCCAGTATAATTAGTAATTGTAGCGAATAATAATGGTAACAGCAGGAACGATAAACACATGTTATCTGTTCCCACTGATAGTCGACTAACGCGAAAGGGCAGCAGTAAGTTCTTCGATAGCGCGCAAAAGTACCCAAGTGTGTTCTTCACACCCTAGAAACCATGAAAGGATAAAAATAAAGGATAAAGCTTTCGGCATTGATCAATCCGTGAGGGATGTCCCATGCATTCGAGTTTATTAAGGATCGTTGGAAGTGATTGAATGCATATCTGGCTTTTATAATGACTCGCGGTGGCCTACCGATGTAACGAGCCAGTGCTACTATCTCCTCAGAGTAATCTAGTACCAATTTGCCGATCCCCGGAGGGGTCAAAGACTTGATGGGCTATGGGTTCAGGGATCGATTCCACGTTATGTGGCAGCCTAGAAACCGTAAGAGTGCTTTTTTTAAATAAGATCTTCGTGGGGATCTCCATTAGGTTAGTGGTCTTTTATGCGCTTGACACCGTGTGAAATCCATGGCTTACGTCTCTTGTCCAATAGTTGTTGTGAAGACACATCGCTTGTCCGGGCCCACTTAATTTCAGAAATCTTGTATGCGGCAGTGTCTTTGTTTTTGAATTTTGAGGGATGCTCAATATATCGGATTCGCTCTCTTCCATGACACAAAAGACTTTTTGGCTCCGGAATTAAGCCGATCGTTTTGTTCAGTACCCATTGAAAATGTAAATGGCTAAAAACTGTGAAACTAGCGCTGATGATAATGAGACGTCAGAAACGAATTCGCTTCTCGTGAGTACCGCTTCGTCGAGATCCAAATTGTCACCCATTTTTTCATAAACACTGTCGAATCCAAATAATACTTATTCCTCCTTATTAGTGCTTGATGTGAAAAGAACGATACCACATGCAAAGCGAAGACGGTACAATTGAGGCTATCGACGTTCACTCTCGTGTTCATACATCCTAATTTCAGTGTGACATTGTCAGGAACAGATTTAAATAATTTTGGCGATATTGTCTTGCTTTCCTGAATCCCTTTGCATCAATGAAGACAGTGTGGTGTGATGGTTAATTTCTGGTTGTAAAGAAGCTGTACAGCTTAGAGAGGATCTTTATACTCCGACTGACGTCGTCGAAATTTCAATGACCGCTTTTCGAAGGTTCAATGACCACTTTTCATTCGCCTAGGTTAGCGCCTCAACCACAGTATGGACCACCTTTTGGATAATGATGAGATAAAGCGGTCTATTGTACCCTCATAATCCTTCAACGAGCCTGGTAACAGCGTGGATGTAACCAAAAAAGTAAATCCTTTTGGAAACCCTGCCCTCTTACTTCCTTCACCTTCGTTCAATGCTCTGTCTAATTGTGTTGAGGTTTATACGAGCTAGTGCAAAACAAGGTGATTTCTCATCGATGTGGAATCTTGTCATGTATGAAAAGCCGAGCCAGAGCGCTGGTGAAAACTTTCCTAATTAATGAATGATATTAATAATGGTAATGACAGTAGCAAGATGATAGTGACTATCAACTGTCACCCGTATCACCTGCAGTCCCATTGATCGTCGAGTGACTCGAGCGGGCGCCAGTAAATCCTCCATTTTTCCCTGTCGGGTGCAAGAGTAACCCAGTGGGTTTGTCTGCTCTAGGGACTCGTCAAGCTTCATATCTTTCTTCTAGGCTCCTCGTGAAGAACTCTGGCCATCGGGTCGGTGGTCTTCCTGCAGTACGCTAGACATCCCGAAGAATCCAGTCACTAACGGCTCTTGTGCATCGGTTGTCATTCATACTCATTACGTGTCCGGCCCACCTTATTTTCGACTCTTTGGCGTACGGAACGGCATCTTTGATTTTTGATCGCTGATGCAGATCGGAGCTTCGGATCCCATCACTTACTTGTGTGGAACGGGATACTTATAGCATTGTCCTTTCGACAGCGCATTCGATAACGCTGAGTGACCTTTCATCGTGCTTACGCAGCGACCAGCTTCCTGACGCATGCGTTAGGGCAGGAAGTACCGTTGAGTCGAAAAGATGGGCTCAGAGTCGGGTCTTCTTTGTCTTCTTCACTACATCCTCGATGCTCTTGAAAGCTCCCCAAGCCGATCGTTTCCTTCTGCTCCGCTGTGGACTTAAGTCGTTCATCATATTGATTTCCCAACCTAGATAGACATAACTGGAGCATTCGGAGACACTCGTTCCGTTGAGCGTGAATGGATCATGCAAAACCAATGCGCTCTTCATGAACATCGTTTTTATGAGATTTAGTCGAAGACCAAACCTTCCACAGACTTTATCAAAGTCGGCAAAGATACGTTCCGCCTGGCTAATGTTTGGTGTTATAAGGACGATGTCATCAGCAAAGCGAAGATGATGTAACTGCCGACCATCGACTTTCACTCGCATATTATCCCATTCCAATGTTCGCATGACGTTCTGGAGTGTGGCGGTAAATAATTTTGGCCAGATGGTATCGCCTTGCCCAACTCCTCCTCTGACGTCAATGTTAATATCGTTGTAGAATGGTGATATCTTAGTTGTGAAATTTTTGTACAGCTCACGAGGAACCTTCATATACTGAGTAGGAACTCCTTGACTGTCAAGGGCTTCCAAGACTGCTTCTATCTCAACTGAATGGAAGGCCTTCTGTAAATCGATGAAAGTGAGACAGAGCGGTCCTTTGCACTCTCGCGATACTTCAATGAGTCTTGTTATCGTGTAGATGAGGTACATCGTACTAAATCCTTTTTGAAGCAATGCTTGCTCATATAACCGTCCTTCGTCTAGTGTTCTGTCAATCCTGTTTAGGATGACTCGAGTGAAAAGTTTGTAGACGACAGACAGTAAGCAGATTGGGCGATAGTTGCCGATATCATGTAGGTCACCCTTGTTTAACAATAATACGGTCTCGGTGGTCTTCCACTGAGTAGAAACCTTGCATTCAGACAGGTAACTTGTGAAGAGCCGAGCCAGTGTGTTTAGGAGGACTGGCGGAAGGTTCTTCAGGCATTCTGGTCTTATCCTGTCCAGACCTGGTGCTGTTCGATTTCTCACCGACGAAATGGCATGCCGGATTTCGGAAGGGAGAACCGGTGGTACAACATACCCATCCTCCTTTGTTTCATATGACGAAAGGTGGGCATGGCTATCGAAGTGATCCGAGTAGTATTCGTGAATGATTTTCCCCATTGCTTTCTGGGTACTGTAGTGCAATCATTTTGGTCTTGTAATTGGCGAAGCTTCGGTGGGCTTTGCGAATGCTTCTCCCAGCCTCTGCAGCTTCGACCATTATTGCTGCTCTTCTCTTTTTGAGATCCTCCTTTATCGCCTGTCTGCATTGTTTTGCAAGATCGGACGTTAGTTCGCGGCTGCCTGCAGCTCATGCGATTCCACGCTGGCGTATCAGCTCGAGTGTTTCTGGAGACAGACGTCTCTCGGTGACGTTCGAACTCTCACCGTTCATACCGATAACGTGAAGATGTTGAATGAGCCGATCGTATTTTTCGTCGATGTTATCGATAACGGCATCTTCCCAATAGCCGACTAATGAATTGAATAAATCGCAGTTTACAGTGGTTCCTGGACTTCTGTTTTGGAATTTAGCGGCTTTTTCTATTTTCCTCGAGAAATAGAAGCTTGCACGAAGGAGACGATGATCTGATTCCGTGTAGAATTTTGGGACGACAGCGACATCCGCTAGGGAAAACCTTCTATTTACTATAAAGTGGTCTATTTCGTTGTGGTACTCTCCATTGGAATACTCCCACGTCCAGCGTTGAGTATGGGGCCTCTGGAATTGCGAATTACCATGGACTGTCTTGGTCGCCATGATAAACTCAGACACTCACCCTGTTCGTTCCATTCTAATCTCTGTGTCCCAATGTGACGTTTCTCAGACCATCTTCTTGGTCCAATCTTGGCGTTGAATGAAATCTCCAATGATGACCTTTAAGAATGTGTGGTCTTCTCTGTAGAACTGCTACAAGTCCGTATAGAACGCATCGGCTTCTTCTTCGTCATAGTTTGATGTCGGCGCGTAAACGACGAAGATTGTCAAAGCCGGTATTGTTCCACATCTTTTAATTGTAAACGTCCGATTCGGGTTGTAAGTAGTTCGAATGAATCGATGTTCATCGACAAACTCGTGTTGACGAGAACGCCGGCGCCGCCCACTCCTCTACTGTCGCATGTTCCGAGGAACAGTTCTTCTCCGGTGTCATAGACGGCGTTGAAAGGCTGGCGTCTTCTTGTCTCGGCTAGGACGATGAAGTCGTGCTTTATCCTTCTTCCTTGCATGAGCCATTCTTCTACCGAGGGCTCGGATGCAAGTGCACGTGCATTGTAGGTACAGATCGTCACCACAGTTCTTTGAAATCCAGGCAACTTCCATTGGCCCTGAGATTTTAGCAGCCTCTCACTACTCGCGCTACCCAACGCTACGAAATTGGGGGCTCTTTCGTGGTCAGGGGAATGAGGTCCGTTTTTTTTTACTGTGTTTGGCATTTTTGATACCCATGTATAGATTGCTGGGCTCTGAACGTGGAGGATGGGTATACTCACGGGTAGTTTGCCAGGCTCTCCGATAGTGGACATGGTGCTTATTTGTTGAAGGCGACTCTTAACCACCTCCCATATACTGCCCAGTCAGTTGTTTTGGCCGAATTGATTCGTAGAATATAATCCGCATAAGGAAGAACGCAGCCACACGCGCATGCATGAATACGTCTAGCAAATACGGAAAGTATGTGCCAAATTGGCGCATCAGAAACAGAGAGTCCATCCTCTGGATCCACCTGCGTCTCAGGGAAGCAAAGGTCGCTTTTGGTCCTCGATTAACTCCCTATCCGCCACCTGGGGACACGTCACGTAGCCTCGCGACTAACCGGTTCGAGGCCCCTCATATGAGGAAAATCCGTGGATAGTGACTATAATAGTAATAATTGTTACTGGAGGGGCACTGCTAGTTAGTGCTAAAAATCAACTTAAAGAAAAGAACGACAATTTCTCAAATAGGCCAACACTTATGGTAGTTTCGTAGGGCTGTTGATTCTACCCATGTGTGAAATACTAACAAGTAGTGGTTTTGGTGCTCACCGTAAGCATTTGTTAATGAATCCTGAAATGAATCGTTCAAGTGGGTCCCGAGTCACTATGATGTTAAGCCAAGAAATATTCTTTCCGGAAGTTTGGTTATGAAATGACCGCAGTGCACGTATTGAGCCATATTCATTTTTCCCTTTGCAAAAGCTGAAAATGTAGATCAAGCGATTAGTGATTTACTAGTTACTTAGTATTGGAAACTGTAAAAAGAACGAATATCTCTGATGTGAAACACGTCGAGGCAGCTAAGTGGGAGCCTGTGTGACGCATTCCAAGATGAATATATTTGCTTTGAGACGTTCATTAGTTGAGGGTACGGGTTCTCTATCTGTGAGTCATAGAATAGGCCTACGCCTTCATATTTAACTGATATTTTATTCCTGGAAAATTCTTCTGATCTTGGAGTACCGAAAAATATGCACCACAACGCTCCCAGTTCGTCGTCGCAAGCTTCGGATCAAGGAAGTGACTGTTGCGTTGTAACTGGCATGTTTCCAGAACTGTAGTGATTTTTGGCATTGGTTTACTCCTACGTGGGCTATCAAATGAATTTGTCGAACTTTTTTGCAGTTCCGGTTTGCTTATTGAGGAACGAAAGCTTCTGTATATAGCAGTTCGACATCCAAAGAGACATCTTGTTGAAATTGAAGCGATAAACGGTAGAGCAGATTCCTTAAGAATGTACGTAATGATGTAATTCGTGACTACATGCATTGCTGCATTTGCACGTATTTCGTTTACATTCAGCATAACGGTATTTCCGAAAGCCTACAGTCATGTGGCTGGAAAGCTATTAGACAACAAGTAATCCCTTCTTGTACTCCAGAAGAGAACAATCTATTACATTACCCGGAGGTGGGCCTATGAATAATGTCGACATCCTATATCTATTTCACGCGGTTCACATTCTGGTCACCCAAGCTTGAAGCGTTGATTCATACAAGTGTGAAGCACATGCAAACAGGGTGGACAAATTCGGAGTCAAACAAAACGTATTTGTGCATTGTCTTTCCAGGAAACAAAATTTCCGGTGACGGAAGATTTCTCATTACAGAGGCTATGCGATGGATGAGTACGCCGCTAAAAATGGTTAGACAACATACGTGCTGTTAAAATCTATACTATGGCGATGATATGTACTTGCCTTTTAATGACGCTGGGTTACAGCATGTGGAAGCCTCTACGTAGGAAATGATTATACCAATAAAGCAGGTTAAGTGCATCAGTAAATTAAACACAAAAAGTTAAGGCTTATTTAATTTGTAATTGGACAATTTTTTCGAGACTTATGAACTCAAATTTCCAAAGTTCCTCTTCATAATATTGCCCTTTTGAGGCCTATTGATAGTATAGCACTATAACAAAATTAGCTACGTGGTTGTCATTTGTAGACATCGCAAAACCAGTGTTACTACCGAGAACAACTTTCTGCTAACTTTGGTATCGATAAATAATTCGTTATTTGTTTGGTAAGCACGCATGAGTTTGTTGTTGTATATTATTTATTAACAACAGCTGATGTTTCGGCGAATTTCGCCTCCCTCGGAGACTGGAAAGGTCAAAGAAAGGTTAACCGCAACTTAGGCAGCCAAACACCTCCATAACCTAAACAGAAAATCCACAGTACTTATTTTTCAATCACAGTGGAAACAAAACAATTTCTTCACACAACCGCTAGTCTTTGTGAGTCTTCCACTGAGTGTTCCACGTGAAGACCAACCTTATAGAGCTCATATGAGTAGGTGATGAGCTACTGTCACTTTAAAATACCAGTCTTAGCCATTGTGCGAGATTGTCTAGTGAAGCGTTTTATTTCAAGTCTTTAAATACTGTTGTGTTTGACTTTATGCTTTTTATCTAGTTGGTTTTTATCTTTGCAAAAAACCAGATACACCTTATCCGAGCTAACCTCATCATGAGGACAAATATGGTTTTGCGTTGCACATGGACGGTCATGCAACAACTTTTGAAAAGGCCGACGTTTCAGGGTGCACGGTGACATTTCAATCATTGTACCGATTTCTTTAGAGCGGCATTTTTTAAACAACATTTTATAGCTGTGCTTTTTTTAGTTGCAAATAACGAGTAGGATAAACGAACCTCATTCTCGCTAAATATATTGTTTTCGACGCGGTTCTTTCTCTAAACCTTTGCCAAGAGCTAGCGTTTCGTAGCCATTTGAAATAGCTATTGCAGCGTCTATTTTAGGAATTCTTCCTTCTGCTCTCTTCCGTGTTCACTGGTGGTGGTGCTGGTTGTGGTGGAGGTGGTGGCACGAAATGTATTTCTTGCAAGCACCTTTTCTTTGTGTGAGTGGTGAGAGGAAAGGTATGAATTCGTTTTCTTATAACGGGTGGCAAAAGAAAGCGTTTTTAAGAATCGTTTTCGTTACCTCAACATCCAATTTATGAGGAAATACACAATTTCCACTCTTATCTATAAAGGATAATCTAACGCTTTTTAACCTTATCAGCCCTCGAACCTCTCATATGCCACATTTTTACGTCTCTGTGAAAATAGAGTGAAGCTTCTTCGCGCTATAATTATTAAGTGCTTTGAAGATTTTGTCCACATATATCTGAAATTAGCTAAATTTATTTGTTGTCTGTCGTCCATCATTTAGCCAATACGCT